GCGGAAGGCGGGCGTCACGGCAGGTGGGCAATTTTCTTTGTGTGCTTCGGGCCTTCAAAGCTTTCGCTTCTCCATCTCACGAGAAACTTTGCCGGCCGTTCCGGAAGTAATTGTCCTGCTATTTCCTGCAATATTTATGCATGAGAGTTTGACCGCGCTGGAAATCCGACCGGAATTCGACCGAGATTGCTAAAACTCGGTCAGGGACTTCCTGGCTCAACAGGCGTTTCGTGCTTGAGTAGGACTACAGAGAAGCGAAGACGCAATTGGATCTTGCAATCAAGCCTCAGAAGGCTGATTGCCTCTGAAATTGTGACTCTCCCGATTCTCCAAAGTGAAGACGTCTCATAATACCGCGATCAATTCTTTAGAGTCTAGTAAAGGCTTAGGGGATGCGAGTAGTTAACCATATAGTCAATCTTCTTCACACGTGTACTTCCGTCAAACTTTCAAAAACCACCGAAAGATTGGATCGTCTCATTTCTCTTTTGTACTGGATCGCGCTCCCCTTTTTGCTGAAACCTTGCTCTTCGTTGCAACAGGAACGAGTGACAGCTACTACGTCTCCCCACAGGGCAGGAAGTTTCGGTCGCTGGTCACGGTGAGTCTTTGGCTGAAGCCACAGGGACTTTCGGGCCTTGAATATATCTTGTTTATGGATTGGTTAAGTGCTTACATGTACAATGACCAGAAGTGGGCGGTAGCCAGTCTTGAGCAGGGTTCAGTACCGCCTGTTTCTACACTAACCTGAGACTCGAAGTCTGCTCATCAATGTGGGTCAGCCGCCAAACCTTTCTGTGAATGTGAAACCCCATAAGAACCATCTTTCATATTTCTAAAGTTTCTCCGGGTTTACCCGGAAAGCTTCCAGTCAGGGATCGTAGCAATAATTCATCCCTGCAACTCATGACTCTGGTTCATTTGTCGACCTAGTCGCCGTCTGCCAACCCCATTTGCGATCGTTGATTCTGAGTATGTTTGCGAGAGTGCTTCCAAATGCGGGAAGTGTCCAAACGCGCACCGGTTCCCGCGGGCTAGTAAGAAGAATCCCTCTTGTAGGATCAGAAAGACAGTAAAAGCCCCCGGCATGGGCAAGCTTATAAATTTCGACAAAGCTTTTTCTCTCCTTGTCGCTGTCCTCCATTTCTAGGTGCACGAGTACATGAAGGGAGTGGGAGAACGGGAAGGAGGTCACCTTGCTGACAAAGGCAGCCCGTAGGTAAGGTGCTCACAATCCCTCTAGCACTGTTCCTTTTGGTCTGCGAAGCGATGATGCGATAAGAATGTGTGCTCCAAGCGTCTCCAGAAACATTTCAGGCTCCGGGTCTTTTGGCGCCTGACAGGCCGTTAAAGTGGGTTCAATTGACCGGGTTGTAGGCTTCGAAACCAAAAGTTTCGTCAATCGCATCAAAACTGCCCTTCTCAGTGGGATCCGAGGCATAGCTATTCTGCCCCTGCTTTCTAAGGTAACGCAAGGGGCTAGGCCGGCATGCAAGCGACCCACAGCATGCGCCAGGCCCAAGAAACAATTCCTGCTTCACAGTGACCCAAAGATTCCTGTGGCTTACTCCTGAGCCCTCGGTTACTCTTGAAAAAGTGCTTATGATGTGCATATTGTACATTTAAGCAAGAAACTCAAGATCTGGGTGATTCACAGTCACTCTCGACTGGCAACTCATGCAGAACGGCTTTTTCGAACGCAGACTTATAGTCGGGGCCCAGCTATATCTTTGAAAAAGGAACGGGACCTTCTACAACGCGAAAGCGGGGGCCAATGGGTATATAGACTAGAAATGACTATGCATTTGAGATCGCATCATTGCCGCCCAGAGTGGCCGGGAATTAGGCGTACTAGAGGGCCATAAGAAAATATGTAGATGACTAGCGTCACAGATATGCTCCACGGTTTTCTTAGTGCACCACGTGACGATAGGCACTGTAATGCTACCGATTGGTATTCATGGAAGTGACGCAGACTTAGAGCCAGTAAACAGATTCGGCTCGAGTACTGGCTTCTCGATTTCCAATTGACCCTACGCTTCGGAATTCCATATGTACGTGCATCGATCGGAAACACGCTAGATACTGAAGCGTTCCCACTGAGCTGTATAAGTCCTAAATGTATCACGCGTGTGCCAACTATGTAACATTGCCGCATAATGAGAGCGTTCGAGAGAATTGGCCGGTTGCACTGGGTGCAGTATAACATGCACCCATCAGGCATTGATTCATAGGGCTTTGCCCATAATATATTAGCGGTGGTATAGCACTTGCTTCCGAAATTACGGTTGCGCAAATATGCATGTCGGACGCGTGTAAAGGACGGACCGCTGTGCGGTTCATATTACATGTCAGCAATATTCAGAACCGGGGCCTGCATAGGGGTTCAGCATGTCCTGGGGCCCTTGAGTAGCGTCGTGCATGCATGGGTTCCGTCCATGGTGTGACTGATCGCTCAATGGTAGGACTCTACATGGCTTTGACGCCCCCCGCGCTAAACCTTCACTGAGAAACTGGCAATGCATCTACAGAAGACCTCCGAGTATTTGCGGGCCTGTAAACGACTAAATGCCTTCTACTATGGAGACGCATGGTAGAAGTATGTTGTGCATCGTCGTAATATTAGCGACACTGAGTCCGATCAGGCTTTTGGACGCTTCTTTTTTGTCGTGGGCCGCTCCGATTCTAGCTGACACAGCTGCAAAACGATGGAAGTGGACAGTTATAGGTAGGAGGAACTGCAGATCATTAGGCTTGTTTGGTTAGCCAAGAGTGGACAAGATCTTTGGTTGATCGCCGATAGAAAAAACAAGGGCTATGCAGATCCTTAAAAGTTTCAGGGTTTTAGGGTTTTAGGGTTTTAAACAGGATCCCGGACCGACATCAACGAGGGTTAGCCAAGTATGGCAAGCGTTTGGATTCTGTCATGTCCAAACACCATGCCGGAATGTGTCCTCCAGTCAAGAATCAATGTTCTGCTTCAAGTTATCAACGAGATCTCACAGGGGGGCGTACATCACACATACTAACCACAGACTCACGATCTTGGCGTTCTTGCCCGATTCTTTCACTTTTTGAAAGATCACAACCTTTTCGAGACCTAATGCTCCACAAAATATCGTTTTAGCCAAAGTGCGTGCGTCAGTGGACGACGGAACCTACCGAAGCGTCAAGAGAAGTCAACAGAAAGATTGTGAGCCCTCACCGGCCGATCCTCTTCATCGTCGGAGACCGTTCGCTTCCCCTTCGTCGCATCGATCTTCTGTAGGTAACTGTGGACCTGCAACACGAGACAAAAAGCCAATCAACCAAGGCAATCGCTCGCGCCTTTAAGCACGGTCCTCTGCAAAGCAGAGACTCGTAAAACTGCCCACATAGTCTGGCTTTTACCGGCCATACGGCCCACAAGAAATACTGGCTTCGACCGTACTGTAGAAATTTTCTAACACTGCCTTCCATATCTCCTGCAGCGAAGTGAGTTGCTCCGCAACAAGGTACTCATGCGCACTGAAATGAATTTTGGCACACTCTGAGAGCGCGCAAGGTTTCAATCGGCAGATACTTGCAGCCCTCGAGGTCCAGAGGTGACTGATGCCTCGCCGCCAAACAAATTCAACGCTTGGATGAGAGAAATGAACGGCTGAGCCTCATCAAGAGCAGCACAGGGGCCTGATTTAACATTCCCCGATAACATAAAACTTTGGGCGTACCTTAACAAGCGAACGGAAAAGCTTTCGGTGCGGGGTCATTTAGTAGCAGTCCACTTTACCTGAAGAAGTTGGAGAAGAGAGAGGTGTGCATGAAAAAACAGGCTCCCCCCTCTGCTTTCAAGATTTCAAAGTGAAGAGTAAGATTTCATAGGCCCGTATACGACACGAATACGATACATTTGGGGCGCAACCTCGCTCCGCGGTGATCGCGCAGATTGCTGCAAAAGCTAGAAAAACGAGCTTGACTCCATCGGATATTGCACACGAGTTTTCAAACAGCTCGTAGCAGTTTCGCCAAGCTCCGAACAAACTGACTCTGCCGCAAGCCGATCTGCTGATCCTCAAAGGTCTGACGGGATGGACCGACGGCTGCAACGTGATTCCACGCATCGGCAGACTGGAAAGATCACCCCGTGTCAATCTTTGGCTGCAACAGTGTCGTACGGACTACCCACCCGCAGTGCGACCTTCCTGGCGCTCCGACGTGTAGTTCGGCCATCGCTCCTCCTCCATTCTCTCCTTTACCTCCTTCTTCTGCGCCGGCGTCAGCTGCGGCCGCGAGCCGCGGCCGCCCTCCTCTTGCGCGCGCGTCTTCGGCTTTTGCACACCCTTGCCGCACGAGGGCGGCGCGCGCGCCTTCGGCTTTGGCGCACACTCGGCGCCCGAAAGTTCGTCGAAGAACTGCTGGAGCTTCACCAGACTGTCCGTCCGAAAGTCTCCGTACCAGTAGTACTTATCCACTCGGTCGCCCGTTTTGCGCGGCTTGTACTGAATTCGGACGCCGTCCGGCAGCGCGGACGCCTCGTAGTCGCGGAGCGCCGTCCGGAACGCGTCCGCCGACGCGCCGTACAGCGCGCACAGCCGCTCCAGGCACCAGCCCACCTCGAGCGCCTGCCAGCGCTTTGGAGCCGCTCCGTTTCCGCTTCCGTTTTCGTTTCCGTTTCCGTTCAGATTCCCGCTGCTATTCATGTCCCCGCATCCAGTCTCGTTTCCGTCTGTGATTCTTTTCCGTTTTCCGTTTCCGCTGCAGCTGCCCTCCTCCCCCACCGAGGGCCGATCACCTGACCCGTCACTGCCCAACGAACCCCTTGGGACTAACTTCCGGTCCGTTCCGCTGTTCCGCTCTTCCGGCCGGAGGCTGACCTCGCCGGTCCGGCCTCCGTCGTACCGGACCTCAAAAACCGACTGCCGGGTCACCATGCGTGCTTTACTGACAATCGGACCTCTCAGGATGATCCCCCGTTTCACGACAAACATCCCCTCAGACTCATCCCAAATCTGCTTCTCAAAGCGTTGGCCCATGCAATCACCTCCCGACGCCCCTCTGATTCCCAATCCGTTTCCAATTCCGTTTCCGTTTTCACTTCCGTTTCTGTTTCCGTTTCTTCCCTCGGGCCCCGCCCCGCTTTGATCACCCATCAGACCAACGGCCCCGTTCTCCTGGGCCTGTTCGTCTGCTTCGCGGGTCCTATCGGTCATGCTTTCGGACGCCTTTTCTGTACTCCGGACGTCCGAACGCGGGATTTTCTCCTCGGCTTGAATCCTCTTTGCTTTTTTGCGCGCTTGTGCGCGATTGAGTATGCCGGCGATGACCTCCCGATCGGCCGCCTTGCGCGCGCGCAGCGTCAGGATCCCGCGCGAGCGGTGGTAAAACTGGGTGACCGCCTGAATGGAGAGCAGTTTGCAACAGTTTGACGTCATTAATCTCTCTTCTGGACGTACTGCTAAGTAGTGGTCATTGTCCGGTTAAAACTTGTTTCATTGAGAAGGCTGGAAAATCGACAGCCACGGAAGTCTGCTCCGAGAGGTGTCAAAACAGAATATCCTGACGTCTCGAATGAAAAGAAAGGCATATAGCGTTTGATTTTGTAAGCAACAATATTTTCGGGAGGAGCGATAGCGGAGTGCGTGAGTGGTGCTGGATATTCTTCTATGAGCAAAGGAACGGCGGCAACATCACTCTGCTGAAGTATCCGATGCTTTCCAGCCCTTTCAATGCACAGAGACGGCCCTGTGTCAGATCTGGGACTTCGTCATGCAAATCAGAAAAGAATTCATGAACGTGAATCGAAGCCAATTGACACGTGTTTCTTCTCACCGAGAAGTTCGCAACGAGCAAGAAGCGTGACAAACTCACCTTGAGCAGTTGCAGAATGTCCGAGTCCTCTCGTACGTAGTCTTCCGGCAGCCCGTTCCGCCACGCATCCCGGCCGGAACCACCCTTTTCCCGCGCGCGCACTGCCGCCTCAAAGGAATCTTCCGCAAACTTCAGCCCCCCTTGGTCCGCTGCACTGAAGAGGCCCTCCAATTGCCGCACATACGCTATCATTCCCTCCAAGGAGCGGCCCGCGGCCGCCTCGCGCACCTCAGGGTTCTCTAAACCCCTCTCCAAGGCCGCGTCGCGCGACTTAGCAGAATCTTCAAACGCGCGGTTCAGACAGTTCAGCAAGTCCCTCGTTTCGATGAATGTCCACTCTCTTCCGTCCCCCTCTGCGTGTTCCGGCTCCGTTTGTCCTCGCTCGACACTGAGTAAACGCGCGAATTTGGTTTGCAGGGAGTGGGAGCGCGCGAGCAAGGACGCGCGCGCGGCGAGGCGCGCGGGTTTGATGAGGGTCAGGAGCTCCCGAGGGTCCAGCTGATGGGGCAGGTTCTTGATGTCGACGCGAATGTTGGAGAACGTCGGCTTGAGGAGCATCATGAACAGCTCAATTTCCTGCAAGATGGAGCAAAAACATATTTGAGGTTGTGGACCCCTCAATCCTTGATAGATATCCAAGAAAGTTTGATATTGCCGTGCCCTCCGAACTCCGCGGATGTTACGATCCGCTGAAGCGCCACTGCGAGTCCTGGAAAACAAGATGACGGGTGGCGTTCTGACGGTTGCGAGCATCGGAGGGGACAAGAGGAATCTGAGGGAAGCCCATGGTGACGTCAAGTAGCGTTGCCGGGGCATCTGAAAACTGATGTGAGGGTCCCAAAAAGACCAAGAAACCAAGCAGAAAACGAATCCTGACTCTCTTGAAAGAGCCTGACAGGTTGCAAAAGCCGTCTCGTGATCTCGTGGCTTTGAGCACAGCCGCCGATCATATCAGAGATTGCTCAACAAGAATGCAGTCGTACAGTGATGCTTCTCGTATGGCAAAAACCTCAAATTGGATTCCCTTCCGATTTATCCTTGTTCCTCGGAAGATCTTTACCTTGTTCCTCCCGATTTCAGCCAAGCCTCTGCACGCCTCCTCGACGCGCATCATCTTCGATTTCTGCCCATGTCCGTTTGGGACGCCCCACGTCCTCTGCCTTCCCCGCTTCATTTTGGTGCACAGGCGCGCGGTCTTGGAACTGATCGTCTGCTCGGCCGCGCGGCGGATGACCTCGAACACGCGCATCGCGCGCAGTGCGCCCAGGTGGCGTGCGACGATCGCGTCCACGTGGCAGCGAATCAGCTGTAATTGCGAGAAAGAAACAACCTCAAGAGAGAAGCTTTCAGTACATTTCTGTATGGGCGACAAGTAACTTCTTGTTTCTTCAGAGCCCCTGGCATTGAAGCCCCGGGTGGTAAAAGCTAAGACAGGTCAGGATGTGCCCTGCTGGTTCGCCCCGGAGTTTTGCCGAAGGTGTGCAGGCAGTTCAAAAGCAGAGGATGTGAAACGTCAATCTGGTCCCTTCAGATTGTGGATGACAATCAAGCGCAGTGGACCTTCTTCATACTCTTGCATCCTTTCATTATGTCCTACTTGTGGGTTGATCGGGTGACCTTATTTTCAGGTTTGAACAGACCCACAACTACATTCAACACAGCTTACGCACATAGCCTCGTGTGCGCGCGCGTACCTGATCCAAGAGCTCGCGCCCCCCCGTCTCCACGTCCTGCCCCAGGTCCTGCAGCGCCTCCGCGGCCGCGCGCACCAGCGCGCTCGCGCACCCCTCCAGAAACCCTGCGACCATGTCCCAGATCGGCGACTTCCGCGCGGCCGCGTCCGAATCCTGACCGTCGATTCCCAGTGCCCGGTAGAAGTGCTCGGTTGGGTGCAGACGAAATGGGGCAATCATAAGGTCTTGAAGATGGACGCCGTCGTATTCCATAGTTTCCAAAAGAGGGGGTACCGGACCTGCGTGGAGCGCCTGCTGTAGGTCCCCCCTGAACAGTGACGGAAGGACCGTTCCGGGATCCTTCGAGGAGTGGATAACGAGCCGTGCCAACTGTAAAGAAAACACGCCCGCACAATAGAAGCCCTTCCAGGTTTTCCAAAATTCCTCAGAGTATCTCTGAAAGCCTTCGAACTCAGAATCAGGAGATCAAGGGTCCGAACAGCTTGAATTGAAAACGACACCGATTTTTATTCGGTAGACTGTTTCATATGGGAAAAGAATCGGACATGGAGGCTCTTTTCCATTTGAAGCAATATGTGCCAGAGAAGCACATTGCAGGCCACCATCCCTACAAGAAGCAGACGATCCCACACTTGACTGCAATCAAATACTTCAGAAAAGTTGTAAGAAGACAAGGGGCGATGACTGCGAAACAAGGTCTACTCTCAAACGAGTAACCGTTTGGAGACCCCAAACTTACCTAAGCGGCAGACCTTGCGAACTTTGCTAATCCGCTTCTGTTCGCCGACACGAAATGAGAGCCACTTCTGTTTGCAACCCTTTTGTTCTGTTTCTTTTGCCTCGTTAACTTCGTGGAAGGTCCTTCCCGTCTCCGAACGAAGGTCCCACGGATCGATGACATTTGAAGCCATTGAGCTGTTTGTAAGCTTCCGTTAGCAGATGAAACCTACAGCGTCTCCTTACTGGCGCATTCTCTAGCTGGGTACAGAGCGTCTTTCAGTCAACAGAAGACTTTGAGTCAGCTTACAAGCAGCTGTGCATCATTGAAGGGGAAAATGGTTTGGAAGCAGAAAAGAGCGAATTGAAGAAAACTGGCCGCCTTTGCCAAGAGACCCTCAACCGTGATTTGCGTTTCAGGATTCGAAAGAGAGCCGGATGTGATGCTTCAACGAAGAGAAGCATTGTTCCAGTTTTCCGGAAGGTTTGTAGGTCGACGCAGAAAGCTACTGCCAGCATGGATGGCCAAAATTATCCAACTGTGAGAAGCATGCACACGCATGTGCGATCGTCACTAAGCCGAACTACCAGTTTGCTTATGATCAAGCAATAGCTCTTGACCAGGGCGCTCGTGCGGGGCGCCTGACTGATTGTCAATTGATTGAGCATCAAATTGGCAGACTGAGACGACAGAGACTACTGATAAAGGCCGGCCGGCCTGGCAGGCAGGAGTCTTAGTTTCATAGCTCATGGCGGCACGCGAAGCCGCATGGCGACTAGCAAATCTGACAATTTCAGGGGGCGATCATAACTACAGTACCTGCCTACGATCAACTCGACCTATTTTTAGCTTCCGGGCACAATTAAACGCGGCTATCAGTCAATCACGCTTACTGCAAGGTCTATGCTTAATCACTTCCCTTATAGCGTACTTAAGTTCCTCGCGTCGAGCTGAGGCGTCGACCGTCATGCTCCTCGCCCGTCGTTCCGTCCGCTCCTTGTTCCTCCGCTTCAAGCCTTTCACGGTCTTCTTGCTCCAACAGTTCTGCGCTAACGGTGTCGTCCTTGCTCTGCGCCCGGAGCTCATCAATGCAGTGAGTCCTGGAGGCTTCAACTCCCGTTGAACCTCCTGCTTTGGCTGTTGGTTGGCGTTCTCTCAAGATTCCGCGTCCCTGGCAGCGTGCTCTTCGCTCAGTGGTCAGTCTGGATCAATGAAGTTCTGCCTTGCGTCGTCTGCATGTCTGTCATAGTTAAGCAACTTCCGAAGTATGAAAGGCACCATGGAAAGCGCCGCAGGATTGAAGTGTCAGACTTTTCGGAGGTCAAGTCTGTAGGAAGCGGGGTGTAGCAGTCTCTCTCGCTCAAGTTTTCGTAGATCTGTTGTTTTCACTCTCAGTCGCGTCATCATGGTCTTGAATGTATCATGAACAGTCGATGCTTACGAGGACGTGACAATCACTATCTTGAGGTTCACATAGGCTCGCGATAGCCCTGAAATTCAGTCTGCGCACCATCGTTCGTCAGCGACGTTGCAATCAAGAGGGCAAGTCTGCACCGAGATGCTGCTCGAGTTCTGCCATTGCTTTGACATTGCAAGTTGACATCAGCTCAAAACGACTTGCGAGTATTGCTTGCATGCATGGTAGATCTACGAGGGCTTGCGCAAATTCGTAAACACGAGATTCCCAGTCTCTCTGGTTCGCACGTGCGATAAACATCTAGATATCAAGCTTGCTGAGAAGCCTACGTTTAATGCGAGAATAGCTGTCCAGCTAAAAGGAAGGAGTAAAAACCGACGAAGGCAGTGCAGGTTGGCATGTGCTAAGCGAAGCTCACGAAGGAACAATGGCTCCCGATGGCAGTGATCCCTGGGACCTCCGTTCGGAGACGGAAAGGCATTGCCAAGAGGTCCATGAGGCGGGGCTTCTTATGGAGGAAGCTTGCGAGCTCCTCCTGCAGGCGTCTGAGGAGCACGAAAGGTGACACCCAAAATTCTGCTTTTCTAAATTCTTGTCTATTGCTACAGCTCCGAGGATTCTTTTTGAGGTTTCCACACCTTTGATTGATCATGCATATGCATGCTTCTGCGTTGATACATCAAACTTTCCCACCAATATTGAGATTGTCTGCACACCTCCACACTCCTATATATATGAAGCTTCTGAAGGCAGTATACTGAATCAGCTCTTGGTTCAGACCTTTTGACCATCAATGCTGATAGAATTTCCTCACTTCTGCCACTTTCATCCGTTTTCAAAGGACCGATATTACTGAGAAAGAACTCAAGGACTCAAACACAGCAGCCGAGGGCTTTGGTCTTCAAATTGTGGACCCTTCCTTATTCTGTTTCTTTTCCACCAGGTCCGAAAATTTGGGTGAGAACGATCTGTCTCGAGGAGGAGTGTTAGCACTCCACGAGCAGTTGCTGGAGCTGATGCATAGAGATGCGGCGTTCCGAAGGAGGGTCGTCTTCATTGGAAGGAGTGGTGTCGGGAAAACCAATCTGGTGTGCACCATATCTTTCCGCATTTTATTGAGAGGAAGTTGGTTAAACGACAAAAGTTCTGTTCCAAAGCTATGAGATACGTAAGCGATGAGATCATGTAAAGATGGCATTAGTTCTAATTTGAAGCAGACTGTGTTACTGTCGCTCGATCTCCTGGACAAGAAGATCCCGGTCAAAAGTCTGCAGGAGGTTAGATTGGCTGGAATGCTCGCAGACGTCCCGGATATCTTTTCTTGCTTCATGAAGTACTCCTGAAACTTTGTTCCCAAGATCTGCGGTTTCGGTGCCAATGGCAATGCTCTGGACGTACATGCATGAGGACTGCCACCGTGATTGAGCAGAACTTTAATGCACTTTGCCCTCCGTTTTCCGGCTCTGCAGTTCAACAGCCTTCTCCGAGCGTCCGAGCCGGATCTCGAAGAATACTGCGCGCGCGTCCAAGAGAAGATCGCGCAGTTCGGCGAGTGGGACGAGCTTGCGCTCGTCGACGCGACACCCCACGAGACGCCGCGCCTTGACACCGTCGCGGCCGCGCGCGCAGGTGCCCGGGTCGAAGTGTACTTCCCAGGAGAGGACCAGTGGCGGGAAGGGGAGGTTGTTGATGTCAGCGAGAGTGACGATGGCACGACGCATTCGGTGAGTTTTCACGAAGTTTTCAATCTGGTTGGTCGGTCAAAGAAAACAAGATCCGGGTACTGGAAGCTCTTCTTGAAACGAGTGGAAAGTAACGAAAGGACCAGTTAATCAACACCGTCAAAGCTTTCAACAGCTGCAAAACTTTTCAGGGGCACGTTTCTTCTGACCAGGCTATCGTGGTTGGCAGAGGGTCCTTGAAGACTTGGAATTATTGAGTCAACCGCTTGTATGTGCAGATCCTCTTCAACGGAGACGAAGAGGCGTTCACTGGACTCTCGCTGCGAGATCACGAGGTCCCTGAAGGTGGAAGCACCGAGGCGGTCTGGGCCCGGAAAGTCTGGGACCTTCGATTCGCTGAGGTAAGCAATACAAAACGACGGGTCGGAGCTCTTCCTAAGGAACGCCGGCTTCATCAGGACTTGGCGAACGTTGTCCGGATGTGTAGGTCTAGGACTCGTTCTGGAAATTGAGCCTGAACTATACTGATCTCTCTGTAGAAACTGCATCCGAAAGGGAACCGTAACCGACTTCAGTGATGCGGGTGAGCCTCACCCTGGTTTAGAATGATTGTAACGCTCGAAATTCGAGGAGAGTTTCTTGATTCTTCAAACGGAAATTTGTGAGCAGCCATCGTGCAGTCGCTGGGTAGGAGCACGCGACGATAATAAACCGCGGCTCACGTAAGGTCTGAATTCTTTCAACTTGGCAAGTGAGTCCGTTATTCCGTTCCAGGAACGGCCGGAAGCAGAGCCCGGGTACGTGGGCGGAAATTACTACCTGCTGCCAGAAGGAGACGTATCGGACACGACTCTGGTGGGGTCTCAAATCACCTCGGGGTCCACTGTGCGCGTGTGGATTTATTTCAAGAATATCGCAGAAGTGGCGGAGGCGATAGGCAGGTAAGGGCGCTCCGGTGTAAGTCTACTCACGGATGTTTGAAACCTGATACGTCTGCGGGGGTTTGCCTTCTAATATTAGGCTCAAAGCTGCTGTCGCTTTTTTCAAGCTAGACGTTAAGCAGGAAAAAAAAACCGCTGTTTCAGCGCTAGAAGTATGAGTTGCTGTTTCCGACGAGGAAGCTCAAGGAGCCTTGCATCTCAGCTTTGCACCTCGGGGCTGAGGTGCTCAAAAACGAAAGCGCATGGTGGACCAACAATGAGTGCAAAGTACCTGTGGGCGTGTCCATGCCCGCTGTTCAGGCGCAATAATACAGCAAATAACATTTGTTTTGTCGACGGCTTCCAATACTAACAGCCTCTATCTCAAGAAAAGACTCGCCAGCAATCGTGCTGAAAGCTTCGCATAACGACGACCGTTTCATACTGACACCTTTGAAGAAAAGATCCATCAAGTTGCAGCAAATCCAGCATGTCTACTCAACAGTTTGGGAAAGCTGCGGAACGAGATGAGGGCTGGCGCCGCTTCAACCAGCGGAACGGTCCCCTGCGGAATGGACATCGACGGAACGATCGAAATCGGGGATTCGGTCGAAAAGGGAGCCCCGGAGGACGAGCACTTTTGGGACCCCTGGATGCAGAATGCCCTGGCGCTTATTGGGAAGCCTCTCAACTTCCCCATTCTAGATCTCAAGGAAGACGACTTTGTGCTGCCCGGGCACTTTCGGAGCAGGTTAAGCGCCGCAGGAAAGGTGAGACCTCGCCGAGACCTCCCTCGGAATTGCAATAAGGTTCCAAAAGCTTCGCCTAGTCTGCTTTAGTAACATGTCAGCCCATCACCTCTGAGGTTAGGGTTCCGTTCTTTCAACAAGTCTCTGCTCAGTACAAAAGGTCGTTGATCTGATCTCAGAGGATGTTGCCTGCGGATGACTTGCCGAGATTCCCAATTAAACCGTTGTTCTTCTAAGCACTCATTGAATTCCAACTGCAAGTGATTGATGCATGATAATGTCGACCTCTTGTAGATCTTGCCGATAATGCAGCAGCTTTTCCAAAAAATATATAAGTTCGGTTTGCGACAAAAAGCATCGTCGTACAGTGACCACGAGAGTCACGCTTCAGTGCCCACTAAGCCATTTTCCCTCCCAAAACAGAGATTACAGTGTGCAGTGAAAATATTCTCTTCTCGATCCTCAGGTGGAGATCTTCTCGCCCTGCCAGAGCACGTCACCCGACGGCACACCCTACGGTGGAAGCTTGTTGAGTGAGCATGTCAAGCGCGCGGCTCAATTCATCGAGTCCAGGACAGGGGAGGGTCTCCACGGCGACAGTCACAAAAAGGTAAGAATCCTCAGATAAAGAAGCTTCGATGAGATGTTTTTTTTGCCGTTCCTGTCACGAGTCCATGTGTTGGCGCCGCCGGGTAACCGTTCGAAAGAAATGCATAACTAAAGCGCCAGTACGGCCCCTATTCCAGCCTTGCAAAATCTCTCGAGTCTACAGGAAGCGGACCTTTAGGGGTGCAGGAGTTTGCCAGCTTCGTAAGATCTTCAGCCTGACAACGCTGAAGATTTGAAGGATGATTTCAGTCCCCCTTAAAGCGCTACACCATTCTTGGAATCCCGATTTCAGTCCCCCTTAAAGCGCTGCACCATTCTTAGAATCCCGAAGCAGAAGCAGATAGCAGCTCAGGGCTGGTACTCAGCATGAGAAAGAGCGTGCCTCGAAAAAATGCATTCTCCGCGTGATGAGCGCCACTTGGAAATGCTTTTCCCCTCTGCTTGCAGATCTACTGGCCCCTTGTTGAGAGAGCCGTCATCCAGCTGCCACACCGGGTGGTGCGCTGGCACGACTTCACAGACCTCCCGGGAGTGTCCAAAGACCCCGGGCCCTTCAGCTGCGACGCACGAGAGGTACGTACCGGGCTTCCGTCTGAATAACCCAGAGCTCCAGATATGTTCGGGGCTCACCGCCTCGCCGTTCCGTAGGTATGTACCGTGATGGCTTCCGGGCCCTGTGGTGCCAACCGCCTGTCTCTCGGGAGGCTGGGGCCGTAAGCACCGCGCGCTGACTTATATTCGAGAGCAAAGCAGTGGATTCGGCCTAATCTCTGAACGCTGCTTTTGAGATGCACCGATCCCTAGTTCAGCGGGGGGAAAGCTTGCGGTCCAAAAGATCCTGTGTCCAACTGTGCATTGACCTTAGGGGCCTGTGACTACCGTATTGGTCAAAATGGACAAAATGGGAAAGTAGTTGACGGACACAGTCCAGCCTAAGCGTTTCAAGGACAGCTTGTTTCAAGATCCTGGATCACACGCTATCCTGGTTCGAATTGGATGCGAGGCTTTTATTGTAGCGCATCATGACAATTGGTTCTGGAAGGGTAATGAATGGATGTACCGTTCGTTTGTTGCTCTACTTGCAGGAGATACGAAAGTCGGACCTCGTGATATTCATGATGGACGTCCGCAGAGATCAGCAGGTGCGTGATGATACAGCCCTTGTCTTTAAGATTGTATATTTTGTACAACAGAGTAGAGACCACTGTTGCCTGTGGTCTACCTCTCACTGGCGCATCCAGAATTGACGTCCCTCCTTGCTCCTGTACTTTCGTTTGTGCTGTTGACTCGTCTTGACTCGGATAAGCGACTACTTTCCAACCATGATAGAATGCGTGAACCAGAGTGTGTTAGCAGACAAATCGGGTCAACAAGGCCCGTTGTGTTTGTTCCCACATAAGCCGCTAACCTGAGAAGCTGTAGCTTACTTCGCATTATGCCCTTAAAATGCCTAGAAACGGCCAAGAATGTAGCAAAATCGCTCACTATACTCTTGGGTGACGTCACCGGCTCCTCCTCCAAGCAGGCCGCCATGCCGCGCCTGGCTGAAACGGCGTACCTCTGCGACCGCCACGTGTCAGATGGAGGCGATGCTGACCAGGAGAAGCGCATCGCGGTCGTCTGTGCGGGCGACAAGTGGTGGACCAAGCGCAACGCGAAGGTGCACAGCACCGCACGGGTGCCCAAGTAAGAGCGTTGAGCTTTTGGGGTCAAAGATAGACTTTGCTGTTGAGATCGTTTTCGGTCCGGGTTCTCAAATAGATTGAAGGCTGGAAGTTGACAAACATTCGCGGTTCAGAAACACCGTCAGAACGAACTTGACTGTTTTGTTTTTTTTTAAGTACGAAAGACTCCTTTCCTTGAACCCAAGTAACACGTTTCAGGACGCACCCTCTGCTTGTTAAGGTTCTGGCCTGCTTCAAGAATCTGACTGAAGCTTTTGACTCAGGGTAGCCTTTAATGTGGTTTCCTTGCAACGTAGACTATGTCTACCACTCCTTCTGATGCGGTTCCGTTTTTCCACCCTGGCAGCCACGAGCAAAACACCCCAGCGGAGCGGAAGATCCTCCTTGAAGCGGAACGGAAGTGGGCCAGCGACCGGAAGCGCGACGTCGCGGCCGCGCTGGAGGATCTGATGATCTCCCGGGAGAATCTACCCAAGCACGTGGCCGAACAGCGAGCCAACGACATTGCTAACCGGGTTACGTTCCTGGTTATCTACCCGGACCTGCGGCACAACCCCGAGTGCGTCAAAGACAACATTGGGAACGTGATATACCAGTACCAGGTGACTTCAAATCTTGCTTCTGATCTGCTTTTGGCACTGCACGATCCTGCGAACAGTCTCTGCATCGCTGCCACGTCATCCTCTTGAACCTCCTCTCTTTTAGAGTCAGTTTGGAAGGCACCCGCATGACGCAAGCTTCGCAAAAGCTGCGGCCTGTTGATTCAAGGAGACCGTTGTAGGGGGACTTCAAGATGCTCACGTCAAGTGTGACTCGGTGTTCCATTCAGTCAGCCTGCAAAGAGGTACGGATCGTCAAATCTTCTGACAGCTTCAGCGAGCGAATAGGCTGCCGTTAGCTGTAGATGTCAGCATCATCGGAAAACCTTGCCTTTCATTCCTCAGGCTATCTCCGAAGAAGACTCCCGCATGCCCCAGCTCCGCGACTTCCTCCGCAGCGGCCGCGTCCGCGCGGCGGGTACCCGCGACGCGCGCGCGCTGGTCTCTGCGGCCCGTGAGCTGCTGGGCAGGTTCGAGGAGATGGGCGCGCGCACATTTGCCCTCGCGCGCGCGGTTAAGCAACCCACGCAGCTCGAGCGGCTAAAAAACGCGCTCGAGCGCGCGAGCGCGCCCAGAGCGCTCAAGCTGCCGACGCTGCGCACGGACGTTTTAGATGGCGTGGAACGGGAGCTGAGGGAGAACCGACGGGAGAGCGTCGAAGCTTGCACGCCACTAAGATTCGGCAAAGAGGTGAGTCAAACGTCTTTTGCGACATCGCCCAGCTCTTTCTGCCTGTTTGCATTTTTCGCTTAGGTCGCGCCGGGTAGAGGAAACGGATCAGCTGGTACAGGAATGCTGAGACTTTAGTCTGTTACGTGCCACCGAGCACACATTTTCCTAGATGGTTTGCTTATGTAGTTGCCTGTTAGACTGTCCTTTACACTTTTATTTCTCAGCTCTGTGTTGATACCAATCAAAAGTGGAGAAGTACGAGTGCTCTGCTTCTTCACAAAATTTCAAGCGCCTAAAATTCAGATCTTTGGCACAGGTTGCTTCTGACAGACTACATCATTTGCGTCGTCCTGAGGGCTTTCTGAAAGAGGCACCAAAACTCATGGCTCGTCATGCCTCCGCTAAATCTGTTTGACCCTCCACAACTTGTCAGCTCGGTGCAAACGCCACAGAAACGTCGAAGACTTTATTTTCGCTGATGTGACCCCCTTTTGACTCCACAGCTGTCCCGGCTCGTTATCCACTCTTCAAAGGAGCCCGGAAAGGTCCAACCGTCTCTCTTCACGGGGGACCTGCAGCAGGCGCTTTACCTAGGTCCGGCTACCCCCCTCGTGGAAACCATGGAATGTGACGGCGTCCGTCTCCAAGACTTAATGATCGCCCCGTTTCTTCTGCACCCGACCGAATGCCTCTACCGGGCACTGGGGATCGAAGCAGTCGGCGATCGGGGTACAGACGCGGCCGCTGAGAAGGCGCCAATCTGGGACTTAGTCGCGGAGTTTCTGGAGGGATGCGCGCGCGCACTCGTGTGCGCGGGCGCCGAGGCGCTTCAGGACCTGGGGCAGGACGTGAAGACGGGAGGGCGCGAGCTTCTGGATCAGGTGCGTGCGCACAACGCGATTACGTGCGGGTTATAGTGTAGATGTTGTTGTGGGTCTGTCTACAGCTCGAAGGTGACGAAGTGCGCTGCTAGAGCGAGCCGGCCAGCAGGAATGACTGATAGGCGGATCCGACAGGGCATACCGCATTCAGTCTCTTATACCTCCTTTCATAATAGTGACACGCAGTCACTTCCGAAACAGATCAGAACGCCAATTCCCTCCTACCTTTCACCATCGCAGAGCGCGTAGCTTTTCGGACGTGGCTTTTTGGAGGGATCTTAGAAGCTTCTCGTCTCTCATCCAGACATTTTTTCTCACAGAGGGGTTCTTTTGAATCCGATCTTTCCTGCAACTGCAGTTGATCCGGTGCCACGTGGACGCGATCGTCGCGCGCCACCTGGGCGCGCTTCGCGCGATGCGCGTCTTCGAGGTCATCCGACGCGCGGCCGAGCAGACAATTGCTTCCCAGACCGCGCGCCTGTGCGCCAGGGTCAAGCGGGGGAAGCAGAAGATGTGGGGTCCTCCGAGCAGATCTGGGCAGAAGTCGAAAATGATGAGCGTTGAGGAGGCGTGCCGACGCTTGGCTGAACTCGGGATGGAAAAGGTAAGGTTGTTGGAAGGGACGCAGTGCAGCATATGCAGAGGAAGACGGAATGTAAAGAAGGCGCTGGGACTTGATGGGGATTGAAAAAGGAGATCAAGTGAGACCAGGCACGAATTGTAGGTTCCTGGTATGGTACCCGAAATTGACAAGCAAGGTACCGTCCCGGTCTCGTGTGCAGATTGCGAGCGCGACTAATTCGGGTATTCAGTTGGAACACAAATGGAAAATTCTCTTCCACGATGTCAGGGAAACCGCAGTTGCTTTCGGCAAGGTAATCGGGATCTTTCAAGTGAATGGTAAACCAGCAACCAGCAATTCCTAGGTTTTCAAAGAGGCAGTTAGCACATCTGCCCGGCTTTAACGAAACGGTAAGGCTGTCAACCCCGTGTCAACTTGCTCAGTCTACACTAAGACTGACTGACTTGAATTTGCTAACCACCCCTGCGTGCGCAGTATCCTGAGAATAAAATAGCGCTCCCTTTTGGATAGGCTCCAACACGTGCAATCTAAAGTTGATCAGTAACCGACAGAAAACACAAGCTCAAGATCAGTTGATTGAAGCGAATGCTTTTCTCTCTTTCGCAGGAGATTGAGCTATTCATGATGCGCCTCAAGCCCACGTTCTCCAACATTCGCGTCGACCTCAGGAACCTTCCCCACCAGCTCGACCCGCGGGAGCTGCTAACCCTCATCAAACCCGCGCGCCTCGCCGCGCGCGCGTCCTTGCTCGCGCGCTCCCAATCCCTGCAAACCAGATTCGCGCGCTTGCTCGACGTCGAGCGGGGCTCGGAAGAAGGGAAAAGAGAGCCGGAGCGAGAAGAGGGGGATGGAAGAGAGTGGACACTGATTGAAACCAGGGACTTGCTTGCCTGTTTAAACGGCGTGGATAACGAGGGTTCCGCGGAATCGGCCTTAGAAAGGGTTTTAGGGGACCCTCATGTGCGCGAGGCGGCCGCGGGCCGCTCCTTGGCGACGGTCCTCGCGTATGTGCGGCTATTGGAGGGCTGCTTTGGAGCGGCGGAGCAAGGAGGACTCAGATTTGCGGAAAAGTCCTACGAAGCAGCAGTGCGCGCGCGGGAAAAATGTGATTCCGGCCGAGATGCGTTGCGGAAGGGGCTACCGGAAGAGTACGTACGAGAGGACACGGACATCCTGCGACTGCTCAAGGTGAGTTTGTTAAGTCTCGTTTTGAATCCGCATTTCCCGAAGACAAAGTTTGGAAAGCAGAATACTTTGAAGGACTTTTGAGGCGCCATTTGAACGACGTTTCTGCTTGAGTGGCAAAAATTCAGACATTTGACACAACTCCGATGCATGGAAAACCGACCGACCGGGTAACTTTGTTGTATTGATACTTTATCTAGTTGTCTTCTTATCTGTGTATGGAGATATTAGACACCTTTGAGGTCTCACGCTCTCATTCGATGAGACGTTCGTTGGCCCTTGAGATCAAATTATGTTCATCTGTCTTTCGTCCAACGCTTCAGCTTTACTAGACTATTGTGTTCTTCGAGTAGTCGTTCGATTTGCTCGTGAACTCAGTGTCTGTTCAATTTCCGGCAGCGTACTTTTATAAATCTTTTTCCATGATTGATCTGCAGCCACCAGTCTTTCGGAACACACACGGCTACCATTTACGTGTGGAAACATGCTTTTCATTCAGGCGGTCACCCAATTCTACCAACGCTCGCGCGCAACCCCCACACTCCGCGCGCGCACGGCGGCCGACCGGGAGATCATCGCCGGCATACTCAATCGTGCGCAAGCCCGCCAAGAAGCGAAGGAGTCTCTTTGGGGCAGAAAAGCACGCCGTTCGGACCTGCCGAACACAACAAGGACGCCCAAAACCAACGTCGAACAATCCACGGTGAAAGACGAGAAGCTTCCAGAGAAAGAGGCCGGTTCTGAGATCGGAGATCAAAGCGGGGCGGGAACCGAGGAAACTCCCTTGGGGAGTGGTTGCGCGGGCCAGCGGTTTGTGAAGCAGATATGGGATGATACTGAGGGGACGTTTGTCGTGAAGCGGGGGATCATCCTGAGAGGTCCTCTTGCCAGTGGAGCGCGCATGGTGACCCGGCAGTCGGTTTTCGAGGTCCGGTACGACGGAGGGCAGACCGGAAAGATCAGCCTCCGACCGGAAGAGCGGAAAAGTGGGACGTACCGGAAAGAAGATTCGAGGCCATTGTCCGGCAGCGCTAGGTCGGCAGAACAGCCGCCTGGAGAAGAGGACAGCGGAAATAAAGATGCATGCCTGAACGGAAACGCAAACGGAAGCGGAAGAGGATCCGGGGACGAGAGTAGCAGCGGAAACGGAAAGGAAAACGAACACGATCGCTACGAGAACGGAAGCGGAACGGCGCCCAAGCCCTGGCAGGCGCTCGAGGTGGGCTGGTGCCTGGAGCGGCTGTGCGCGCTGTACGGCGCGTCGCCGGACGCCTTTCGAACGGCGCTCCGCGACTACGAGGCGTCCGCGCTGCCGGACGGCGTCCGAATCGAGTACAAGCCGCGCAAGACGGGCGACCGAGTGGACAAGTACTACATCTACGGGGACAGCCTGGTCAAGCTCCAGCAGTTCTTCGACGGGGAGCAGCCCATGGCGCGCGGCGAGGAGCGCGGCCGCGGCTGCGGCGCGCGGCCGCACCTGACGCCGGCGCAGAAGAGTGCGGTGCTGGAGAGAATGGAGGAGGAGGGATGGCCGAACTACACGTCGGAGCGCCAGGAGGGACGCACTGCGGGTGGGTTGCGCAACAGTTGCAAATCGAGACGACACGCTGGCTAATGCTTTGTCTCGTCTATGTCGGTGTGGCCGGAACAGATTTCCGTTTCGAAGAGGAGCCTTGTTGGAAAGCAATCCAGCTGGGTGGAGCACTTCGGGTTGTTTGTATCAGCCGAACCTTCTGCAAGCTTTATGAAACGTCCGTTTGTCGTATCCGATAAGAGTCAAGCTCGGTTCGCTTCGGCGGAGATCTGGATTGTTTGTGCGCCTTCAACTTCCAAGCAAGACTGGCAGCAATGTCAAATAATTGCCGGCCCCCTCACCTCCAAAGATTCCTGCTCCTGTCGTAGAATTCGAAACTGCAACACAAATTGGAGGTGCGGAACTTCGCCATTAGAGGGGCAAGCTGGTTCCTCCCATATAAATTTGAGAATGTTTTTTTCAATCTTTTGCAGGAAAGGTAGACAGCTACTACAAGACTCCACAAGGAAAGCGCTTCCGGTCACTTGTGGAGGTAACTAGATTGGTCCCCCAGTCATCGACTTCGTAAAAATATTATTTCAGACCTGTTTTGGTTCGGGCGATGCAACGTGCGTTGCAAGAGAGTTTCTTCGAGTTTTTACGGTTGCGATTTTAGACCGTGATATCAAGAACGGAATCTTGACGCAATCTTATGGTCTAAAGAGTCTGTCCAAGCCCTTTTCAGTGCACACAAATCTCACAGGAGCAATAAATTAGCAGAAAGGATCCTCATTTCAGTGGTATCAGAGTCAGTTTTCATGCGGTAAAGCAAGAGCTTCGTGGGGGCTCTTTGCTGCCTTCGCATAAAGAAGGTGCTTGAGCGTGAAAACGTGAGCCTCTCCGTCTAAAATTCTGTGTGTTGGTTGCAGGTGTATGATTACCTGGAGAAGGTTGACGAAGCCAGGGAAGAACAAGCAGCCTCCGAAGAGGAAGAGGATCGCCCGGTGAGGTTCAACACTTCTTAACTCTTCGCTTCTTCAACACTTCCCCGACGGCTTCAATTATTTCCCTGCTCCGTTTGACAATCTCCGACGACTTTACTTTGTGGTTTCTCAGAAACATTCTGAGCCAGACCAGTGACGATGCTGCTTAGGGTTACAACGTACTCTGATCTGCCGGCTCGAATCTGTTATCGAACGATGTTTCTTGAGGATATTTTGAAATGGATCAGCCTGAAAGAAACGAAACCCTTCAGCAGGTGGACTAATATGCAGATATCGTCTGGACAATGCACACCTTCGACACGCTCGCCAGTTCTCGCGAATCAATAGCCCTTCTCAGGTCCATAATTCCACTCTCAACATTAAGATCGCCGTTTTCCTATCTCCACCGACCAAAGAAGCATTGATCCCTTCCAACAGAGCAACCAAGTAGGCTCGTTTGCAGTTCATCCTCTCTTCTTTGCAAGGTCGGACAGTCTAATGTCTCCTTCTTTTTGCAGCTATGCCAGCTAGGATCGGAGCGCAAGAGGTTGAAGAAGGGTTCAAAAGCCTGACCGGCCTGGATCTGGATGAGGAATGGTACTTCGACCATGCGTCCACGAGAAAATGGGGCTTCGGCATCGTTAAGATCCGTGAGTAATGCACAACTCGGGTCAGTGAAACTCACTACCTTCAGTACATCCTTTCTGCCGTGTAGCACAGGAGGCGCTATCGTTACCGGAATCTAGTCAGCGCTTATGTTAGCAGGTGACCTTTCATACTCTTGACTGTAGAAAGAGTCTGGCTGATCACCCTTACACAAGCCGGACCAAGATCGAAACATTTCTGAGTTTGTTTAACAGTAGGTCGATCATCTCTTCCTGGGTGAGGGCAGCAGGTCGGGTGGATGTGTCGATGACGGTGTGAACTTCTTGTTGGGGAGACTAGTGATCGCGAGCAATACAAGGCCGCCCAGCTATAATATCAAGCAGGCAAAATGCTATGTGTCTGGCAAACTTACGTACAGGTTTGTCGCCATCACCCTGCGCGGCGCACATTCCGCTTGCACCCGCATAGCGGTACTCAGCTCTCAAAGGCGCTCAAACGCCAATGATCTTTGAAAGCATGAACGCGTCGGGATTAGCTGCTGGCACCCCTGGCAGCCCAAAGATGCGAAGAATAGCTAGATGCATGCGACTGGACAGATCCAAAAAAATGCATGAAAGTCCCATGTTTGATGTAACTGCCTATGGGACTTGTAAAACATACACCATGCGCGAGCCGCCATGCAGGCTACATGCCAAGTTGGAATCCTGGCAACCATGTCGAATCTCAGTATATCAATGATACCGGGATTAAAGTTCTGCTACACCCCGGAGTAGTTGCAACTAGTAGATGGTGCCTGGCAAAGGCCATCTGTTCAGTGACCCTCAACGGTTTAATGAAACCCACAGGCCCCAGCCGGCCTTCGCAAATTAAGGGTACACTTCCATGCAGCGGTACCTACAGCAACCTGCGTTTCTGCACGTGAACCGTCCGTATCCAGATGGCAACGGTTGGACCGGGACGCTGAGGATATCACTTTCGGGCATGCCGCATCTTGCCTAGGTATATGTGTTCTGACACGTAGACTGAGAGGCCATAAATAGAAAGCCGGGGCCGGCAGTGAAGCAGGATACTCTCATCTCGCCAACTTGCCCCTCGTTTTCGATGGTATCGCTTCGATTCCAGTTGATTAGTTCTTCTCATGGTCCGCCCCAGCGGGATGAGACGGACGGGACTGCCCGTCATTCTTATCCGGATATTTATTGCATGCACGTGGGTGCTCCTCGGTAGTGCACGTTTACCTCAAATGCATTGCTGTACTTCAGCCTACAGGGTGTCGGTCCTGACAAAATCCAAAAGCTATAGGTCTACACTTGTTCAAACCCAAGGCCGCACGCTCTACGTCGTTCTAGGAACCCTGACCTGCTCGATAGCTATCGGCTGGCGCCCTGCTCGTTTTCGAGATCTTTGAGGCTGCCCATAGCCATAGAAGGCGGCTACACGCACGCGAATCACTCAACCGGTTAGGAAAGACACTACGAGCTGCTTGGTCAGAAATATCGAGATCAGAAACAAAGAGTAAAAGAGAAATGAATAATTGACTACGGTAAGGCGAATCCGCCGGTGGTCCGACCAGCAATTGACTCCACCTGCCTTCCGATAACCAGTTTTCCAGGCGAGCCCTTGAGAACAAGTCAGCTCGAAGAGCTTCGGCGATTAGCGCAGCTGCTTTGAAACCTGAAGCAAGGGCAAGCGGATCGGGAGCTTCCAACTGGACAATTCCAAGAGTTTGGTTCACCACAATTATGACCAAGACTGTTGGGAAGCGCCTCCACTCATCAAAGTCACAAATTCCAATCTGAAGAGACATGTACACTCTATCTACGACTTAGAACCAAGAAGTTTGCCTTACACCTGGAAGAACGAAACTTCTTAAGCTCAACTCTCAAATGGTAAGTGGCGCCGATGGGACTCTTTTGAATCGACTCTCAATTTGAAAAGTGGCAACAATGGGACTTTGTAGAGTCAACTTCACTTCGATAAATGGCGTCGATATGACTCTGTGAAGAAATCAGGTGCAAGGAGGCTGACCTCATACGCGGGCTTCGCTTTTCTGTGCCGGCTTCTTTGAAAGGTCCCGGTGGGAAGGTTGTGCAAGCGGGGATACGGGATATGGTAGTGCAGTGCATACTCTAGGCGGTGCTCTCCCTCCTCGATCTGTGTGGAACGATAGAGAGGAAAGGATTGACGGAAGATTGATGTGAGAGAGAGAGTCAGGGACGTTAGGCGTCAAGTTTCACGAGTGTGCTACAAAGATTGTTCCAGGCAAGTAGACAAAGGCTGAAAACGTAAAATTTGATTCTGCGGTCGCAGATTCAGGTCCTTCTCAAAGAGCCGGACTTCTATCTGGATCGTCAAAGAGACGCTTCACACCATATACTCAATGGGTTTAAAGCAGATGTTGGTGAAGAGTCAAGACAAAAGGAGGGTACGCAGAACGAACGGTCGCGCACAACTCTGATCAAAATGGTCTGCAAATCTTTTACAATACTTATAAAAGATGGCATATAAGCTTTTGACCATAGACTACCCGAAGGAACCACTGTGACTGCTCTGCACAGTAACCTGCCAATTCAAGCAGACATGATGAGATTTCGAAAAAGAGCGCGTGGGGGCGATTGGAAGCAGGTACACTTTGTAATCAAAACAAAGCAAAGATCATCAGTTTCGACATCGAGGAGGTGAGGATGCTATCCTACATCCCATTTAGTGAAGCTTGGTCCCTTGCTGCAGTCTCTCAAGAATTCTCTAGAAGAACCGCTTCTCAGTGCAGAGTGCCGGCTGGGCTAGGTTCCGAAGTCCGGGCGTACTCTGGTGAACAGCACTAGCCTTTCAGTGTGAACAGCAAAGCAAACTTTTCAATCCATGGGATCAATCAAAACCGCAGTGGAAGGAGCAGAGGAAGGAAGAATTGGAGTAGGTAAGCAACTGAATCTTGGAAATTTACCTGCTTTCCAATCTCTGTAGCATCATCAAGCGCTCGGTTCTGCCGGAACGTGGATTGAGCTTCATTCTGTGGAATGGGAGGGCATGTTGTTTGAGATGGGCTCACGGAGCACAACAACAACGAGTCCAATATTACCCAATCCGATTCCCATAAGATAGGCCTTTCATTCAATCTGCTTCTGCAATTTCGGAAGTTGTCCCTCTGTAGAACTCTTTTGCCAATCACGTAAACATGACAGACCAACAAGTGGTGACGAGAACATAACGTTAGATGGGTGTGTTTTCATCTTCAGCAACACTGACAAACTGTGGGTTCCTTCTTTCACTGTGTGGTTTCATTCAGATTGTCATCTTGCCCCCCGCTATCCTGAGAATAGAACAGGCGCAAACCGGACACCTCACTTCTGTTGTTGGACTAGCTACTAGGTAGTGGAGACCACCATAAACAAGAATCACACAAACCTTAAGGCAGCGGTTGAGAACCCCCGTTAGTAGATCTCATAGACCTCATTATTAACAACACGGTGCGGTTCTGCAAGTTGCAGCTCATAGAGCATACACACCAGACTGTTCCCAACAACAAACATACCTCAACCTCACCACAGCACCAGAGATTACGAGGTGCCCCGCCACAAAGTACATGAAAGCAGTTTGCAAATATCACACTCACACGAATGTAGTTGACCTCCTCCTGTGGCCCAGGCCAGGTCCGAGCGGCCCTCAGTATCCTTCGGTACAGACTGAGGGCCTGGCTCCGCAGGGCAGGGCTTCCCATGAGCAGCAAAACCTGCTCTTCCTCAGGCAATCTTTCGTGAACAAGTTCAAGTCAACTAGAGCCGTGAATCAGTTCCGTTCTTAGCTCTGCCAAACACAAAATTTGCAGCTTGCAAGCTGCCAGCAAGCTAAGGAAAAGCCGTAGACAAATGAAGGGTGCATGCGAAGACGTCTTCCCCGCAGCATTGCTCGGCAACTGATCTCAGAATCTCATCACAAGAAGGGAAATGTTCACGTTCGCACGTCAATTTGGCCCGCCTCAATTTGATGCTGAGGGCGCTAGCTTAGGGCTTTTCCCAGTGGCAAGCCAGGCCAACGTGACTTGAAGTTGAAGTTGCGTCTGTTCAGTTGCCCATGAGCAACACTTCCAGAGCTCTGAGGGCACATTTATCAGCCAATTCTGCGCTCGTTCTAGTCGAGTAAATATGTGTCCCGATCTCCAGACCTTCGTGGGAGAAAGCGGCTTCGCAAGCAGCGTAAAGGCCCCTCGATTCTACATACTGCAATGACATACGAGCAGCATTTCTCTCTCTATCTACAAGGAATTTGGCAATTTTGATAGTGCGAAGTTCTAGGCATTCCAGATCAGCTGGCTGCATGTGGTTGCTGCATGTGGTTGCTGAGCACTCGGCATTGGACTCTCTGTACACTTGTATTAAGAGGATTGGGCAAGGGCGCCCTAGCTGCTTATTCATATTGCCTATGCTTGCACTGCTTGGCAGCACATTTTCTAGAAGGATTCTTTCATGAGGTTCTGAAGTATTAAGGTGTCAGAATCCAACTATGGGTGCCAAACGAAAGCAGCCCAGTGGGGAGACCGCTCCGGCTGTCACAAATGATGAGGCTCGTGCGAGCGCTGAAGGCAATGGCAAGAATGCACAGCATGTGGCGGGCAACGGGGTCAAAGAAAAGAAGGAAAGGGGAAGCAATGAGGATCTCAAGCAGATTCAGGCCACATTTAAGTCCAGCCTCTTCAGGTTGCAAGTAAGTGCTCAAGTGTGCTGACTTTCTTCGATTGCCAAATACCTACTACGATGATTCCTCAGCTCATGCAAAACCATGCCATCGTCAATTCAATGCTGGTGCGAGTTCGCTGGTTAGACCATTACCAGGGATGGTACTTTCTAGAACGTTCTTACAAACATTCATGCCTCAGACAGGGGTTCCCAGCTAGAGTTGTCCACCGCTCCGGTGTGTTCATTGTGGGCCAGAATTTGTAAGCGGTTTGGCACTGGTTAAGCTACGCTCAGTCTTAAATTTGACAGAATTGAACCAATGCAGTACAAAGTTCAAAGTATCGCCGGCTAAGTTTTCCCCCTCTGGCAGGTCACTGAAATGCTGAAGGAGGTTACCGTGGATTACTCAAAAGCGGCGGTCATCGGCGGTGCCCTCCAAGCCCTCAAGATCTTCCTCGACTCCATTCCAGAGCCCGGTGCCCCTTTGTCCCCAAACTTAGTTAGCGGCTATGCAGCCGCACTTGGGGTGCCTGCGGCAAAGCTGCAAGGGTTGAGGCTTATGCGGCCGGCGAGGGTAGAGGTTGTAGGCAGCTTCGTTGGAAAAACGGTGGCAAAACCGGTGCAAAATGTGGATGTGGCGGTTGAAATCCCCAAGGTAAGTGGTGGTATAGCCAAGCGCCTATGAGGGATGATTCAAGTAAGAAAAGAATATGCTTTTCCTGGAACGTGAGAATGTAATTTGGTGGTGGCACCGGGGCTACCTTTCCTTTGCTTTGGAGTGCATTACATTCTGCACCACCCTGCCATCATGATTTGCACCACCCTTTTGTTAGAGGCTTGAGGGGCATCTGGGATTAACTCTTCACTGTGCAATCTGCTATCTTTAAAGCTGTGGTTGAGCATTAAAGGCGAGTCGGTTCGAGGCAGGCTTCTTGATGGCGGATGGTCTATTTGCCCTCCGTTGCACAGAGTGTGAATGTGATGATTGTGAGTGCTAGCCGTGAAGTCAGCATATGGATCTCAAGGAACTTCTTTCGGAATAGCGTTTGATATCAGCAAATGGTGGTACAACCACGCCCCCAGACATCATACTAAAATAAGAACAAAAATAGTTTGGCATCCTTGTTCGCAGGCGTTCTTCCATGAAAAGGATTATCTCAACCACCGCTACCATGCGAAAAGGGCCCTGTATCTTGCTGGACTTGCAAAGATTCTTGAAGCGGAGTGTAAGGCATTCGAGTCTGCTAAGGTGGTCCCATTCAGGGGGGACGCGAGAAAGCCCATCCTCGTCCTTACACCAGGTACGTGTGGCTTGCTCTCCTTCCGGAAATTATCATTCTCTCAGTCGGTTGCGTGGGTTGACACCCAGCGATCAATTGGAGTATTGACTATGCTGTGCTCAAGCGGGTTGCCTTCGCTTCAATCAGGCTGGCAAAAGGTGCAGAAGAAGGTGGTTGAATAATCATTGATCCCATGAGGCAGCTTCGAAGTTTCCTGCTTTCTGCTTTCGAACAATACTCATCCGTATGATCTGGCGAGAACTGAATGCTGGCAGGTCTGTCAGAGGTACTCTGTGCTTTTTCCACTCTCCACGAATCCTGCTAGCTCAACGTGGTCACGAAAAATGTCTGAGGGCAAATCTAGCGTAGCCAAGTGTCTGTCCCGTAGCTAACTCGACAGAGCGAACGAGAGTGGGAATCTGACGGTCCTACACAACTCAAAGAATGGCGTTTCTCCTGCAGGCAAATCAGAGACTGGCGCTACAACAAAGTTCGTCGTCCGTATCATCCCGACAATTGACCAGGGTACTTTCGACACCGTTAAGCTCGCGCCAAAGCGGAACAATCTTCGGAACGCAAAGACTGAGAGTGGGGAGCCGCTCCCGACGCCGCAGTACAGCAACTCGATTTTGGAGGACATGGGGCTGGCAGAGCAATCAAAGCTGCTCCAATCAGCGCTTGCCACGTGTCCAGCCCTGGGAGAGGCGATTGTGCTTCTCAAGGTGAGCGCCAGCAGAAGTGAACAACGGAATACCGTGTTTCTGTCCACCATTGGTCTTGCTTCCGAGCAAGTGAGAAGCGAAAGTGATTTGACGCCTGAAACGAGTCGCGGCCAGCGAGCTGCTCTGGCAGGTTCCTGCACAGAATCTAAGTAACCAGACGACGGGCAAAGCCTCCTTGATTATCGCAGCAGGCCGCCTTGTGGCAGTTGGCGCGTTTCTTGAACGCTCTTCGTTGGCAGCTTCTACGTCATTCGCTTTTGCCAGGTTGCAGCACAAGAACTAGCTACGATTAGTACTCCTTAACCCGCGAGTCCGTTCATAAGCAATGGTTCGTCATTCGAGGTTTGGGTGCGGTTAGGCAGCTTCCAGAAGGCGCCAAACGATTGGAAAGGACGAAGGCAAGGCGTAGGTGTCAGCTCTGTGGTTATCGGCCGTACTCGTGGATTACAATTCTTTATCCATAAGCTATGACTTATTCTTCGTCCAGGTTTGGGCTCGGCAACGTGGGTTCCATGACGCGCCGGACGCAGTGAATGGTTTCCTGCTTTCGATGCTGGCAGCCCATCTGACCAGCGCGGCGGGAGGGCGCAAAATCGGCGCACACATGACGACCTACCAGATCTTCAAGGTCGTACTGAACGCCCTCGGTGAGCATTGCACTGAGTTATTGATTTGTAGCCTTGAAGGGCCCCATTGCGATGTGTGATCTCGTCAGATTATACTCCTTAGTTTGGGGACCTTAGATGAGGAAGGCGTTCAGATTGCTGGAAGATAGTGGATGACGGGGTCTAACAATTGACCTCGACGAGGGGCCTCCCTTTTCAAGAAGCCCTCAAACCACGTAGTCTGAGTACTGACACTTCGATTTTTCCAGTTTCAAGCGTTGAAGACATGTGTAACTTTCGCATGTGCCGCTTGAGGAACTTGCCCATGAATCGTTCTTTCAAGCGGTCCCTCGTCAATCGAAAGCTTCGTTATATCATTTCGATCTACCTCACCGTCGCCTGCAGTCGGCTTAACATCGAACTTCGCCTTGTGTCTCTTCCGGAATCAATGCGTTGCCCGATTATCTCCGCAGCGCACGTCCCCATGCTGGAGAAGGGCGTCTTCCTGACGGACGCTTCCGGACACACGGACGTGACGTCAGCAAAGCGTGCGGCGCTGCTGGCGGCGTTTGATGTCGTCATCGCCGACCCGAGCGGGCGGGTCAACCTGGCTGCGCGCGTCACCAAGTCTGCGGCTGCAGAGGTGAGGCCTTTTTGAACCTCTTGCCGAAAGAACCTCGTTGGATTGTAGAAATAGTCACGAAATCCGGTTGTTAGGACTTATCGGTGGGCTCCTCTTGGATCTATGCTGGAGCATGTTTCGTGGCCGTCTACAGCGCCGCTATTTCGAACGACAATTTTGTTCAGAGTTCTACTTCCGTTGGTCTGCCACGTTGGACCTCTATGGAGTTTCTGACCGGTACTGCAGGTTGTTCTCCTCTGTAACGTGCCCCCCAAAAGGTCATCCTCTACAGGGAGTAGGCCGAAGGCACTTTTGTTTCATAGTCAGCATATCAACCCTTAGCTCCACAAGAACACTCTTCAACGAGAAAGGGAGGACAAATAAGACATTTCTGAGTAGGGAGGCCCTGTTTTGCAGCTGGCGAGAGAGGCTACCCGCGGGCTGGCCCTGCTCGTCGCCGACGGGGACGACAACGAGGCCTTTGACGCGCTCTTCATGACGCCTGTCGCATTTGCCGAACGCTTTGATTTCTACGTCAGGTGGGTGCTCACTAAAATTTGCAAGTTCTGAGCTTTTACAAAGTCTATTACCACTTTTCCTATGGAGTGTCTGCGGTGCATTTTCAAGCGTGTTTCTAAAGCGGCTCGTAGACACTTGGAGACTTTGGGACTGAAAGACTGCGTCCAACACAAGTTTCAGCTTAAAGAAGTCGGCTGCTCGCTATTGTTTACTTCTCACTAGCCGAGTCTGGGCGCTTCGGTTCTGGCCATTTGAGCCCTCTCCCGTTTTTTAGATAAAGAACTCCGCCTCAATTCTGAAGCAGTTCATCACAAACATTGGCCAAGTCACTTAGTTGCCAACCCAGAGTGCAGAACGTCTTCTCCCATTTCGCAGAGTGACGACAAGTTCCGGCGTTAGCAGGGACGAGCCTTCAACTCCGGACGTTCCGGACGCGCTGACGTCGTCCGATGTCAGCAGCTTTCGGACGGAGGAGGACCGCATCGAGTTGCTCGTCGCCCAGGGGCTGGGGGAGCGCGCGCTTCTGGTGCGCGCGCGCCGGCGGGGGTTGGAGCCCAGTTGGCAATTAGAGAAGGTGAATTTTTATTTTTGCAAATTTTGTGGGCTCCCCAAGCGCCGGGGGAGCGCACGCGCAGGTGGGAGCTGCAGCCTCAACTGGCAACTAGAGATGGTGAGAAACCGATCTGGTGAGTTTTGTGGGGACGTTGCGACCGGTTTTGATTACACGCCACCAAAGCCTCGTGAATCCACAGTCGATGCGCGCCGACAATGGGTTTTAGGACTCGAGAGATATTGCATCGTAGATCCTCTTGTGAGCGTTGAAGGTGGACGGGTTTGATCTAAGCGCTTTCCAGATTGTTTTGCGGCCATCAACGTTGGCGATTGTTTACAGGCAACGGCATTTTTGTGAAACGTAAACGCATTACCGCCAAGTTGGACAAAACTTACCCAAATCGGACGCCCTTGAAACAACGTCGCTCTTCCCTCCTTAAGATTCAAAATTCTGACCGGATGCCACGTCGCTCCGCAGGGCCTTCCAGCAGCGGCGGAGGGCAGCGTTCTGGTCGGGGTCAGCTTGGCAGAGCCAGATGTCGCCTTCCGATTAGCCGACGTCGGGCCGAGTGCAGACGACAAGGAGGCAGCCAAGAAGTTCCGGGACTTCTGGGGCCCGAAGGTGCGCTGAACTTTCAGACATAGTTGTTCTCACCGTACACGCTCTGGATCAAAGGTTGCATGTTTCTTTTTGTTTGTTGGAAAAGCTGAAGGGATCCAGATGTGTGCTTTTGCATTGTACTGCAACTTTTCCTCACCGTTCGTTTCCGGAACAAGATCGTACTGCCCTTCTTATCTGAGGTCGAAAGACAGTAGTCCTCTGAAAAGCGTGTACCGTCACTTGGAAGCGCTGAGTGTTATGTGCTTCCAGCTTTCCTAGGTTCTCATTTTTCGACCCAGATTCTCAACCCACATTGCTCGACCCCTGATCATCCATCGACCGCTTTCCCTGCCAAATCGCAGGCCGAGCTTCGCCGCTTCCGCAAAGGCCGGATCGCAGGAATCGCTGTGTGGGACTGCCTCGAATTGGTGGCGCTTGCCATCTTTCAGTAACCCATCTTTTGAGACCTTGATCTCCCATGTCTTGACTTATCACCGCCAAATCCCCCTGCCTCATTTCCACAGGCCGAGCTGCGGCGTTTCCGCGATGGCCTGATTGCGGAGACCGCCGTGTGGGACTGCCCCGACCCAACGGAGCGCCACCTTGTCGTCGAGCGCGTCGTGCGCCACGTGCTGTGCCGCCACCTCCCGACAGTCCCGGGGAAAGTCGACGTCGTCGCAGGGCAGCTCGACGAAGTGCTGCAAGAAAATGGCACAGGTGGGCACTCGCCTGATTTCATCATTTCGTTGGCGTTTTTTGATTCTTCTAAAATGCGTCATATCTTCTGAAGTTTTTTTCAAGCGCCACCAGCAAAGTTGACGTCGCGCGGGGCAGCTCGACGAGATGCCGCACGACATGGCGCAGGTGGGTTCGCATTGATTCCCCTGTTCCAATACTCGTTTCATTCAGGATTGCTCGCCCTCGGACAGTGTCCTTTATTCGGGAAAACTCTCATTTATACCTTTCTTTTCTCCTGAAATGTTGACGTCGTCGCAGGGCAGCTCAACGAAGTTCTGCAGGAAAACGGCACAGGTGAAGACGTTTTGTCTGGCTGTATCGTTTCTTTCTTGGTTTGCCTGACTGAACTTTTCGTGTTTTCGCTTGAAACCTTTAGCATCAGTCAAGCGATAGTGGGAAACTGACATTGTCGTGGGGCAGCTCGACGAATAGTGAGAAGGGCGCAGGTAGAGACGCTGTCTGCTCCCCTTTTCGAGATTTGATTTATCAAGTGAAACATTTGCTTTTTGACCTACTATCGATCTCCGTACTTGAACGTCCGCGTAAGAAGTTGACATGGTCGCACGGCGCCTCGACGAAGTGCTGCAAGAAAACGGCGAATGCCTCATCTGTTTCTTCTCCCGGTTGAGCCTCACCGAGGCTCTGCTAAGATCGTCTTTCCGAGGCCTTTGAGCAAACGCCTTGCGTTTTCTTCTACCTCATCACGGCCTGGCGTTTTGATAGCTTACTCGGACGTGTAATGAAAGCCTGACACGCTGTATCCATTCCTCGGAGACGCAGTCATCAATCTCTTGATGGAAATTGCGGTCCTCCCGTGAGGGCTCTTGTGTATTTACTCTCGCCCTAAAACCCTAAAACCCTAAAATTCTGAAACCCTAGCATTCGTGTGACATCTCGCTCTGTGCCGCAGATCCCGCGGGAGTGATGCCCACTCTTCTGGACGCTTTCACCAAGTTGTCGAAGCGGCTGCGCGGTCTGACCGACCTGCCGCTCAAGGTGGTCAGTGTACAGCCCCTCAGCGCAGGTATGCCGAAAACTCTCTCTCTTCTGCGGGTAGATTCTATGATTGATTGCTGTTGCTTCATCTGGTCATTGCTCGCCCATCCCTTGGCAGCTTGCTTGGTTGACTGCTGAAAAGGCACTTGTGTTCCGCCCAACATACTTCTCGAAAGTCCAGACTCGTCACTCTGGCATCCAGCTTTTTCGGGGGGCGTTCTGTTAAGCACTCTACAGACCATTCCGTCATTCTTTGGAAGAACGGGGATCAGACCCTTTTTTAGGAGTGCGTTTCGCAAAGAAGGTGCCGAGGTTCTCACGACAACAGTCTTGTCGGGAAACCGCACCTGTTGCCATGCGCGCAAGTGCTTTGACAAGAATGGCCTAGCTCGTTCCTAGCCCTTTTGACCACTGGTTTCGGGCATACAATATCTTCAGCGCTTGAAACATAGGCAGTGACAGACTCATTGGAAGCCAAGGCGCGGCTGTGACGAGGTATAGACTGGGCTTGCTGGTTCAGTCCTGAACTGCCTTGCGCTCCGATGCTGCTGTAGATAGGCGGAATCAGGAATCATTCTACTGCCTTGCCAAGCAAAGCTGCTGATCTTGCGTAAGGGCTTGCAAACAAGTGCTTTGATGTCAATGGGACACGCGGTCCCAACCAAGTCGGCATTTGCCCGACAAGCTTCGCAGCAGAGGCCTGATTAATTGGTGCTTTGAGATTTCCTAAAGGTGACCCGATAAGATTCTAGGCAAGTTTGTTGCCGAGGGTGTCTTTCTTTCAACGCAGTGCTCAGAGGGAGTAATCCCCTTCAAGGTATCTCCTTACTAACGCACCCAATATGAGATACTGGGTGCGTAACTTTTTTGACATTCATCCAATTTCTCGAAGTCTAGTTACCAAACCATTGATGCTAGAGAGGTCTGGAATTATTATGGTTGCCCGCCACTTGTATAACATCCCTACTTGCTTGTTGCCTTCTCGTCTTACTTCTCGTGGTGTCTCTCGCGGTGTTAATTACGACAACCAGCACTGAATTCCCTCGAGGCGAGTGGAGCGGGTTAGTTTGACGCCTTTCGCACACTGAAGGTGCTCTCTTGCGTTCTCATCCGTTGAACGCTTGTAGTGCGCTGGTCGACCGCTTCTGTCCATTGCTCGTCCTGGGCGGAGGCAAGAGCTTAGGAACTCCGAAATTCGATTTCAGTATATTGTTGGTAGCGAAGCTGGGGCGCTCTGGTGTCTTTCTCCACAGCTATGATAAAATTTTGTGGGCCCCTCTGCCCACCACTGCTCATGTTGTTTGACGCTGCTCCCTTTGTCAACCATATGTACCCTCGCTTGAGTTCATACCTTCAAAGCTCTTAAGACGACTTGTTTACGAAACTCTGTGCTCTGGAATGGCATCAGAGGCCCTGCATTCTTGCGTGCACACTACCTGCAATTCAACAATATAATGCCTTGCCTTTTAAAAGAAATTATGACGGGGAAAACCTGTGAACGATGACTCTGACCATCTTGATTCCAAAGGAGCGGAACGAAATCACCTTTTCATTTGCGGTTTGCTGGCGGTTGAAGCACTGTTCGGGGCAAAGTTCAGCAGCGATGATGCGAGTCAGGTCTTGAGCAGCTTCAAAGCTCAGCAGTCCTCGTGCTTTAGCTGATGCTGTTTAGCCTAACATACGCATCGTTGTTTTCCGACATGAGTATACTTGTCCACTTAACCCGATTCTGTTCACTTGCAGCACTAGTCTGGTGGGTTCGCTGTTTAGGGAGACTAATCCCGGAGAAGCCCCCCCTAATTTTCGATGGCTTTGATTTTATGCGAGTCCATTGACGCGGGGTCCTAGGATGAGTGTGGATATCATAGAGGCGATGATCAAACACCAGGAGCAAGCTATACCCGTTTTGGTTGGTAGCAGGCGTAATATTCGTTCCTGAGCCGGCTTAACTTGCAAGAATTTCGTCCACTTTTTCCTCACTGTCTGCCTGTTTCAACGTGAATCGGTCAGAGTTTAGAGTTGCATCATGTCCCTTCGCTGCGAAGAATCGCAAACACTTCGTTTTGCCCGCCCGTATTCCGCCTCTTTCACACCACCTTCTTTTCGGTCTGCAGCCCTCTGCCATACTGCCGTCTTCCCCCCCCAGCCCCACCCCCTCGCGTTCGACGGCGAAAAGCCCCCCCCCGAAGCGGCAGAAGCCCTGCGCTCAAAGAAAGTCCCCGCGTGCCTGGACCCTCTAGGGGTTCTGCTGACGCTGGAAGGGTCCGGACGGTGGCCGGACGCGCCCGCAGCCGTTCGGAAAATGAAAACCGCGTTTCTGCTGCAGATTGCTAAGAGGTAAGCTGGGTGTGGGAGTCTTCGGAAAAACTTCAAAATGTTTATGGGTCAAGGGGTCAGTTCGCCAGACGTTGAGGAGGGGCGGATGCTTTTGGAGAAATTCCAACGATCGCTCAAAGACCCCAATACACTATCGGCTTTCGGGGAGGTTCGTGAGTCAAGCATTTTTATCTCAGGAATTGTGAGTGTTTGTAAAGGCTTCCAAGTCAGGGTCCGACCAGCGGAGAGATAACGTAGCTCAAAGGAGTCTTTGCAACCTTTTCTGCCCGCAAGAAACACGTGATCAAGTTTTTCCGATCTTTTTGCGCCTCGCAGCTTGCGAGACAACCACTCTGTCCACGTCATCGCCGCCGAGGACGCAGTCGACGTCCTAACCGACGGGTTTGCGTTCCGGTTAGCGCTCTTTTACGAGAAAGACCCGACCCGGTTAAGGAAACCCGGCCCAGTTCCGGGCACCTCTGGTGCAAACCTGAACGGCAACACAGAACCCGCAGCGGTTAGTTTAGAATCGGATCTTTTGTTGCGGAGCACGCACGCCAACCTCCTCCAAGCAGTGCAAGGGCAGCACCCCGCGTTTGGCGCCACTGTAAGGTGAGTACCAATGCTCAACCAACTGCTGAAGGAGTGATCAACAAAGTATAGAAGAAAGGGAGCAGGATAGAGCTGAGAGTAGGCGACAAGAAGGACGAAAGAAAAGGGATCGCTTGGCTTCCGGGTCGCCCTCCGGTTAGTCGGTCTGTTGCTTCTTTCCCCGGGCGGTTATTTTTTGGTGCAATTGCGACTCCAAATCACAATCTCCTTTCCAAGGATCGATCCACTCTGTATTCTAGTGACCCAAGCGGTCCGCGGATTGGTGACGATGACCTCCTCGATTCGTGCTCCGTCTCAGCATCAGCTTCGTATTCGAATGAACATTCTGGCCCCTTCCGCCGCCTGCTTTACTTCAGCCTTCGCACCACGTGTGAATGGACGCAGTAACGAATGTCCATATGTTTTCCTTCCGATTAATTGCAACCTGGTAGACGACAGTGGGGCAATGGATATCTTCTTCCTGGGACCGGCTCCAGCGAACATTACTTTGGCAATGTCTATAGTCGTCGGCCGATCTTAATGCAGATTTGCAGACCGATCCAAATCTTCCAGGAAACAAACCGACCGGTGCAACCTTGACCAGCTGCACCCGAAGCTCCTCGCACAACCGGCCCGGTTGAGCCTCCCGAGCGCTTCACTTCGTCCCAAGCAGTGCTAGATCCCGGGACACGATCCACAAATCAGAAAGGGATCCCCCAATCGTTCCGTGTGCAGGCTGGCCAAGCGGTGGGTGTCGAACCACAAGTTCTCGGCCGCGCTGCGCGACGAGGCCGTCGAGCTGCTGGTGGCGTCACTGTTCGTACATCCCGGGCCGTACGTGGCGCCCCGGACGCGCGTCGCCGGACTGCTCCGGTGAGAAAACGCACGGAAAATAGCATGATCTGTAGACATCCGCTATTGAAATAGAGGCGGGGACATGAAGACAGCATGAATGTTCGTAGGCATACTTGTAGCAAGGCTTGTTGTTTGCCGAACAAGTTCCTGTCAGGGACGAACTGCATTGAGATTCGTGAGTGAGAATCAGCAACTTGAGTAGGTTCTGCAGAAGGATTTTCAAAGAGCAATCCTTGTTTCTGCTGGAGAAGACTACCAGGCCGTGTCGGAAGGAGCGCGCCTCAGAGAAACTACAGCTTGCCGCATGCTCCAGGTGTTACCAGTGTCCGCAAGGATACTCCCACTTTCGAGTAATGAGGAGAAGTCACGAGGGGCGTTCTTGAGAAGAAGAACGCGCGGATTGAGGTGTGCAATCGCTTCTGACAGGTTCCTCAGCTGCCTCTCCTCGCACGACTGGGCGAATTTGCCGCTGATAGTGGATGTGAACTCCGACCTGACGCCCGCCGACCGAGAAAACATCCAGGTGGGGAACAGGCGATTGTTGGAATTAGGCCTCTAGCGCAGAAGGAGCTATGACTTGCCCATTCGAAATTACGATGGTCGATGCTTTGGTTGAGGAGGGGTGAAAATCGCAGGAGGGGGTTGGATATCGCATCATGTTTTCTGTGGGTTACGCAGAGGAACGTGGCAGCCCGGCAACGGGCAGCGTCTGAAGTCAGTAGGACTCGTTGAGACCTGGGGGACGAAGCAACGGTTTTGATATGATTCGACTCATCGAACTCAAGAAAGATAACAAAAGCTGAATTTAAATAAATTAATTGCATTGGGACCAGCAGGGTTAGTTTGGAGGTTAGGGTGGGTTCGGGTGCGGAGCAAGTATCTGTTCGGGTTAAGGTTTCAGTGTTAGCCCGGGGCTTATCATTCTCCTTCTTGAGTCTCAAATTTGACCAGATCTGCCCCCCTGATATCAGTATACCTTCATAAAGAATGTCCAATTTGACGGAGTTGGGTGTACGTGCTAGGGATCCTGAAAGTTCCTTCAAAGTAAAAAGGCGAATAGGAGATTCAAACAAGGTTCTTTCTTCAGCCCTGTGAGCGGTTTGAGAACCTCGAACTTTCAACTCGCAGACAATGCGCACCGCTAGGCGCCTTCGGAATTGCCCTTCGGGATTGCCCTCCTTTCAGCTCAACACACCCTGAATCGTTGCTCAAGCAAGAGAACATTCTGCGGGCATAGGTCCCGAACAACCGCTTCCTTTTCTTGTTGCGTGCTCTAACCGCCCCTGACAATGTTTCCGCAGGCGGCATTTCAACGGAGCCGGAAGCAGCCCGCCACCGGCCCCGCTCTTTTCCTCGCCACGCCCCACGACCCAGAGAGTGCCACGTGGACCAATAAGCGCCCGACGCCGGGCGAGCTCCGGCGGCTGGTCGCCTACGCCCGGAGCTCCGCCGCGCTGCTGAGTCAGCAGATCGCGGACCATTCGGACGACGACAGGTGGCAGTCCGCGTTTCGGACGCCGCTCGGGGTGTACGAGTTCCTGGTGCTGCTGAGGAGAGACGCGCTGCCGCACCCGCAGAGGACGCTGTTCCCGGCGGAGGAGGCCCTCGGGACGGATCACCGGGTGAGGATCCCTCCGTTTTTTGGGGCGAAAGAGTGCCCGGGAGGTTCCCCCGGTGACAAACCGGGAGTTAGGTTCCGTTCCAACCTGAGGAGGTGGCCATCTTGCGGTACGTCTTGTCGAGCGCTGGGTCAGGGCTTGGGAGGTTAATCCTGTTGTAACCCAAACTTGTTGAGTAGGCTCTGTTGGAGCTGGGGAAGTAAACCCTATTTTAAGCCGACTGTTTTTGAGTGCTGGGTTTCTGAAAAGGTAACCCTCTTGCAACCCGCCTGTTTGCATGCTCTGTGTTAGGCTGGTTGGCAACTGGCAAAGTTTTGCTCCGAGAAAAGTTAAGTGCGCGGAATGTGATTCTGTCCTTGGTTGCTTCTGTTAAAGTTGGCCTTTCGTCTGATCGGTGTTCAGTAAGGTCCGTCTCGACCGGAAAAGCTCGGGAGTCGGTCATGCCAACGTGACTTGCTCAGGGTTGCAAACGGTTCAAGCCCTAAAAGCACGGTAACCGGTCGCCGCGGGCCGCAAGTTTGGTCACCAAACGTCAAGAAATGGCACTCTTAAGAGGTGACCAACTGTCGGATCTCTGAATCTGCGAACTCGGAACAAGTTCGAGCTGACTAGTCGCGCCAGTCAAGTCGCTCCGGAGGAGCTCCAGTCTTGAGTCTCTCGGTGCGATTCCGCGATTCTGCCAAGTGGGAGACATGGGTTCCGCGTCCGGTCGACTGCGCAAATCTGCTCAAACTCACCGGAATCAGGTACTTAGGGAAGGGTCTACTTCAACCAGAGAAGCGCCAGTCGTAGGAATGAAGCGGCAACTCAGCAATCGTAAGTGACTGCTATGCCACGATTTGACATTCTTTCCGTGCCACGTTCGCAGAAAACAAAGGGGGAGGCCCCGTCTGCGGCTTGGCTGCCACGATCCGCTCTGAATAAGGGCCATGACGTAGCGCGACAAGGCCTCCTGGTCGGGTTTGACCCCGTCACCCTTCTGAGACAAGAGGTTGAGGTACGTAGACTGCAGTTGAGCTGTTCAAACTGTCACTTCGTCCTTGAATCGGGCTCACTGCGCTGATTCAAGCGCCAAAGCTACAACCTGAAACAGGTCGTTGAGAGTTGGTGAATCCTGGCAGAAGGCGTTTAAAATCGGCCGGCACCAGAAGTTGCAGCTTTGGAGAACCTTTCCAGGTATTATAAACTCATTTTGTAGTTTGCACGAGCTGGATGCTTTGGCGGACAAGGTTACCTTGGCGGGCGGTAGAAATTGGCCGGCACCATAAGTCGCAGCTTTCGAGGACCCCTTTCTAGTTTTTCTGTCGTGTCGTGATGTCCAAGAGCTGGTTGCTTTAACAAAAACAGGGTTTCTCGCATCCTGGTAATCGGATCGCGAGGCTTCTTTTGATTTAGCGGAGTCTGCAAATCCCGCCCAGTGAAGTCGAGAAATGTTCAGAATCTAGCGAAATCTGCAATTGCGGCTCTGTGAGTTCGAGGAATCCTTCAAAACTTATTCAGAAGAGGAGCCTGGCAGTGCTGCCTTGTGGCACGTCAATATTTGGCTTTGTGCACCTGTCTTTTCCGTAATGTCTTCTTACGAGGAGATTATTTTGGGGACGGGAATATTGCTATCCAACCGGTCGAGCTTAGAGGCTATCAACTGGGCTACATAAGCAGCGCAGAGAACACCTGAGCTCATAAAGACTCTTTTTGCGCAGGAACGCTTTGGAGAGTACGTTGTTTTGAGTCAAGACAAGCACGGGGCGGACGCTTTGGGTGCCACGTGGACGGCCAAAGCGAAGCAGGCGGCGCTCGATGGTATTGGAATCGGGAAGCCCGTAAAACGGAGGAAAGTGCAAGGGGTGGAGAAGGGCGGGCCCAGCCCTTTCGATGAAGCATCAATTTTGCAAGCGATCAAGAGTGTAGGAAAGGGGCTCGTAAGAGACGTCCATCTTGTGAAGGCAACAGCACCAAAGGCCTCTTGAAGATCCATCTAATGATTGCGGTCAAGTGTTCTTACCCATCAGTGAGTAGCTGAAGTATCACCCACTTGTAGCTGACGGGCTCAGGGCTTTGGCACTGGCATGGTCCAAACTTATGTTAGCGTGATCAACCCCGTGTCATGTCATGCATGAAACCGACCCTGACCGTCAACGGTTCCGCATGACAAGGTTTTCGCTAGTAAGGCATGGCCGGGCTGTGCCCAGCTAAGGAAGACCGCTCACCTCAATGAAAGTTTTGAAGTGCTCCTGCGGACAGAATAAAGTTTTGAACTGTTCCCACGAACATTCTGTCCGCAGCTTCAAATGCCCGACCCCAGTCCTATCAAGATTGAAGACGTATCAGGATTATATATTGGACTCAAATCATGTGTGAGAGTCACATGAATCCGATGGCATGCATGCAGCGCAACATGACAGCACGGGTTTCCGGTCCTAGAGGCTTAGCCCATGGCCGCGGCGCGTGATAGAGACGAGTGCGACCTCCAAGCTTGAGTCCGATCCGATGCCCACTGTCAGGCAGGCTTATAGAGTCAACCCGGTGACCGTCTTGGCTGGCAACATGTCGCCCAGATCGGACCGACTTGAGGACGTCCGCACTACTGGAGCTGGTCGACCCGGCGTCTTCTCAGTATACCTGTTCATTTAGCCCTCTCACCAACAGCAGGCTGAGGGCCACACGAAAGGACAGACCCGAGTCAGCCGAGCCGTCAGATTTGCTGTCCAGCTGGTTCAACCAAGGGCCTCAAATTAGCAGTTGAATTAAGCCGCCAGAGTGTGCGCAGCTCGATCGGTGCCAGCCTCGTACCGCTCAGTTATCTGCAAGCGCCAGGCCGACCAGCTTGACCGGGCGGGCTGCAGCCTGCCGCTGTCTCACGAAACTTAATTGGAAGCCGACACGTACGTACTATACGTGCCCATGCATGGCCATTCTCGAAAGCCGATCAGCGTTGTGGGTGGTCGACACACCGGGCGGCAGGAGGACCTACCTACCGTACCTAGTAGTAGTAAGTACTACCTAGTACCTAGATACCGTAGGCTAGGTTGTAGCCTCCTAGGACTGGGTACGTATCAGAACCCGTAGAAGGAGAACGTGGACTCCAGTTTTCATTCTGGACCCCCACACCGTCAGGTACGCTCAGCGCGCGATTTGGAAAACTGGTTTAAGTTTCCTGGTCACCCGGTCGCCTGTCTTTTACCGAGGGTCGCGGTCTTAAATCAGCATGCCAGGCGTTCGAGCCCCCGGCTGGGATCCAACCGGCTGGTCAACCGCGGACCAGCCATGGTTACGTTACAGTAACATGGGGTATTCTGGAGTTACACGTGGCATCCCTCTGGTCTTTTGAAGCTCGCGCACAGAGTACCAACTGGTATGAGGGGTAAGAAACAAAAACTAGAGTTCACGTTCTCCTTCCATGATTTCTAAATTCTATCATCCTGACAGTCGGGGCCGCCATGTCACTAGCGCTTGACCTACGGTACCCCGGGGTTCGATATGAACCAACAAATCATGCAACCCATCACACCGGCCGCCGGCGTCCCGGGGGTCCTATCGTACGTTCTAGACTGTAACGTACTTGACGGCTGTGACGCAATGTGGCGGTTTCTTCGGCGTACAATCGTCAGCTTGCTACCGAATGCGAAATCTACATCACACCATCCCGCGGCAGCCTGATTGGCCCAGGGGTACCGTATCTCAAAATTAATGCCTAGCACACCGTGCATTGTGCGATTATCGATACGAGATTTGCCACGCCGCCGTACGATTATGTCAGCGAGCGGCGCGGCGGGCCGTGACTCGTAGCCGGTTGCCAGTTGGTGTCAGAATTTGCAGACTCCGGCGACTAGCGCGACTCTAGAGTCTATAGCTGCTGCGGTCGTGCTAGGTACATGTAGCATGGTACAGGGCAGAAAGAGCGTTACGTACGGCTGGCAACTACGTACCGTCCGTACCAGAGCAATTATCATACTGTACGGTGGGACTCGGGAGGTTGTGCAATGTGCATGCACCAAGATACGAGACGTCTTGCGTGATCCTTGTACGGTCCCACCTTTACTGGAGGTATCCTAGGTACTCTAAAAAGCCATGCAAGAAGAATCGGATATCTGATGTGCGCGAATCAAATTATTGAATTTTACCTGGGGTACTTACTTGGAAGCCCAGGGCACGGTTCGCGTATTCGGCAGCCTGCCGTACCTATACGATATACGTACACCGTATTATATCGTAATAATTTCCAGACACCGTGAGGCCTAAACGAGCCGTCAAGCAGAACACAACCAGAGCTGACTCGCATATTCCCTTGAGATTTCAATATACGGCACCAGCGAGGTGGATAACAAAACTTGAAACGCTAATGAACGTACGTCACTTTTGTCCAGATATATTCTGGTACCTAAAACGCACGATTTGCAGTGTGCTTTTGTGCAAATGTGCACTTTGAAGCTTGCACTAGACAGTGTGCACCAGAGTCTGGACTCTGTACTGTGTACCTAGCGTGACATTCACGGTACCAACCGGTACTCTACCTACATGTACCTGCGGTCCTTGCGGACCTCGGTACAGGCCGGCCGCCTCCTATGCACGGTTTGGACCGGTGGGACCTGGGCAAAAGTCGGTCACCTACAGAGGGCTGTTCAACAAGTACAAAAGCCTCTCTCCGGTCGCAATCGATATAGGGTCTACCTTAATATAGAAACTAAAAGTCAGCTAGACTTTAGCTATTGCTTCGACGTCATTGAACAAATCCCGCGGCACTAGCCGGCGATGTAGGGATGGTCATGGACATCGAGCTGTCAAGACTTCTGGGTAGGATCCATCCGATGCACCAAAATCTTCCACGTGTAAAGATTCTTCTCACATAATGACGTAAATTGATTTGATACCGTGCTAAACTAGCAAGTTTAGACGAATTTAATACACCACTGTCAATTATTGCAACCGGGAATCATGCCCCGAGGGGTGAAACTCCTGTAAGGGTAAGCTCCCGCGGTTCATGTTTCGCTGTGGGTACCGTAGTACGTACGCACTACACCCGGGTGTACTTAAAGTAGGTAGCCAGCTAGGTTAACCTATCATTCATTCACACGAGAGAAGCTTCACGATCTAGGCTGCGGCGACGGGCTCGTTGCTGCTCAAGATGCCAAAAGGGTGATCACAAAGCTTGCTAAACGTCATAGTGATTGCAGAATCGTTCAAGTTTGAAACGGTTTTTATCCATAGCTCCTGAGAAACAGCTCGAGCCTCTGTTACCTACCTAATGCGGCGCTGCACTCTACAATGTGCATGCTCCACTGTACTTACACTGCCTTAACCCTTGGGTTAAGTTTGTCAGTCAGGATTCCCCAGTGATACTACCGTACGGTAGGTACCTAATAGCCCCTTGAATGAGCGCAATAGGCGCGCGGGCCCCCCTCAAGGAAAGCAACAGAAGGAATGATTGCGAGTTTCAAACGGAAGATGATGTTGCTCATGAACTTGCAAATGGTACCTTTCCTTCCTCGTCAGATGACTCACAGCTGAAATCTCAGGAGTCAGGTATCAGCACACACACCGATCTAGTGGCTCATCAATTTGAGCAGCCCGTTCCAGTCGAAGCAGCTGGGCACGTGACTGATCAAAGCAAGCTCGACTTTGAAGCATAGGTCTCTCTCGGCATATCTATGCTGGGAAATCTATGTCGGCCAAACATTGTGCAGCTTCCAGGCCCTTCTAAGTTTCAGGAGCTCATCGATGCCTGATGACTCTCCAAGCTCAAATGTAATGTTGAAGCCCAACTGTCCTGTCTCAAGGACTCACCTTGACACAGTAGGTGCCAACAATGGGGGGCGTTGGTACTAACACCGGACCGCCGTCGCATCCCTGGTGCAATTGGGCAGCAAACAATGGCTCCAACCCGAACATGGCAAACGCATACCAGTCAGCTTACCAACTGTCGGCTGGCCGTTGGACCGCCAACAAGAATACACTGACATGGCAAGGGGGGTCAAGCGTGGGGAACACTTGTGCCACCGACTATCTAAATTCAGTGCTTTTGGACGGGACCGACGACTTTGGGGGGTGGAAGAGAGAGGCAGATACAAACCCCCTGGAGGAAAGGGCCCCAGACCCATTGCGCAAGGGGGCCTGGACTGATGAGGAGGACCAGATTCTGCGGGAACACGTGACGACAACAGGGGAGAAGGATTGGAACAGGGTGAAGGTGGGGCGATGGGTGCTCAGCTTTTTACCATCGCTTTACCATGTCTCAACCTCCTTCTGCAGCTGTTCTATTATGTCTGTTTGGTTTGATGGGCACAAGGAGCAACGAGCGGGAGTTGGTTTGTGTGCATCAAAGAGAAAGGCCGTCAAGGGCCAGATTTTCCAGCCCTGCAAGGTGGTGCATTGCGTGTCTGGCAGCAACAATACATTGCATGGCCCAATTGCCTTGTCAGCTAAGTGCGCCCTTACATGTTGTGCTCTGTACAGGACACCAGATGGCAATGGCTTTGATACCCGTTGTGCAGGAGTAGCACCTTTGGGATTCTCTTCCCCTGTTCTCAGAAACACGAAGCTATTCCAGTTGCCTTTGGGGCTAAGGACTTGGTCACAGGGTCCAGCTGGAATTACCCCTTGGCTTGACACAAGTTCTCTGGCTGCACAGAGAACTGCCTGAAGCTCATACGGGCTACACATCAGTAAACAACCAGACTGCTAATCTGAGTTGACTCGGGATGATTCCGGATGAGCAGGTTCTAAGCTCAGCTTTTGAGCTGCCTGCACAGATTACCAACTCTTACCTGTTGTCCTGATCTTCAGTATTTTGACTAGAATGAGACCTAGAGTGAGCCATATTCCTAATATGGAACAGATGCTGATCTAAAAGCTCCTGAAAAGAACACCATGACGATATGCGAGAAGTTGACCACTTCCTTCACCCCAGTTGAAACAGGTCCCAACCCTTCCAGTTTCTGAATCAGACAACAATAACACGGAACCAAAGTCATTCACTTTCTTCCCCCAGTCCAGATGGTATGCGGGATTCAAGCATCCTAATTCAGGTGCCAATGCATCCAAACAGCAGCTTCTAATACAGTTCCCAATACAAACGCTAACCACTTTCTCCCCCATTCCAGATGGTTTACGGGCTCCAGCGCTCGGGGAAGAGCTGCCGGCTACGGTACATGAACCACCTTCGCCCCCACCTGAAAAAGGAGCGCTTTACTGGCGCAGAACTGCGCCTTGTGATGCAGCTCCAGGGCCGTTATGGCAACAAGTGGGCGCTCATTGCTAACCACTTCAAGGGGAGGTGAGGGAAGACAGGGCAAACTAGGGGCTAGCCCTCAACGAATCAGGAAACCCCTTGTTCATGGGGACTTTTCGATCAATATTCAGAAGACGTCGTTCAGAAACCCCCAATCAAGTGACCAACGTTGTTGACCATCTGCTGATCAGGCTTTTAACATTAAAATTCAGAAGCGATGAGCGCTGTACTGGCTGACTTACTAGAGTTTAGAGCAAGGTCATGAGAAGGTCATAAGAAGGTCACAGGAAGGTAATCAAGTCCTCTTAAGCCTCGTCTGAGTGACGGTGCTGACTTTATCAAGTTTAGAGATGTCGTCATAGACAGGTAACCAAGTCCATTTCTAACCTTGTCTGACTGACCAGATCCATATAGCTCTAGCCAGGTCCCATACTTCATTTGGGAACAGAGCTCTAAGCTTATCGAGCCCTGCAGTTTTCCTTTCCTCTGGTCTCTCGCGAGGCATTCTCTGGTGAGCTTAAAAGACTGGGGGTGCTTGAAAAGGTAGTAGATCCACAAGAGTTGCCAGGATAAATCATTGTAATTTGATTGTTGTTTAATCTGCGAGGACTCAAAAGATTGCACATACTTGACATTTGGAAGCCTGATCTTTGAGCCTGATCTGTGAGATGCTAGTAATGCGGGGTGCTTTCCGATAGTCTGCGACTAAATTGGGCTGGAACTGATAGGCTATGCTGACCAGATTGTGCAGTCGAATGGTGGTCTCACTTGCTGTAGCCTTGTTGCTTTGAAGCAACGAATTTGGAATGGCAGCTTTCAAGCTTAGATTCTCGTGACTTTTGGCTGTCCAGACCTTGCATTTTGCTCTTATCTCCTTGACGTCGTTTGGATGGGGCATTGAGAGATAGTGCCTTTCTACAAGACTTTTCTCTTCAAATATACCTCGATGAAAAGCTCTCAGCTCAGGGTCTGGTCATTCTGGTATGTTCTTTCCTGATTTGTTTCTTCAACCCTCTTCTATTGAGCTTCTGGAGTAGTCTGCCTTCTAACAACCTGATCTATGCTATTGCATCTGATTGCTTTGTCACCAGAATCATGGCTTTCCCAATCTCAAGCCCCTAGAAACAATTACGGAGTTCTCAAGGGCCCTCAGCAAAGGCTCTACCTTATTTAACCAAGACCGCAACCCCTTGTTTACATGCTTCTCCCTTTCCCCCTCACCAAATGACAACCTGCAATCCCCTAGGTATGCTACATGTCTCACCCCCCCACCTTCCTCACTGAAAGACCGCAACTCCATGTTTACATGCTCCCCCCCCCCTCCCTCACCAGACACAGACCTACATGTCGCCCCCCCCTTTCATGAGATCAAGACCGCAATCGCACGTTTACAAGCTCCTTCCCCTCTCACAGAACGGACAACGAAGTCAAGAACGCGTGGCACACTCGGCGCCGTCAGATGGAGCGCGAGCGGAGGAAGGCGCTCAAGTGGCAGGCAGCGGAGCAGAGCGGCGCGTGCACAGCCAGCTGCGGGTCGGACGTCATCGACGGCCGCGGTTGTGCCGCGTCATCCTTGTGCGGGATGGGAGCCGTCCACTCGCACGGCTCGCAGGTTGGTAACCCAGGACCAAAATTCTGACGTGCATGATATTCGTGTCAAATCTACATGAGGGGATTGGAGAATGGCCGATCAAGGGTTCAATTACACGCAGGTATAATCCGCAACAAAGCCTCCTTTGCTCTCCCTCGGATATAGATGCGGTCCCAGTGATCAATGGTTACGTCCTTTGGTGGTTTTGCATTAGATGCATCTTTTGGTGGATGTGCGTCTTCCATTGGTTGCACCTTTCGCATGCTCATCAAGTAGCAAGAATCGAGCATTCAAGCTTTTTGCCGTCAACGAGGAGACGTCGCTGCTTCAGTCGGGCTTCAAAACGGTCCAACTCTCGACTCCGTCTTGGAAATCTTTCACTTTCTTCCCTGCCTTTCCTCCGAGTTGCTATCATATTGGTGATTCAGTCGGGTTCAAGTCGTCCAACTCTCAACCCCGTCTTGGACATCTTTCTTCCCTGCCTTTCAAACAAGTTGCAAATGATGATGCCCCTGGAATCGGCTCAGCTAAAACCCTAAAACCTCTTCAAAGCAGATGCAGAGCCATGGTGACAGACGAAAAAGGCACGGCCACTTCCCATAAGCGTCGAGTCGACCATTTCTTTTCACAGGCCCTTCAACCCCTTTTCAGAAGTTCGACCATTCCCTAAAGTTCCAAAGCGCAACATGGTCGGGACAAGGCCGCAACGAAAAGAAAGCTTTTAGGATCGACTTTGACTCTAGCTCCAACACTAGGGGCCCGCTAATCTTGACCACAGGGGAGATTTTAAGTCGGAATCCGGTGTCCTTGTCGGCAGCGGAACAACGGAAATCCAATCAATTTCTGGAATATTTTAGCATTTATTAATTGCATAAATAAAGTTTGGCAGTGGAAACGGAACGTACGATCGGCAGACTGACCGACCGCCGGACTGTGACTATGGTGGGGTTAGTGGGGGGTTAGGGTGGGGGTCGGGGTGAGCCATGGCGGGACGACTTAGGGTTAGGGTGTCGTCACTTTCCCTTAGGTTTTTAGTTTGTTGTCAACTTCCCAGTGACTTGGTGGGGAAAGTTTGGTGGTTACTAGGGTGGGTTAGGGTAGGTCCTGGCGGGACGACTTAGGGTTAAGAGATCATGAACCCTGTGGTTTGAAGTTAGCGGTCTAGCGGTCGGTCGGTCCGGCTAGTCCGGCCGGGGTGGGCCACCCGATGGGACCCGCAGTGGCGCGGTACGTACCGATACTGGTACGTTGAATCTGGAAAAACTTCCCGGACCGACCGACCGGCGGACCGAGCCAATCGCGGTCCGGCAGTCGGTCGGTCCGCCTGGTCCGGCAGCCCATGGCGGCCGGGAGTGCGGTCTGGCGGTCGGTCGGTCCGCCTGGTCAGGTAGCTGAGTGTCAGTCCTTCCGATCAGAATGCAGAGCGGAAACGTGGGAGGAGCGGAAAACTTAAAATCTCCCCTGTGGTCAAGATTAGCGTGGCGGTATCCAACACTGACCACATCGCCGATGTTCCGTGCAGGAGCTTTTCTGCTCCGAGCAGCTCCCCGGTCGTCCGTTCGACCCCCCGGCTGCTGCCTACGGGGCACATTTAGGGATGGACGTCCCGGTCACTCACCCCAGTCTCGTGCTGCCGGACGAGAGCTACCCCGGTCCATGGTAAGCGATCCTGGCGACAGACGAACGGCGTGTTTCTGCGAAGTAACCTGCGCAGGGTTGAGATATTGCCAGCCCACGATTGAAAGGGTTCACTTGTTGTTTGCCGTGGTGCTTTCGAACTGGTTCATTTAGCGAGCTTCCTTGTTGAGTTGCAGACAACGGCGCTTTCTGGCAGATTTCGTTTGGCGCCGGTTCGTGAGGCCTTTTTGACACGTTGTTTATACGCGTTCTAACGTCTATTCTGATATCGAAGTCTTTTGCGGTACCACGTGCAAACGAACATGCGGAATGTGGTCGTGTCTGCTTTTGTGCCTTTCGTCGCTTGCTTTGCTCCAGCGGACTCTTGGGAGGTATCACTCCGAAGACGAGAACCTTTTCGGAAAAGCTGACACCCCTTTCGCCTCCAAAAGGAAACGGTTGAGCATGTCGATTGTAACATGCATCAGGAAGCAGGCTTCGCGGCAAATAGTGCACGCGAAAACGGAATCTTTTCGCGGCCGCTCTTCTGTCCTTTCGTGACAATCTGTCAGTTGCAAGTCACGTTCTGGACACCCACTTGATCACACCTGTCAGGCCGGTTCGATAACGCCTCGTTTTCAATTCGCAGGAACCAGCCACTTTCCCAGTGGCCCGACTACCCCGCCAGCGAGTCGTGCTCGCCCCAGGCTTATCCCCCAGTGACCTTCACCGGACCCCTCCAGCTGGCACCGATCCCCAAGACGCAGAGCAGCGGCAGCCTCTCGACCGTCCATTCGTGCACGCCGGTCCTGTACGGCTGCCACGTGGCAACCCTGGAGAGGGCCGCGAGCACCGTGACCGACGCGTCTGTAGGCCTCGTAATCGAGGGACCGTCTGTGTCAAGCTTGGCAGCGCGTAGCTTTGTCGGAGACGGCGGCGAAAACGGGGCCCGTCCCGCGGAGAGCGTCTGCTCGGCGGCCGCGAAGGAGGACACGTGGCCGTTCGAAGCGGCGCGGCTCGCGACACCGTTTCTTGCCGGTTCGTCGCGCCATCCATGTTTCTGGGTGCTTTTCTTTCCAGCTTGGTGTCATTTTTGCGCCGTTTTATTCTACCATCATCCGGACGTCTTTTGAAGGCCGCTTTCCTGGCAAATTGGGGCTGCTGTGTAGGCTGCCCGGTGAACCCGCTTCTAATTCTGAAATCCCGGCACACCACGTTCCCATGAATCCTGCGGGGCTTTTCAGCTGTCGTTGTGCGAGCCAAATCGTCTGCAACTCTCGTAGATTCCGACCTCGCTCTCAAGGTAACGTTGAGAACAGATTTCGAGATCCGCAAAGCTTAAAGCAAAACGGGCTCTCCGGCGCATCACGAGAAGAGATAGAAGCAGAATTTTGTTTGAAGCACGTGTGCTTTCTTGATTATCGTCTGCGCAACAGAGTCCAACCGGCAACGCCTTGTCCGAAGGATTAAGTGCTTTCTTGGATCGACTTCTGCAGAACTACTTGCGTCGGAGTGACATCATGCCTTCATTTGACTGTCCAACAAACCACCGCCCGGTCCAAATCCCCGCCCATCAAGTCTCCCCTTTGCCATTGCAGAGCCCGCGACCGGTGCGTCTTCACCGGGCACAAAGCTCCGCATCCCCGCGCCACCCCGCCTCGTCATCCCAGACGCGGAGCCGGACCGTTACGACGCGAGTTGGGCGGACAACATTTATCTGAGCCCAATCGGCCCCTTCCCAAACCTCTCCCCAGTGTTGCCCCTCCAGTCGCGATCCCCCTTCGATTTCGGCCCGCCAAATGGCTCGGTTGGGTCCTACCGGTCACGATCCCCATTCGACTTGGCCCCACCAATTGCCTCGGTTGGACCCTACCGGTCGCGATCCCCATTCGACGTCGGCCCGCACAGTGCCCCGGTTGGACAATACCGCCCACATCCGCAAGCAAGGGGGCAATTACCGGGCGGGTCAGCCCCCTGGACCAGCGCCCAGTTCTCCTCCTGCGAGACCGGTTGGAGGGCGACGTGGGGCGAAGAACTGGACGCCTTGCTGACGTCCCGCCACGCGGAACTTGCGCTGGAGGTAGGGTCCGTTAACCTCAAGCTGCACGTTCACACCATCCAAAGACATGTATGCTCGCTAGAGTGCCTTCGAGCCTGCAGCCGACGCTTGCAGGAATGGCGCCAAAAAAAAAAGCGGCCTCAGAAAAGCGTATTGGCATCGCAATCAGAGCTCACAAGTGGGCTCGTACGCTTTCATCATGCAGCGAGTTTGAGAGCTTGTATTGTGATATTTTCTAGCAGCACTTATATTGGCCTCCCGCGCTTGACCTTTCCAAGACACTCGTGAATCTCTTTTCGATCAGCCGCTTCTTTTAAGGCGGTTGACCGGCTGCGAAGCTTTGACGACGGAAGGCAGTCTCACACAACGCTTTTGCATCCAGGAACTGGGCCTGCTGAAAGGAACGCTCGCCGGATACTCCGAGTGGCCAGCGATTGCACCAACCGGTTCTTCCTCCGATTGGACCGTTGGGGTTTACGGATCCGGACACCCGGGCTAACCCAGACTAACCCGGCTGCTAACCGAGGACTGAGCAGGAGTTGACGGGGCAAACCAGGGACACCTTCATGAGCCCCAAACGTGTTTGAGTTGCATAAGGGTCTCGAATAATAGAATAGAAACCTGTACAATTATAGCGTCCCGGTTACGTCAGCTGATATAAGCCTCTCTGGATGGGGGGATCAGGCTCACTAAGTATCGTATTACCCTTATTAATTAGGCATACTCCGATTGCATTCCAACTTCCACCATTATTGCCGGAAAACGGTCACCCGGCTCCGCTTCATCAACTACTTGGCTGTAACTTATAGGCATTGGGGTGATATTAGCCAATCGCTTCCAGCTATCAGGGCCAATGGTGACGCGGCACGTGGACCGATGCAGTGACAGGGGCAGGGACTATCGCGCACTCGAAGGCAGTCGGGTTGTGCCATTAGTGTTCGATAAGCTTGGAAAAGAAGGTCGGAGCAGACGACAGTCTATCGTCGAAGCAGTTTCCCACTGCCAAGGACAGCTCTCAAACTCACGAGCCATTGAAGATCACGAGTCTGGCCTGGTTGTAAGGATGCATACTGTAGCCTTGTATTAAATGGGTCTTAGGTATTGAAAGACAGGGTTTGGTGGGTTGCATACGTGCATTGTGATCGTTAACCTAAGGTTGGTCAGCCTGCAAGAGAGCATGCGGTCTCGCGACGGTCGTAGACGACTCCTTGGTTAAAATGTTGGATCTAACGCGGCTTAGTGATTGCGTGTACCAAGGTGAACCTTGCAGGTATTCAATTGCTGAAGCTGAACAGACAAACGCTGTCGTTGCTTATTCTTCTTGGTTTTGCCAGGCTTAATGTAAGACTTTAATCCCAGTAGAGCAGGTGACAGGCTAGCTTGTAAAAAGGCAACTGTCGAACCGGCCCCTTTAGTTGACACCTTAACTTTACGGTATGTGTACACCGTAGGGTACACAGTAGTGTACAACAGACAAGTCAGCAATTAACTTGTAATCGATCTAGAATACGTGGGCGTAGGACACGCACGTCATCTCTCCCATCGCATGTTGCTGATGCCCCTAATCAGAACAACCCTAATGCAATCCTGAGTACGCGTCCGAAAACTTCACGAATGATGGTCCAACGTTCTATAGCTGAAGACACAGGAAAGGTATCGACTAGCAGTTGCGTCGAAGTCATGCCTCTTCTGTTTACCACACACCGAGGTCGATTATAATTTCGGGAGCGAAGCCGCCAAATGATCGTAAAACCGCAGACACGTGAGCCTGAGTTAAAAAGGCTCGCCGGGTGAATATGGCAGGTCCGAGTCGGCGGTGAACGACCGTTCGGCGACGACGTGTTCTCGCGCGCGCGGGCGAGCGAGAGCAGTGCAGCCTGCGGTGTGCGGCAGAACAGCGTCTGGCGTCCTTGGGGAGCTGTTGAGGGAACCGGAGGAGCTAGGAGTAGCTCGCTTGACGAAGGGAGTCTACGAACGTGAGTTGCTGTATAAGTTATCAGTTACCTTAGTTGAATGAGCGGGTACTGAACTGAATCTAGGGTGGGAGGGTGGGAACGGAAATTTTTTCTGGCGCCCTAGCGCCTCGAAAAGCTCCTCCGAAGGAAACTACGAATGACTCTCCGAGTAGAGTTCAATATCATGATTGCCCTCTTCCTCGGGTGCCTAAAGTTCAAGCTTGAGACCATCGAGGAGAAGCGTAGATCTGTAGGCTCGAAATATCAACGGTCTAGATTGTCTTCCCCTAACTGAAGACACAGGAAAGGTATCGACTAGCAGTTGCGTCGAAGTCATGCCTCTTTTGTTTACCACACACCGAGGTCGATTATAATTTCGGGAGCGAAGCCGCCAAAAACAATTGCCCAAAAGTATGGCGGGCAAAGAGCGGTTTACTTTGGCCGTGCAGGGAAGCGCAGGGCTTATGGAAGCGGGCGAGGGGCGTGGAAGGAGTTGTGAAAGAGCCTGTCAACCGGTGGGGGGATGACGAGATAAGACGATTCTATGCAGAAAGCTTGCAGACAGCAGCAGGGATCGCGAATCGAGGAGTTAGTGAAGGTTTTGAAGACGGACGGAAACGGACGTGGAGTGAATTCAGGGAGTTCTGTGAGCACGTTGGAATAGCTGCTGATCAAGCTGCAGACGTCGACGTCCTAGCATTCGTTCAGGGATTCTGGCTTCCACGGCACCTAGGCGCTTGCCGGACGTTCGGATCAGAGGGCGAGAAGGTGGCGTCCGCGTCCGCGATCAAGGCCGTTTTATCGCATCTGGGAAAGAGTTTTAGTATGCTCGGGCGATCAGCGGGAGAGAATCCCGTGCACTCAGAGAGCGTGCGGAGTTATCGGGAAGGTTACCGGAACTGGCTGCATGATTTAGGGGTTCGAGAGAAGAGAGCAAAGGTGTTTGCAGAATCGAAGGTGAATGATTTACTTCGATGGTTGCAGGATGAGGTCGAGAAGAAAAGCGGTTTGGGAAAGTGCTGTGCGCTAACCGATTTAGCGATCGTGAACTACTTATGGGAGTCGTGGAGTCGAGGAAGGGAGTGTGGCGAGCTAGAAGCACGCCAGGTAGGTTTCAAGACGGAGATCGTAGTACCTGGCTGGTCGAAGACCGTTCGGACAGAGCCGAGCGCAGAGATCCCGGTGAGCGGCGGATTTTTGGAGGCGGCTGCACGACTCATTTCCGCATGTGAAAACGAGGGTCAGGCGGTCGGCAGCGGATTCCTGTTCCGCCCACTGAATGCGCGGAAAAACGGATTCAAGAATGAAGCCATGAAAAACGGAACGATGCGGCGCCGAGTGCAGCAGCGACTAAAGGAGGCCGGTTTATTTGAAGGGGAAACGTTGCATAGTTTCCGCAGGTCAGCGGTTCAGCACGCGGCGGAAATAGAGGGTTATGACGTTCCCCGGCTAATGGCCCGTGGACGTTGGTCTTCGTACGCAGCGTTTCGGATTTACGTTGAGGAGATAGCAAGCAGATTCCCTCGACGGCTCCTTCGATAGCAGAACAATAGCATAAGGAACATTAGATTTAGTACTGGGAACTTATGCATCCGATCTTTGAGAATTGGTTAAGAAATGAGTCATTCTACAGAACACTAAATTCATCTTTCTTTACATGGTATGGAATGAGATATGGAGCTAAGACAATTATGATGGCAATGCATCAAGGCCTGTTTAATGTCATGTCATATTATCATTGCCAGATTATATGGAACACTTTTAATCCTAGGAAAGCCGGATTCCTAGTGCCTTCCGGAACTCTGAGGCTAGGCACGCAGCTGTCGACCCTCCTAGGGACTAGGAATACCTTTTCCAATGCTTTAGGAGCGATGCACCTGATTTGGGTATCCAGCAAAGATCCTTCTGGTGCACAGATACAGACCAGTGCTTCCGTCTGGTATCTACGTAGCAGGTTCAAGGCCAGCCCTGCTAATCCCACCGGAGGAAAAACCCATGCACTTTCTCCTGGTGGAACTAGTTTAGACCAGTCCAAGGCCTGAGCAAGTACCCCTGAGCACCCTGGAGCAAAGTACTTGCTGACGTAGGCGGGCGCCACGTGGAGGCTTCTGGAAGCAAAGAGGTCGATCGCCGGTTGGGCTGAGAAGAATTGGGTCACTTGCCGGAACAGATCTGGGGATAGTCCCCAATCTGACGGATCAGGCTCTCTGGACAAAGCATCTGCTTTTGTGATATCCTTCCGCGGCACCCAACGCGCTACGACATCGAAGTCGTATTGCCCGGACATCTCAACCACCTTGCGGAGCGCCGAATTGATGAACGGGACTGAGCTACGGAATTTGGTTAGGGCGTTAACCCCGGCCTGACTATCTCCGATCACCAGCACTGAGCGGTTTCTTATCTCGTCCGGTGCTTGCTCCGTTGCTACTTGCAGTGCTGCTACATAGCCTTCTACCTCCCTTTCCGAGCTAGACTGCAGCGCTTGCTCTTGGGAGAATGTTCCCGCTACCTGGAGGATTCTCCCCGTCTCCGTTCGCACAAAACCGCCAAACCCGACTCCCGACGCGTCCATCGTAATCTCAACCGAGGTTGGCCTCGCCCACCACCTTCTGCCGTTAAACTTCTCGAGGTTATGCAGCCAGAAGTCTGCCGTCCGAATTACCGTCTCCGGCGTCGGGAAAAGTGCATCCCAACTGCTTTTCTTGCTCAGGGCTTCGAAGAGGGATCTGCTGTAAATTGCGACGGGGAGAACCGCGGGCGCTGCGGAAGCTAACGTTCCGGCCAACTTGGCTATTGCTCTCGCTGACGTCAGCTGAAGGCTCACTATTTCCAGAAGCGCCTTTTTGATCTTCTCCATTCGGGTTTCTGAGAGCGAGAAACTTTCCGAGATCGAGTTCACGAGGAAACCCAGCCACTTCAGCTCCTGAAGCGGTCTCAGCTGGCACTTCGGGAGACCAAAGAAAGCGCCCAGAGCCGCGAACAGGAGCACAGTGAACAAGATCTGACGGAGCGCCTTGCCAAAAGTCTCTGCCGCCGAGAAGAGGTCGTCGATGTAGCCAGAGAGTGGCACACCGAGACGCCTTAATTCGAGAATCGGCTCTTTCATCACAGCCGTGAATACCCAGCAGGCCTGAGCAAAGCCAAAGCAGAGGACTTTGTAGAAGAAGGTTTTCTTCCCTATCTTAAAACCGAAATACTTCCAGTACGCGGGATGGATGGGTACGTGGAAATACCCGGATTTAAGATCAGCTGTTGCCATGAAAGATCCGGGGAACGTGAAAAGGAGCACGTCCCTGAGTCTTTCGTATTGGAAAGGAATCTGGAGTAGGAAGATGTTCAGGTACCTATCATAGCTTTCCGGCAGATTCGACGACCCCCATTGGATGAATAATTTCAGGGGGCTCTTGTCCTTCTGGCCAGACACCTACCGCTCCGGATTCAAGATTCTTCCTAGTTTCACTGACCGCGAACTCGAAGCGGTCATAGAATGACTTATGGTTGGGAAACTCGATCCGGTGAGGTCTTTTGCCCTGAAGGAACTGTCGAATTCTGAGGGGTCCCACTACTTTGGCTAGCATAGCCTCCACTATTCTTAGTTTATCCGGCCTGGCTTTATCTACGCTGTCAAAGCGCGGTCTAAAGCCATGCTTTAGCCAGCTTAGTACTGACTTAGAGGATTTTCTGGTTGATCCTCTCAGTAACTCTTCCCAAGCTGGGTAATAGGATTGGAAGCTACTAGCGACGAATCTTTCATGATTCGGGATTTTCTCCTGCAGGTTATCCAGGATTGCTAACGCTCGCTCAACTAGATCGGGCGACAATTCTGATGGTTCAGTCTTAATCTGTTCAAGCAGCTCCTTGACCGTACGCACTTGGATTTCTGGCGATGGAGCTTCGGACCTCCTTGGAAGGATCTTACTGAGCTCCTCTGCAATCTCCTGCTCAGATTTAGGAGGGGCTTCCATTCTGAAGGGGTCTGTTGCTTCATCAACTGAATCTTCCAGCTCGTCTCCGGCGTTCTCTCCGACCTGGTCCTGGAACTCTGATTCTCCGTCCGCGAGCACGCTTTCTTCCTGATCGTTTCCGACTTGCTCTTCTCCTTTCGACCGCTGGCTTTCCGGAACAGGACTCATGACCGGGAGATCTGGCGGGGAATGGATTAACTCCTTCCCACTCCGCCCTAGTTCTTCCGTCGAAGGGTTAAGCCCGGCGGCGCCGCTTCGGCTAGGCGGAAGGGGATCCCCCAGTGCCACGTCATCCTTCCCGTCATCCGGCGTTTTCGAAGCTGGCTCTTCGGCTTCTGTTGCATATTCTTCCTCTCTGGGAAGTATCAGAGACATACTATTATAATTGTGGCAATCCAGTTAAATAACCATTCTGGCTATAGGCATGTGAAGATGCAACCGTGCAAACTCGTTCAGATCATAACCACGCAAAGATTCGGCCGTTAGCGTTTGTCATATTTTGCGCTGAGATTGCACGTTGCGTCATCTGAATGAATCTGTTTGGAATGAGGAAGAATCACGACGAGGAAGTAATCTCTTGTTGAAATTCTTCACTCATTAATTCCGACAGTCACCAATGTTACACTAAATACAGAACCTCCTTTCTCAGTTCCGGTTACCTTAACCCTAACCTTAACCGGTTCTGAAGCTTTGCCTCTCCGAAGAGGAGGCCTGACCAGACGAAGTTCCTTCTGGCATTCTAAACTAGAGACTTTCACCAAAAATCTATATACACTTTGGCAGTATCACTAATCTGCCTAACTTTCAGGGAGACTGGCTTTCTACTCACTCCCTGCCGCGCTTGCGCCCTGGCGAATTGTTCCTCCCCGGAGATCCAGGTCTTCCTTGGTTCCCACCACCGGATCTTCGGTCTCCATCACCTCTGCCCCGGCCGGCTCCTCCCCCTCTCTGCCTGGAAGGATTAACCGATATGCATCAGCGAAGAATTCAATCACTCTCAACCGCTGAATCCAAGAACGGCCTGCAAGGCGATCAGTACAGCGTGTTTCACGCTAAGAATCTTGCGGTCAAGTTACTGACCAATTTGGGGAGATGGAAGAAACTCCCGCCGAATATGGCATCAAAAGTGGCATGGGCTTGCTTCGCGCCCTGCCTGACAGTTTGTGGAGCGTAGCTCCAGCTCGCAGGAGCAAGGGGATGGCCTGCGGCCATATCTTTCAGAAGAGCTAAGCTCTGGTCATTCAGAAGATTCCATTCGTCCGGAATCTTGGTTTAAAGAATTACCTGTTATCTCGCAGCCATTCAGGGTGCTTGCCGAGCACCTCTTCCGCTTTGACCCTTTTGTCTTGATAGAAGCGGAGAATCTTCTTGTCCACCTCCGCTATTTCGGCGTCCGTCGCATCTTCTCCGAGCTCCGCCACCTTTTGCTGCGCGTACGTGCAGACATCCTCCGCCATGTAAGACAGCCTTCTGCAGCGATTGCGGAGAAAGACTCCGAAGTCTCCTGCCAGCGCGAGCCCCCCCTTTTGATTCTTCTCCGCTGCGTAAATGGCCGCATACATCTCGTGTTGCAGGAGAAGCCCCCTGTCCGTAACCGGGTTGATTGCTGACGCCAGCTTTTTCATTTCCGACTCTATTGCCGTCTTCGCCTTGTTTGCGTTCAGCTGCTTTTCTATATTCTTCAGCCGCGCCCTGAGTTCTTCGCCAGGGTCGCCCGACTTATCTTCCTTCTTCTCTTTGGGTTGAGCGGCGGCTGCCGGCCGCGACGACGCCGTTGCAGAATGCCTTCCGGTTTCCGTCAGGAGGTTCCTGTTGACTCCGGGGGAGGCTGCCGAGTACTGCTCAGGTGGGGTGTGAAAACTCCGCTGGGCTGATTGGTTTCTAGACGGAGGTTGCTCCCGCGGCCTGAATCCAGGGGGAGGTCCCAGGTTACCACGTCCCGCGGCTGGAGGAAAGAACGGCTGAAAAGCTGGCACTTCTTCTGGGTGGGTGTTGTTGTCTGGCTTGGAAGAATCCGGGTCCGTGCTGCCTGAATCCAAACTGGTGCGAGAACCCTGGGTTTAACGGAACCGGCCTTCTAACCTCCGCTTGCGGAACCGGACCTCTGCGGAATCCGAAATCTCCCTGCCCTGCCGTGACCGGGGCTGAGAATCCTCTTGCCTGGTTAAATCCCCCCCGAAGGAAACTCCGCCCCTCCTTCCATCGGCGTTCCGAATTCCGCTCTCCGCCCTTCCGTTCCGAGAGACTGTCTCTGCACGTATTGATCCGACTCCATTCCGTTCTCCTTCAGCATTACGAGGAGCGGATCTCCCTCTCTCCTTGTTCCGATTCCGATAGACAGCTGCGACGGCGGAACATCCTTGTACTCCGCTCCTGACTCGACCGCTTTCAGGTTCAGGTTGTCTCCCGACCTTCCTACCACCTTCACAAAAATTCTGCCCAATTGACCCTCTGGTCGGAACTTGAACCTTAGACCTTCGAACTTTTCCAGCCCAACTAGTTTACTAAGATTCTCCACCTGCCTCCTTTCCAGACGTTCTGCATTGAGATGCTCCATCACGCACTAGGCCTGAGAGACTGCGGAGGGGTTCCAAACGGAGGCGTATCTGACTCTTCCGAGCTATCCGACTCGTTCCTGAAGCCTTCTGGGTATTCAAACAGCACAGCTACTGCTGCCGGTGAGAGCTCAGAAAGCCCAAGGCTTTTGAGTTGCAGTTCGCTAAACCGAGATTCCTCGGTTAGAGCAGGGTAGTTCAGAGGCAGCTCAGGGGGCGCGTCTTGCAGGGACTTGATTAAGCTCTTCTCGTATGGTGACAGGATCACTGCTCCTGGTGGCAGTCTGACAAAGTCAGGGAGTTCTACAACTCCCAGGATGGTTTCTCCTCTTGCTTCTGCAATCTCCCGCTTGGCTCTTCTGTTGGCTTGTCTCCTTCTCTCGTCAGCTTGTTCCAGTCTGGCATACTTCTCCTCCATGAGCTTGACCAGGGAAGCTTGCTGCATTGCCTCCAGCCTCCATTTGAGCTTGTCAGACAGGATTCTGTCGTCCTCTTGCTTCAGCAGGTCAATGCTCTTCAGGAACCGTTTGAGTCCTTCCAGGAACAAGTAGTCTGTGAACCCCACGTCTGTGCATGCGTCGAAGAGATTGATTGCAGCTATCAAGGACGGTCCAATGGATTCGAGAAATTGCCTACTCAGCCTTTTCTTGGCTAAGTCTAGGAAAATGTGCTTTGGAGGCCAGGTGCTAAACTCTTGCCCATGCTCGAGTGCAGAAAAATCTTGGCCTTCAAATCCTAGCACGAGAGCATTGAATGGGGGATCCTGGAGTGCCTGCGCAGGGGCCCGGTGCCCCGCTCCCGCTTCGACCCACTCCAGTGAGGTCATTCACCTTAACAGCACAATGCTGCCCAAAATCGAACGGAAATTTTTTCTGGCGCCCTAGCGCCTCGAAAAGCTCCTCCGAAGGAAACTACGAATGACTCTCCGAGTAGAGTTCAATATCATGATTGCCCTCTTCCTCGGGTGCCTAAAGTTCAAGCTTGAGACCATCGAGGAGAAGCGTAGATCTGTAGGCTCGAAATATCAACGGTCTAGATTGTCTTCCCCTAACTTTGATCAAAAAACTGTTTGAACGCCTCGCGGGCTTACTTCGTCTGAGGTATGTGCCACACTAGCCCGCCTGCATGCAGGCTTGTAGTGTAACTTGCAGGCTCTGATCGAATCAGTCAGTCATGTGCCGTACAGCTTGCCGCCTTACATGCGCTGCACCGCGTGAGTCCGATCGACAAGCTACGCGAGGATGGCCGTCGCGCCCTCATGTCAAATAGATCGTACGTGGTGTTAGTACGTCATGCATGATCTAACGGCACGCGTGTGCGGTTATAGAAATGTCGAACCAAGTGACTCCTGTCATGTGATGACCGTCAATCAGGCATTTTCAATCAACAAATGATCGCCGTACAGCACGTATTTGCGCCGCGCCGTCGGATTCATCGATCCATTCGCGTGGTGCCTGTAACCCATGTATACCAGCTGGCACGTTGGCGCCCCGTTGATATCATAGTCCGCACGCAGTGACAGGAGGCCTAGTGGGCGGGCTCAGTAGCATGGCTAGTTTTTGCAAAACAGCGCATGTGCCATGCAATGTCAATCGTATTTAATTACACCTCGAATGATCCTAAGTGCACGTATCCGACTTAGGAGCCTGTACTCGACAGCTTACATCTGGCTAGTGCGCAATTTCAAGCTGTCTGGTGCTTACTGTGACGATCATAGAATGCTTTGCCTGACAAGAGGCCCGCATGTGCAACTTTCTCAAACTGTCTTGCACGGCGCCTAAAAACCGGTGCAAGCAGATTATGCGGGTTGTGCACGAATAGAATGCATGGTCACCAAAGACAGCCGCACCCGGTATACCGTTCAAAGATCCCTTCACATACTTCGACGATGCATCGGCGCTGGCAAGCGCCCTCATCGTGTACGTTTCTATAGAGTGCCAAAAGCTCGTAATTCCCAAAGCACTTAACGAACACGCTCTGACCATCCCCTCCGTTTCAATAACGGCTTTCAAAAACAACTCTCCCTCAAGGCACGACGTCTGAGCATACCAGCGCCGAAGAAAGTCCGCCCACTTGACTTCTACCTTCCCCTGAAGATTACCTCATCGTCCTCTATCAGGCCCAACTCCTCCGAGGTCGCCGGCTGGGTCAGCATTCCGTGCGGCTGTTTGGCCGCGTTTCTCCCCGCAGCAAGCAAAACGGACACAGGGATCGGCATCTCGTTCGTGAACGCGGCGCTCGGCCCCGACCTAGTTCTACCTAGCAGCTCCTGTTCTACTGCGCTGGCGGTCCTAGCTAGCGATGGTCCGACAGGCCCCCGGTTCCCGGGCTGCTGCCAACCTCCCTGTGGAAAAGGGCCTATTCTCTGCTGCCCTGGGTGGGGCTGCGGTCCAAGGTGTGAATAGGGACGAGAAGGCCCCCCTGCAGCGGCAGCGTACGAAGAAGTCAGGGGAGACGTGATAGAAGCGACTCTTCTTCAGGAGGTATGTTCGACACTGTTCGTGAGTACGGGGAAGAGGCCTCAAAGCAAAACGCGATGTATATGCTTTCTGACAGAGCGAGACCGTCCGACCAATCAGGCGAGAAACCTGAGAGAACACCATTTTCACCGGCCACAACGACCTATGTTTCCGGCTCAAATGTTTGGACGTGGTGTCTGCCTCGAAAAATTGAGCTTGCAACTTTGCTTTGCAGATCTAAGACTGGGGAGATGTCAATGCAGGCAATAATTGCTAGGGCTCTTCAGCCGACAAGGAAGTCGCAAACTTCGCCTTGCCAACCTGTTTGTATCGCACAAACCGGTAGCAAAGTCTTTGAGACATCGAGACTGTCTAAGAATCCAATCTCGAAAGCTTTGGGACATCATGTCGGAGTCGGCTTCCTGCCTAGGCGAAGCTCCTAACGACCTCCCAATAAAAGGCATCAACAATCAAATGGAGCCTTTTCTGAATGACGCCTCACCTGCGCCAGACGGGTTATCCCAAAAAGCTGCAGGATTCGGCGCCGGGAATCTCGGGAATTGGGGCGCGGAAGGGAGGTTAGGATGGCCCGAAAATTGCCCCCCCTGGAAGTGACGCTGGTGCGTGAGCTGCCTCTGCTGGTGCGCAAATGCCAGGTCGGTTTCGTGCAGGACGGGGGGTCTCTGCGGGCCCACAAAATGCCCCCCCATCGGCATCGGTAGTGGAGCCCACGACTGCTCCTGCTGACGTGTCATCTCCTGCTGCTGCCACGTGAGCTGCGTGCTGGCGGGCACTTCCGGCTGGCGCAGGGGGGCACTGGGCTGGAAAGACGGAGCCTCGTGCTGACGTGCCAAGTCCTGCTGCTGCCACGTCATTCCTGACGAGGCAACCGACGGCCCCTTGGAGAAGATCTGGCTGAGAACGTCAGGGACCCCCCCCTCTTGCCGCTGCTGAGTGGTGCCCCCCAGCTGAGCGTCCCTGCCTCCCGTGCGGTCCGATTTGGACGGTAGTCCGAAGAACACGTCTGCGGACGCCACCTGCGATCTCAGCCGTCCGACTTCCTCGAGCTCGGCCGCGTTCTTCGCCCGCAGCCGTCCGATCTCGTCGGCGTCCGAAGTGATCTGCTCACGCAGCCGGTCGAGCTCCGCAGCGAACGTGAGCCGGTTTCCTTCGAGCGAGCGCTTCAGGGCATCCTCTGTGTTCTGCGCGGTGGCGCGCAGCGTCCCCAGTTCTTGTTGGAGCTGAACGAACTCGGCCTGCAGAGATCAAACGGTCTATTGTGTTCGCACTGATCGATTTGAGGGAACAGAGGCTTAACATGACGAGAGGCCTCACATGTCCACGATTGACTGCCAGAGCGATACGGGGCCAGAATCAACATTTCAAAGCTTAAAACACCAAAACGTGAGATTACATTACTCTCAAAGTGTGGTTGTCTCCGGATCTTGTGGTGGTGACTTCTTTGCAATAGAGTTGATGCGTCTAATCAATCCGAAGACCAAATCCAACTAAACCAAGGGCGAGAGCAGCATTTGGAGAACTTGAACAATCCATCTTTTGCGACCACAGGGAAAGAGCAACCTGGGTTGAAACGTCCTTCGTATCTAGTCAGGACAAACACCCAGCACGTGGACTACATGATTGGGGGGTCAATTTGGTGTAGGATTGACAACGCATGGCTTGCCCAGCTTAGCCCATAAAAATGCAACATTCATATGACGGACTCTTTACCTCACGATCCATGACAATCCATGGCAACAGAATCCACGCACTCACCTCCTTTGCCTGCAACTTTTGGCTTGCCGCCGCCCCCTTGGCCTGCCGTTGCTCCTCGCTCCTCTCCAGAGCCCCCTTCAGCTTTTCCACCTCACCCTGCCACGCCCGCAGCTCCAGCCTCACCCGCTCTAGTTCTCTCTCCGCGCCCCCTTCCGCCGGCCCTGTTTTCACACCCCCCCCGGTGCGCTCGAAAGCGAGCTCAGCCTCCAACCGCCCAACCTCCGCCGCCGCCGCCCCTAGTTCGTACTTCAGCCGTTTCACCTCGATCTCTAACTTTCCCTCCCGCGCACGTTCCTCGGAGGGGGTTGGTCTGTCACTGGAAACTGCCCCCTCCTCGACGGCCGCACGGAAGCGCCGCAGCTCCGTGAGCGTCGCTTTGAGGTGCTTTTCTAGGTCAACCAGATCGCCATACCCAGGGGCTCCGATGCTCTTTTCTAGGGCGGCCGAGACTTTGTCCCGAGCGGAGGCCAAGTCTGTCTCGAGCCACTCGTCAGCCGCCCGTGCCACGAGCTCGCTCCCCGGAGGGATCCCCCGGCCGCCAAACGCCCCCTCAAGCAACTGCGTCAGCTTCTGCAGATCCGCGCTGGGCTTTGGTTCCTCCTTCCTAACCAAGGGTCTGTCACTAACCCCGGGCTTGGCCACGTTAACCGAAGGGTTGCTAATAGGGCCACTCTCATCCACACTAGAAAGAGTGACTTCCGCTCTCTCCCCATGCGAGGGGGATCCCTCAACCCTCCGGCTGCCTTGGCGCGACGGCGGCGGCGCGAACGGCGCCTCCTCGTCGCCGCTCGGCCGCTTCCTCTCCCCCCCTCTACTTGATCCCCCGCTTTCCATCTCCCGCCCGACAAGCATCTGCGCGATCTTCAGCTGGAGCGCCAGATCCCTCTGCTGGTGTTCCTCAGCACTCTGACCATTTCCTCTGCGGTGCTTTTGGCTGGCATCAGCGCTCGCAGGTCTGCTGACATCAGCGCTTGTCGGTCGGCTCCCAACCGGGGTCCCAGCCGAAGAGGAGGGCTCCCCCAGGATCGATCTGAGAGGCTCTGCGATGGGGGTGTTCAGGGGTCTGCCGCGACCCACCGCAAAGCCCTTGGTGCCGTCAGGCCCCTTTGGTTTATTTTGCAGGGTGCGGTCATCGACCGGGGTGGCGCTACGCTGGATACGCCAGCGGGCGACGGGGCCCTGCAGATGGAAAAAATGACGTCACGACGATATCAGCAAGGAAGTGGAACACCTGTGCTTTCACTCAAAGCCCTGAAACCCTAGATTCTAGAGAATTCGGATCGCATCTAAGTTCTTATATACCCGCTTTCGCATTCTTTGAAACACGACGAGTGACCTCCCGGAGTCTGGTGCACATACCGAGCACAGGGCTGGGAACATGTTGGGACGCTTTCGGATGAGGATTCGAAGTACGAGGTACGTCTTGAAGAGTTTCGGTAGCAATGAAGTCTCGAGGCTCTGCGATTTGTCTGATTGCAGACTTAATTCTCAAATGCCAAGGGCACGTTGCAAAATGGTGTTCCAAGATATGACAACCTGAACTTGCAATAGCAGCAAAGAAACAGGGAATCGCGAAGGGACCCTTCGTACACCATCATTTGAGCATTTAATTGTTGACGGAAACTCCAGACACACAGGATTCGACCCTTTTATGCTTGATAGTTGCTGGAGTATCGGAACAAACCAGGTGACATTAGAAATGTCAGAGGGCTCTTGAAGGCTGTTGTAGCATACTCCTGGACAAACTGACAATTCCCTCTCGGCCCAACTTTAGAAACCCTAAAGAATATTTACAAGACTCTGCGAATCCCTCATGACCAAGGGTTGAAAAACACGAAAAACACCTGCAAGTTTCGCAACTCAAGGATTACAACTAACATTTCTTGTGTCACTGCACAAGGACCGCGTGATGAAAAGTCCCGAGGACATTGGTGGTCAATACGAGAAGATACCTGGCTTTTCTCAATCAAGCATCAATCTCACACACCATCCTCAATCATACTGTTGAACAAGCTGAGAAAACTCGAGATAAAAGATGAACAAAACTATAACGACAATACCTGTTGGCTCTCTAGTGCGGTCCCTTCCTTCACTTCCGATCCCAACTCATTTATCCTCCTCTCCTGTTGCTCTACTGTTCTTGCATCCTCGCCCTCCCTCTCTCCATCCTCGTTCTCCCCTCTTCGTCCATTCACACCTTTCGGCGGCAATCTCTGAACACGCCTGTTCCCGTTGTGCTCCACCTTCCTGTTCCGATTAGATGCGGCTCCTAATCTTGCCGGCAAGGCGGAATCGCTGAGCGTATGCTTAGGCAGCCTCGCTGGTGGCGTGAGTGGTCTTGCAGTCTCCTCTTTGCTTATTGTAGGCTGCACGGGAGGGGTTTTTGACCTTTCTGACACGCCTTGCGCCTGGGGTTTCTTCAACAACAGCGAGAGGAGCTCCGAACCCCGAGCCACCGCAGATGGGTCTGCAAGGCCACTCTTTGGAAATGTTGTGTTCAAACCACTTGTTGCAGAGTTGCCGTCGCTTCTGTCATTCCCTTCCATCAGAAGACGCGATTGCGAGAGCAACAGCAATAAACCAATTGTCCTACGCTCTCCGCTCTCCGGCTTCTTGTTTACAACTACCTACCTAGACACAAGATCGCCCGACCTCCTCCTGCGTCTCTTCAAAAAAAATTCAGGCTCCTTGAAAGTTTAATCAGAACAGGAGGAAGCGGCGCGGCACCCCACTGCATCCACCCTCGCCACCAGTCCGACTCCTACTCCTAGCTGGCGAGACTGGATGCCCGACTCAAGTGTCAAATTCTCACCTATCAAGAAAAATGCATTGATGCAAATAATGAGAGACTGCCGTATACCACGTATCGTGGAACATATTCGGCTCGCCTAGAATAGTAGGTATGCTATTTCGTGCACCCGGTACCTACCATTTTCCCTCGAGAAGCTATCTATTATGGAAGCTCAGGTACGATACCACGGCCTGATATAGGCAGGATAAGGTAGGCGCTTATCGTTGTCCACGCATATATGTGGTATATTAGCAATACTATATCGGGCGATTTACCGGTATAAGTCAGTACAATGAAACATAACTACCTGTTAGGTAGGTTAAAATTGACTGCTTTTCCAGACCCCGGGCCCGGGGCCAGGAGTCCTGTGCAAGTTGGCCGCTGCGTACCCCAGAAAGATTCGTAGAACGCATCCCCAAGCTACAAACCCAACTGCCAAACCCAAGGTTCATACTCGCTCCACTCACGGACAGTTACCCTAACCACCAAGCTAAGCCACTCGTCCCCCGGGTGCATGTCTGACTCCCTTCCACCTACTAAAATAAGCACATCTGACGTCGGTGTCATGATCTTTCATTTTCTCATTCGTTCGTGTCGATCGTGGGGGATTTCCAGGGTGCTGGCAATGGGATTGGATGCTCCAGTGGCAGAGGTCTCGGAAGCTCCATTCCTTACGTTCTGCAACAGGAATGCCAAAGCCTTAGGAGCGACAGGACAGCAGGAGAGTGGTCTCCAGGATAGACCATCCGCGCAGCAGATTGGTGGGAAGTTTGACAAAATTTGCATTCAGCGCACACAGGAGTTTATGGTGAGCTCCTTTCTTCTCCCTGGAACAGTATGGGTGCTCATTGCTCAATGTAGCTGAGAAAGATGAGTCAAGGAGGACTGATCTAAGTGGTGGTGTGTGATTAAAGCACAGAAACAACTTCTCAAGTGATCATGAGTCATTCAAGATTGGATGCTGCTCACTGCACCTTTCGCTGCATTGCTGGGGCTGTCAGGTCTTCCTGCATTCTTGAAGTTGTGGACTGATCATTGTAAATGCGCTCTGCAGAACAGATTGATTATGGTCATTCACAATTTCGCTGTGGCCTATATGCTTCCTGTACCACCATTCAGAACTGTAAATCTGGGTCATTCACAGAGACAGTCAAACTCTTCACCGAAGGTATGCAAACGCTCAAAGTTTTGATACTTGGGGACTTTTCTCTGGTCACCATTGTTGATCATGACATTTGGGGCTAGCACTGCCGTGTTAAGCAACCCCAGAATAAGGACAAAGCATCAACAATCAAAAGGGTTTCTCTGGAGTCTCATCCTGATTCTTACGTGTTGCAGCGCACAATTAAAGGAGGTCAGATGGACCCTCTACCTACAAAACTCGAGGAGTTTCGCTCTAGAGAATATTGGGATAGTTTCTTCCGCAAGGTATGTCTAAGGAGACTACTCTTCCAGCGTCTCACTGAGTCTCCAACCGTTAAAGGTCAGGAAATAAAGCATTTGTTAGGCCAACGTGGCAGCCTATCATCTGTTCTAAGGACATTGGTGTCACTCACAGTGGACAAGTTGGTACTGCAAGTGTGAAGGAGGGTTAATCATTCAGGGCAGCAAATTGCATGGACAGCTTAGCCACTCATTTAAGTCAGTGCCTGGTTCAGTCGCTCAGTCAGTCTGTATGCTGCACTTCATCATTCATTGCCTTAGTACTCTGTGTCAGGCCAAAGACAGAAGCCAGCTTGGTTTTGACCCCACACATATATCACCACTGTCTTTGAAACAGTCGCTGTTTTATCTTTCCTGAGATGCAAGTAAGGAGGCAGTACTTCATAGTTTTCAAGATTTGGAATCAGGGGAGGTGAGCTGCCTCTGGTCCATGTAGGAGGTAGTGTATCTTTGAAAAGTTTCGGCCATTGCGCAACCATGGGGTGAGGATAGGAATGGCTGCATGTCTGGCAGATTCCATGAAAAACCTCCCGTTGTTCTGGCTTTCCAACCCCACAGCTTGGGCAAGAAGCCCTCAAAAGCACGACTGAGAGAATAAACTGACTCCCAGAATTGCTCACGGAAAACTCAATTCCCCTTGCTGAAGTCTTCCTATACAGACCTGCTTCAGAAGAAACCTCCTCCCTAACAAAGCTCCTCCAAGCCTCTTCCTACCTAAAAATATTCGTACCAATCCCTCAACTAACATACCCTTTAACTTGGTTCTCTAAAATGATTCCAACCAATATCTGTGCCCCTGTTCCAGTTGGACAAGAAGGCCTTCGAATGGTATGGGGAGTGGGCCGAGCTGCGCGACCTGGTGATGTCAGCATGCTCCCCCGGGCTCGACATTCTGGTGGCCGGGTGTGGCAACTCGGAGCTCTCGGCTCTAGTTTACGACCAGGGTTGCACGCGCGTCACCAACATCGATTTCTCGAAGGTGTGCATTGTGGAGATGCTCAAGAAGAACGTGCGTGCGCGGCCCAAGATGCGATGGCTCGTCATGGACATGACCAAGATGCAGGTACGGCCTAGACTTAGTTTCAACAATTTCCGATGAAGATACCGCTCAGGATCTAATACCCATAAGGCCACGCCCGGGGTACGGGTGGGGTTGGCCTGGTGATCAGTGTAGGATTGGGTGCAGAGAGCTCCATCATTTTGATTAGGATTTCTGGTTAGGCCATTACACCGGGTGCTTCCTCATGGATACTAGATCCTCACAAGTATTTGAAGTTCACTAATATGCAGCCAGGTTGAAAGAGATCAGTGTCTGAGGTACAGGTGCGGTTAGTTGGGGGTTAGGGTAGGGTTGGTTGCGGAGCCCGTAGATTTGTAAGCAGGGTGTTAATAGTGTTGCGTTCTCTTGTTTGTCATTTAATAGTGTTGCGTTCTCTTGTTTGTCATAATTTATTCAGCCTGGCTCAAGTCAACCTCTTTTGGAAAACTTGTCCCAAGCCTTAACTCGCTCGACGGCGGTCTAAATGAATAGGGAGAACGAGAAGATGAGGCCGGGACGTGGGAGCTTATCTGTTTCGGGGCCTCTTTCCAAGAGCTTTCTAAATCGGTAGAAAAGCTTAACACATTTATCTGTGGATTTCTGCCAGATGCCGACACAGAGGTACTCCTTGCATAATTTTTGCACACCTTTTGCTCTTCGCAGATTTCCTGGATACTGTGTGCATCCGTTAAAAAATCGTTCCCAAGCACCAAGAATCGGGCACGCTGTTTTGAAGCATCATAGTCATTTGCGAATCTGTTTTAATCTCAGAGCCTCTGTTTCCGAGCGTTCCACAGTTCCCCGACGCATCATTCGACGTCATCATCGACAAGGGGGGCCTGGACGCGCTCACTGGGGAGCCCGGGGATGAAGGGGCGTCTGCGGGGGCTGCATTTCTGAAGGAAGTCAAGCGGGTTCTTCGGCCCGGGTCCGGGCGGTACCTCTGTGTCTCTCTCGCTCAAAAGCACGTCATTGGTGAGCTTGCGGCAGCTTTAAAGGATCTCTGAGCGGTTTGCTCCGAAAGGCATGCAAACTTTCTGGAGACGGCGGACACGTTGCCTTTGTTGCAAAGCCCCCGTTCATTTTGCAACAGGCGTTAGAGATTCGTATCAGCGGCCTAGCGGCAGACGTCTTCCGTGATATCCAAAAAGTTGGCGATTGGCGATGGGTTGGCGGCGGTCATAGTTGCTTGCTCAAAACGAATCTCGTCAGACATGCAGGAGAACAAGTCGGGATCAGCGTCTGTGTATCCGCACGAAAAGCTGTGGCAAAAGAGCCGTTCGTTTCCTCGATTAAGCAACCCTTAGATCGCTGATAAATGATGCCTCCTGAGCGCTGCGATTTCGTTGTCGCCATCTTCACGCGACTGCGTGAGGCAGTCAGCAGATTCCATTGACGCGCGCTTGTGGTCAGTATTACGCTCTCTAATTATGCTCCCGAAATGAACGAAAGGGAATAAGAAAGTTCAGTCGTCGCCCTGCAGATCTTCTCCTCACGACGCTCGGCCCCGGCTGGCACGTGACCATTCACCAGGTGCCTCTCCCTGCGGACGGCTCGGACTCCCCTTTCCGGACCTACTTTTTGGACGTCCGAAGCATGGCCACCTCCCCAAGCGCCGGCCGGCGCTTCTACCCAGTCACCCTTGCTTTCGACAAAGCACAAATCGCGGGAACTAGAAGAGCGGGTTCAGAAATCACGGAGGCGCGAGAAAGCCAGCTGCGGGATCTGATGGCGGCCGTCGCTCGATTTAACGAGCGTTGCTCACGTCAGCAGGACGCGTGTCAGCCCCTCGAGCCGGCGGCCGACGACTTTGAGGCGTACCACCCGGGCCGAAGGGCGGTTTGCTACCTCGGTCTCGATAACCAGGTCGCTAACCCGACCCAGAGCCGAGCCCGGTACACGGCCACGGTCCTTGATGCCGCGTCAACGAACCAGAACGGAACGGCAGCGGAAACAGAACGGAAGCACAGCGGAACCGATAGCAGCTCGTCCGAGTCGTCTGCGTCAACGAGTATGGGGAGCGCGCCCGCGCGCGCGCACCGGTGCGCGGTTTTCCTTGTCCCTCAGGGACGGGAACACGAATGGTTATTCGCTTCAGAAGAGGGCCAGTGGCAGTTAGTTGAGCAGGCTTCGGCTGCACGGTTGATCCTGGTTACGCTTAACCGGGGTCACCGGTTTGGGTCCAGTGAGGAGGTGCAGTCGGAGCTTTCCCCGTTAGTGGAAGGGTTAGCGCCGCTGCCATGCCGACGGGAGCGGAGGGTAATTCCGTACTTGACAACGAACGACGGGATCGGGAAAAGGACGATACTGGACGAGGTAAGCTTATACTCTTCGCTACAATCATTGAACGGGATGGATATGAGTTGGTCAAAGGCAAATTCACCGTTGTGAAACGACTGAGTAGCACGCACACAAAGAATGGAGAAGAGTGACCCCTACTTGAGGAAGACAGACCTTGCTGGCTGCATTGCTTTTGTTTAGTTCATTTTCAAATGCAGGTCATTGTGCAGATTTTGACAAGGGTTTACTGTGCTTGTAACCTTCCACTAAATGTTCCAGCACCCCCACTTTCGCTGAGCCGCCTTGTTCCGTTGTCTGTTTCGCTTACATGCATTCTCAGCGTCGTTTGTGCTCGAGGCCCGGTCGAGGTCCGTGCTTGTGTTGCGTGCGCTTCTGGCGGAATTTTTGACCCTGTCGTGCTTGAGAGGCCTTGCCAAATGTATTGTGTACTTGTCAACCACAGTTTCCTCAAGGGAGTCCTTTACATCGGCGCCTGTTCAGCTCGAGGCCCCGTCAAGCGTCCGCTGATTTATTGTCGCCTGCCTTTTCAAACCTGGTCGCAACCAAAGGGGGCCCTCGTTCTCAAGGCCTTGTCAACCTTGTCCTCACCTTCCTTGCCTGCCGTTTCCAGGCGGAGTCGCAAATCACGGGGCCCATCGTGGTGGAAGACGTGGAGCTCGACTCCGGGTCGCAGGGCACGTTCCGGCGCCTCGTCTTCACCCGGAACCAAAACCTGGTCCAGTCCGAGGCCGCGCTGACGTCACCACCCACGTCAGCAAACGGAGACGCCGCGTCGAAGAAGAAGGGGGGAAGGAAAGGCGGGGGACAAAGGGGGGAGGTCGGAGAGCGGGCGGTGGACCACAGTCTGCTGACGAGCGAGTATCACGCGGCGATGGTCGCGGGACTGGCGCTCGTTATGCCGCTGCTGGAGGGTTACGAGGAGACGAACGGAATGGTGGGCGGCTTGCCACGTGGCGCTGAATGGCGCAAAATCGCACACCGTTTCTTGTGGTCTCCTCACAGCACAACACATCCAGTTTTCTGGATGCTAGAATTTCTTGCTCTGCTGTCGTCATTATGGAATTCGAGTTTGTGCAACGGGAATAGTACTGCGACTGCGCACTTAGACTGGTATTTCAGCATCGAGCCTGCGGAGCGTACGGGTGCGATCAAAGTTGTCGTCGTAACAACGCATTCCAATTTTTGTAGGCTCGAGTGCTGGTGATTGGGCTTGGTGGTGGGGGGCTGCCCATGTTTCTTCACAACCACTTGCCGCTGCGAGTCAAGGTGAGCACACATCCGTCCTCTGCACGACAAAAATGCTACTGACGCGGCTAAGTTCCCTGTCTTCGGTTTGTCCTTCAGTGATAGAAGCGCACTCTGAGTGATAGTAGCTATGCAGCGAATCCAACTGCTCGCGTCCTTTTAGGCTTTTAACCGTTTGATATGCAGAGCCAGGACTTCTGATGTTGGGAGCATTAGAGAACTTTTGACTTTCAAACGAGGAAGAATGGCTGGCAGCATCTTCAAATGGAGGTTTGGTTTCCGACTGCCCAGCCGGCACTGCCGTTCCGAAAGGGCACGGGACAGCGGGCAGACGTGCTGGACCAAAGCATAAAGTCCGAAACTCGAAACACTTTCACGGTTCCGAATATTGGGAAACTGGGGAGCGAGTTCACCACCCTTGTTGCTGCATCAAGATGCTGCATCTTGAGATTTGTAAGGTTTTCAAAGAGCATCCCTTTCGGTCTCTGTAGACGAGGGCCACACATAAAAGTGGAGCACTCTTGAGACGACGTTCTCTGACATGACCTGATTGGACGACTGATGAGTGTGCTATTGCATCCGCTGTGCTGAAATCGAGCTGTAGAAGTTGCCGACACCTCAAACGAGCACTGCTGTTCGTCTATTTTCCGCAGGTAGTCGAACTGGACCCTGTTGTGGCTCAGATGGCGCAGCGTCACTTTGGTTTCGTCGAAGACGACAGAATGCAGGTAGGGTTACTTATTGGTTCTCTTGGAGAAACTGCTGCTCTAGGTGCAACGTGCTCTGGTTGATGTATCCGTGACATAAGTTGATTCGTTAGCTGTGCAGCAGCAGGTCTTCGGTCCCATTCTTGAGTTCTGAAAAACTTCATCCGCTGTGTGGCCAAAGCGTGGGTCGAATAAAACTTCAGAACTGAATCTACTATCATCCAACTTTTATGCGTAAGCGAGCAGTCTACTGTTATGGCAAAGATGCCCTGCAGAGATGTGAACAGTGAAAGTGAGAGAAAAAATTGTTTAGCGCCCATTGGGCCATTTTGACATCTTACTCGACGTTTCAAGTATTCCTTGCGGGAAACTCATTCGAAATGCTGGTCGAAGGCTCTGTTGTTCCTGCCGATGTTGATTTGGCATCATCTGCTTCAAACACAAATAGCTAAATAATCACTTAAAGGGGTGAGCAGACAAGAAGCGGAAACTCTCTCGCGATAGCGTTTCTGCTTATCAGCCCCGCTCCGACCATTGCAGCTCGAAATAGGGGACGGCTTGAAAGCGGTGCACGCCATCACGGCCAGCGTATCCACAGCCAATGGAACGCCGCCATGTGGCAACGGCGCTTTTCCGTCAGAGAACCACCAAGTCGGTTCAGTCCAGTCTACTGACAGGCCACGTAACGAGAGTTCTCCGGTTAACCGGACATCGGAACGGAATGGGAACAGCACCGGAAACGGAGCCTCGCCGGAGCGGCCTGAGGGGGCACGTGACCAGAGACTGGATGTACTGTTCATCGACGTGGACGCGGGGGATGCCAGGTGGGCGATTTTAATTGGTCCGGAGAATGCTTTTGGATGGGTGTTAGGGAATCAAGTTGTTTATGGCAACATGTTCAGGGTTCCTGCCTCATCTTTACAAGGCATGGTCTTTCTTTCCTGTCGGCTCTTGTTGTCACCTTCTGTTCTGGACGGTACGGTCGTTTACATGAGTCATCGTTGTGCCACAGTTCCCCAGATAGAGATAGTAGTGACTCCGGCTGAGCATTTACTCCTTTGGAGGCTTTGTTCGCTGTGCATTTCCTATGACCTCGGGCGCGGTGACGAGGTGTCTGTCCCATAGGCTCCATTTTCTTGTTGGATCTTCCGGATCTCGTGGAATGATCATGCCGAAACGTAGAACGATGATGTTATGCAATCATCAAGCCGAAACGGAGAGTCAAGGTTTCCCACTCCTTGCAGACGGAACATGCGCTGAGCTTCCCACAAAGCTCTTCCCACGAAGCCTGTTCGTAGACCTCCATTAACTCGAACCTCCTGACCATACACTAAGTCGATACTTGCAGTCTGAGCATGAGCTGCCCCGCACCCGCGTTCCTCGAAAAGGACTTTCTGCTGACGTGTCGAGCCGCTCTACGTGACGGCGGCATGTTTGTGGTGAACGTCGTCTCCCGCGCCGCAGCGCCATACGCATCGGCCTGCGCCATACTCAAAGAGGTGGGCCTGACGTCAGAAGGTGACGCTGAATTCTTTGCCAGACTTTTAGGCAGACGTAAACGGGCATCCTCCACCGTTTGACCTCTGAAAAACCGCCTGATAAAAGTCAGACTGGCTTCTTATCAAATACACTTCAATGCGATTCTCTTCGCTCAGCATGTATGGTTTTTCCGCGAGTATCTCAGTGTTCGTGGATGTCTGCTGGCTACTGCCACGTGTCAAACGCTCGTGCAGTTGGTCGCGACGAGCTCTTCCCCTGAAGTCGGTTCTTGTCTACAAGACCTGAGTTTTGGGCTTCCGGGTTACGGTTGCTCATTGTTAAGGTTCACAACCGATTATCCTTGGCCGCAAGCGCGATGATTGGGCATAGGATTGAAGTTGCGAATATCGTCTGCCATTATGTTCTGACACATCAATTGTGTTCCACATGTGGATTGCAATATTTCCAAGTACGAGTACCATCAAGGAAGAGATGGCGCCGGCTAGATGCGCTTGACCAAACGTCTCTGAAGCTCGCTATTGTTTGCTGAAGATGTCTGTTCGTCTCCAGGTATTCCACGACGTTTACGAATTTGATGTCGACGGGGACGTGAATCGCATCCTGTTTGCCCTCCGCCGAACGGAATCTGGTCAGATAAGTAGTCGGTCTCTAAGCGAAAGCGCGGCGCAACTTCTTAGGATGGGCAAAAACCATGGGCCATGGGGCCGAGGGCCTTTGCTAACCAATCTAGCCGAGGGTATCAAGAAACTCGCTTAGTTCGACTGTCGCTGCCTAATCTTTCTTGGCGGGTATAAATCTGACGTGGCAGAAGTGCTCACCATTACCTCCATAGGCATATGTTATGAGACAAGCACGGAGTCGTGGAAAAGAATGGTCATTGATTAAGTAGAACAAGACCCAGAACCAGGGCGCCACGGAGGCCTGACGCTAACGAAAGTCAGAGCACTGCTACTAGCATTGGACAATGGGTTTTGACGCACCGGGTGTCAATATCCTGCTTTTGAAAACTAAAGGTTGTGCAGTCACGTGCTCCTTTGAGGGCATGTGAGAATTTGCACAGGCTTGGATTTGGATACGTGCAATCAGAAAGAAGTTGCCATCGGGAGGCAGCATGCCGGCCCAGGCTTCTGCAAACGTATACTGCATGGGGTGGTTGTTCGGTATGAAGTGCCATCTCGTAACCGTCCAATCGTACATATAAGCGGTATCGGATCTATCTAGTGCACAACGCGCTTTAGTTTCCTTTAAGCAAGCTAGCGCGTGTTAGAGAAAATAACGCGATACATACATGTCAGCGCTTCAAGTGTAAAGTTGCTGATCATCATTGCCGGGCGCCACTCCTGGGCCGCCCGCATCAATGAGCTAGCTTGCCGCACTCATCAGTATCGCCTGAGCTTCATTGGCCATGCGCGCATGCACATGTACGAGGCTTCTGCGCATACACTAGCTTGCCCCATATATATGCAGTGGCAGATCGGCCGCCCCATGATGGTCATGCGCGGCGTTATAACTTATACTCAAGAACTTTCAATCTTGAACCCATGCTTGGCACCCCGGACTCAGCCTATATATATTGCTGACCGTGGCTGAGTCGCTCTTTCCACCTTCGATCGGATCGTTCAATTTAAACAACGCAAACGGCGGCCATCATATGTGGGGCGCGGCATGCATCCGATGCGATGAGTCATGTGATGCAATAACTGGCGGCATATGCACTGAGCCTCGATCCTTAAAGCAGCCTCCTTAAGTTAGCGCACACGCGTCGGACTCATCCGATCTTACCAAAGATAGTGACCATGCATCCGACCGGATGACAAGCTTTCAAGTCCAACTATGGGTGTGATCCATTCCAATAGGCTACATGAGGGCTCGCCAGCTGAGACCAGACAATCAGGCCGCGTACACACTCTGATTTCAAATTGCCAAAAGCTCAATCCCATGGTCAGAATGCTGCAGGGCCCACGTGTTCCATTAAAAAAGCTAGTAGTCCGACTAGTATAGAGCTGGGCGCCTGCGTCGTGATGTCAGTACAACGTTCAACTGAAGGTTACTTGCACTACTTGAAGCCCATCTTCCAACATCTTGATTCTACGAGCTACCTTTGAAGAGAATCACTAGAAGTACATCTCCTCACACAACTGAATCCCCTGGAATCAAGCGTCCTTATCAATGTAGAGCGCTGGTTGCCGCCCAATGGGAACTTGTTGCCACTTATGGAGCCCCTGTGCTAGCAAAGTCTCGAGCTTTCGTATGCTCTTCACGAAGCACGCTCCACAACCCTGCAAAAGTCAATTTTATATCAATCCGTAAGCGAGCTAGCTCCGCCTGAAAACCACCCGACTGGCACCTGCCAACTATTGCACCTGTATCTGTTTGACTTGTAAAATCTGAACGAGCTGAAGTGCCCCATGGCCCATGTGCCTAAAGTTGGCACCCAATCCTATCTCCCAAATGAGTCATTGCACTGACATGAAACCAGTAGTGCGGATCAAGTGGGTCTGAGGCGCATTTACATTAGTACTTAGGACCGGTATGAGGTCCAATAATCACTGCGAACCAGAATGGAGTTCCTGAACTAAACAAAACTTTTGACCACAGACTTCGGCTTCCTACAATCGTGCTCAACACGCTGATCATAAATGACTGGAGTGTCCGTTCCCTGCGTCTTCCAAGACACGGCGCACTCTGGAAAGTGCTTCAAGACACAGCTCCTAGGGCTTTGGACGCACTTGACACTGGTCTTGTCGAAGCCCAACGTTCGACAGCAACTTATTGCTCGGACGACAGACAGAGTGTCAATTTTGAAACACCGGTGAACGCAAACTGTACCGTGCACCCGGAACAGAGGACGTCCGCATTCTGGATCCCCTTACCTGCAGCGAACCTGCGTGCTGGAGCCCGACCAAGAGGACCCCCACGAACGGCGCCCCTTCTCACAGTCCGCCAGTGATAGCGCCCTGAGTCTGGTAGTCTTAACCCGACTTCTGTCCAGGCCTTGTGCTCTTTGCACAAGCCCAATCAACGCGGTTTATGGTGCTGGTTAGTTTTGTTTCCAAACACGATCCGCCTACTCGAAACCTAAGTCCTCCAAGTATCTGATGAGTCACGACCCTCCCACGATATTCTCCAATGGGCTCAGTTGCAAGTAAAGTGCAGGTTCAACACCGTCGTAGAATCTATGCGGCCCGATTGCGGCCAAGCAGTGGCTGAAAATTGTCCACGGTAGTGGAGGGTTCAGATGTTTTCCGTCGGCTAACTGCCGGTTGCTGCTTTATCTGTGCGTGCCTCCGCATAATCAAAGCTCTCAGAGTGTGCCCGCACTCCCTGCACCAACTCTGCAAGCGGCCGTTGCTCCGTTTGCTCAAGCGGAACTCGAACGCTCGTTTCTCCTCACCGCAAACGGTGCAGCGCTTCTTCTCTGGGATGCTGAGCTGCGCTGCCCGCTTCATTTGATAGCGCTCGGCGGAGCGCTTGTTGGTGCACACCTTACATGTCGTAACATGACCGCGTGTGAACTCGCTTGCCGGCTTAATCTCGTGGCAATGCCTGCATTCTAGAAGAGTGCCGGGCGGCTTGCTACTACGCTTTTTCTCATCCCAGGCAAAGTTACACGCCCTACAATGAGGTTGCAGCTTGCCTGTGCTCCGGTACATTATAGCAAAGTCCCGAACTTCCTTGGTTTCACCGCATCTTGAGCACTTCCGAGCGTTTGCCCATGCTTGCTCTACTGAGAGCCCCAAGTGATGAAGCACGGCCCCTTTGCGCTTTGCTTGGCTGGCAGCCGCGCACGCTCTGCAGGCACCACGAACGTCCCCCGAATGGATTTTCCCAAAGTCCACCAAGTCCTTGAAACGCTGACACTCGGGGCACTTTTTGCCAGCCGAACCCGAAGAATGCACAGACCTTGTTTGAAGTAATGTGACCCCTCCGATGGAAATACCAATCCCAATATGAACTCCCATGTTCATGCCCAATCGCTGTGCATTTGCAGTCGCCTTGCTCAAATGCTCGCGGATGGAGTGCGAGCCTCCCACCAGACCACTCTCACCTTCCACCCAGTTTGAGAACAACTTGAGACTTGGACTTCCATAAGCGGACGACGGCAGCCAACGAGGAAGATTCCTCAAATAATATCCTACGGGCTGTGGATCATGGGGTCTACCAGGCTTGACACTGCTCGACTGCCTAGGCGGTTTGGCAAATTGCTCAGTGACCTCGGCTATGAGTGCGAAGAGCGCACGAGGGGCAGTTGCTGGCCACCTGATACTCTCTGCTGAGACTTTTCCCAGTCTGCTCTGAACAGCAGTAGCTATGGCGCAATGCAGGCGGGACGCCCACATTGTGGCATCTCAGAGATACGATGCTTTCTCCTTTGTGATTGTGATTGTGACGACGCTGAGGGCAGGCCAGCAGCAGTGCCCGTTGGAAGACAAGACGACGGAACAATGCTCAATTGTCCCTGCTGTTCTCTGGTCCAGCGTCAGGGACGCATTTGCAAGCAAGGCGCAAGCAAGATTCAAGAAAGAACGAGACAAACTCCTATCATGTCCTATGCATGAGAGCTGGACTGCTAGCCTCAGCCTCAGGTGTGCAAGCTGGCAGTTTGAACTTTTGATGGTTTCGGGTCAAGTCTCAAGAGTGTCCACTGACCCTGGGTTTGCCAAGAACCCGGGTTTCTTGAGCGCCCGGTTCGAAAGGTCTCCGACATTAAGGCCTTCGATATTAGCAGACACCTCATCATCGGACGGTGTACTTTGAAGCTGAAAGGTATCCCGGGACAAAGCCCCGGGCGTGCCGACCTGGCCACGCAACGGGTTCGTCACCGGTGACGACCCTTGCCATTGCTGGATGGTCGGAACTCCCCCCGCCATCTGCGGAGTGGCCCTCTTGAGCGGGTAGCTGGCGGGTAGAATCTGAAGCCTGAACTTGAAGGTGAGAAGGACAGGAGAAATCCAAGAACTGATGTGCAGATGGCAATGCTGATGGCCTCCCGTAGGTAGGGTACGCATCCTTGCATCACTCAGCCGTGCAACCTCATGTCTTACCACATGCTCTGCATTGAGCTGACAGCACCAGGAACGGTCATACATAAGTTGCAAACATCTTTAAAGAAGCAGATTGATCCCAAGCCAATGCCCGACCCGCTGTAGTTCTTACACGCCCAGCTTGCTCAATCCCCCTGTCTTGGGTGTGCTTGCAACGTGCTGAGGAACGACCAGCAAGGAGACGGCGTGACTGTCAACTGAAGAGGTGAGACAAGGCAGTGACCATTTTGTCACTTTGCAAGAAGAGGTTTTAGGTATCAGATCAGTGTTGCAGATACGGTGCATGAGTTTGCCTATGCCGTTGCTGATCTCCTCCTACATCTAACCTTGCTAGGCAACTTCAAGAGTATGATAGAGGCGCATGAGTAGTTTTCATGACGCTCTTTCATGGCTTGATTGATCTGTAGCAGCTTCCTGAGCAATGTCGTTGGTTCCACCAGGCAGCTGCAAATCTCATCGCCAGCTGTTGATGCGCAGAATACAATACGCCAGCTGTGTCTTATTTGCTTGCACCTAGCTAGCACAACAGATGGTGTTCATAACGTGACACGCATTCTTTAGATGCTCTATCCAGATACACAGGTGTCCAGATCTGATTCTAACAAGGTTGAACCCGCTGAAGGCAGCTCAAAGCTGAAAGCGGATCTGTGGACTTTTTGCCTCTGCCCACCCCAGCAGCCACTCAAGAATTGGACCTCCTGGCCTGATTGTCTTGACGGTCGATGCTCAAGATTCAAGAAGCCACATCACTAAAAAGATGGCTTCAATTGGGATGTATCCTGGCTGCAAACATTTGAAGATGACAATCTCATTACAGGCCAGTTAGCACCCTTTGCATAGAAGAGTGGCATCAAATGAGACACTGCTGATCCTTGTGGAATTTCATTCTGACATGCCTTGCTCCCCTTCTTACAGGACATCCAAAGACAATCGCAGGCGTCAAAGTCTCCGTACTCAGCAGGCCATGGCTTCCCCTGCCATGCTCAACGCCACTTCCGTTGGCATTTGGGCCCTGGCCCAGGAAACCCTTTTGGGTCAAACCGCTAACTACACCTCCTCCCAGTGGCTGGAGACCCTACAGTCAACGCTAACCGCCGCAGTTAAGCGGCAGTACCTCCAGAACGACTACTTTGCGGGGGGGGTCGGGCTTATGCTCATCGGAGCCTGCGCAGCCAGGGGGAGATTGTTAGTGACTCACACTTGGAAGTTTCTGACAAAGCGTCGGGGGGTGGTTACGGTCTCGGTAAGTCCAGACGATGCGGCGTACGTGTGGTTACAGAAGTGGTTAAGCAAACACCTGGGGAAGGATAGTTCGCAGCTGAACCTGCAGTCCAGGTACGAGATGCCCACCGCTGACGTCGACGATGACGACAGCGAGAGTGAGGCGTCGCGTAACCCCTCTGGGGGCGCGGTTCGAGCGGTGTACAATCTGTTCTTCGTTCCGAAGCTTCAAGAAGCGCAGAAATTTGAGTACAACAGCGAGGTCGTGACGTTTCAGCTGGAAACTAGAGCGGACGTTCTGAACAAGGGGCAGTCAGGGGACGTGTCGAGTCTTTTCAAGAGTTTGGCGTCGAAGGACGCGCTGATTATCACAGCGACAACTAGGGAAACGATTGAGAAGCTGATCAAGGAGGCAATGGCGGGCGCGCTGGCGGCTGTGGAGGAGCGCAAAGTGACCAACGTCAACCGGTGGTCGATCGAGGAGTGCTACTGGGACTGCGTGAGTTGTTTGTCCGATTTTGCTTTTTGTAACTTCGCTTCATTCCTGTTGCCTTAGGCTGAAACCTCTGTCTGCCACAGAGCGCTTTCTGTTTGCTTACAAGCACATCGTGCGAAAGGAGCACTTTTGATGCAGTGATGACTCGGAAGTAAACGAGTCTTGAACTCTAATAATCAGAGGAGGGAATCGTAGACATATTGGTCTATTAGCTATTTCTTGCTGCCCAAAGAGTCGAACCGGAAGCTTCATGTTTTCGGACAGTTAAACCATCTTGTTCAACGTGGAACACAGTTGACCCCAATAACAGAAGCTTCAAAATCTCGTTCAAGCACAACCCGCATTGAGCACTGCCAGGTTCACCCTTTTATGACCTTGATTCTCTTACGCCTTCGTCTCTCCATAAAGTAGTGTCAGTTAGACACAGCTGCAAGCACATGCTTCACGGGATTCAGGACTCTCAAACAATACCAGACACTGACGGCCGCTGCTTCCGTTCTGCAGATTGGGACCCGCCCCGTTCGCCCACTGCACTCGGTCGTTCTGGATGGAGGGATCATCGAGACTCTCGTCAAAGACGCACGCACTTTCATGGCCAGCGCCAAATGGTACAGCGACCGGGGCGTGCCGCACCGGAGGGGGTGAGCTCCTTTCGTACATCTTCTGAGCTATATTTCCTCGCTGAGGTACAGACACGTGGCAGTTTGAAGAGAAAGTGCCAACGGCTTCGAACGCGGATGAGGACTGCGTGTGATTGGCTGGTTGTGAAAAAGCGAGGTAGATTCTTCAATGATTCCAAAGAGAAGTCTGGATACCAGGCAGGCTTTCGGGTTGATTACGGGCGTCAGAAACTGTGTTATCTCTGCGATGCCGAAGTTTGTGCACTCGTTGTCTGCTTTCTCCTGTTCGACGCCACTAATCCGTCGTCTATCTGCGAGCCATGCTTGCCATACTCTGGTTAGTTTAACCTTGATTTCGCAAACCCGCAGGTATTTGCTGCACGGCCCCCCTGGCTGCGGCAAGTCGAGCAGCATCCTGGCCCTGGCCGGGGAGCTTAACCTGGACGTTAACCTGGTGGGTTTGTCCTCCAAGGACATGACCGACGAGATGCTGCACAACGCCTTCAGCAGGTATGCTTTACTCATTCAGTTGCGTCCCGTTTTTGGCTCTTGTTCTTCTAAGCTCTATCTATTCTTTCCGTCTCCATGGTCTTCCTAATCTGATGTTTAAGATCTTTATAGTTTGTTTCTGTCTTTCTGGTCGAGAATGTTGTTGCAGGTGTGTCAGGTGCGCCATACGAAGGCTGCACTTGGTCCACGAAATGCCCTGGAAATTTACTTCCTCCTGTGTTGCGATATAGGTCCTGAACTTTCACCAAAGCTCGACCGTGCCGTCGCAACCTCCTGTAACGTCAGATAGATCATATCCCCACCCTTTCAAAGCTCAATGCATCGGACCATTATGATCTTCGTTCCTTCCCTTCACTTATTTTCCATTGCTCTGAGATGTCTCGCAAACTTAAGATTCTGACTTGGACTCCTTCCAAAATGAATTGCCCACCGTCAGAGCGGGCAGGTCTCCTCCTCCTTCAAAATTGCTGACACAAACACACCGACCTGGATTCTGCTACTCGCTCCCGTTTTTACAACGCTTCACATTTGTTGACTCATTTGTCGCTTCCTCGGACCCCCCCCCATTTGTTGACGCATTCCTCGTTTCTTCTCTCCCCCCAGGTGCGATGCGCGGTCCATTCTGGTCCTGGAGGACATCGACGCCGCGTTCGCGCAGCGCGACGGCAAGAGCCCCAACACCCTCTCCTTCTCCGGCCTCCTCAACTGCATCGACGGCGTCTGCGCGCAGGTCAGCGCGCGCGCACCCACTCGCCCAGTTCTGCTGCCGTGCAATGCTTGCTTTCGTAAGGATTCAGAGAAGGCGAATGAGAGTTTGTACAATCCTATTCGCAGATTTCGAAACGCGATTCTGCAGGGAGCTCTCGAACACGTCTTTTGCTCGCAATTCCTGTGGCAGCTTTTAAGGAAGGTTCCTTTAAAGAGGGCGTCTACCCACGTGGTACTCCGGCGGTCCCTTCGCAGCAACTCCACATCTTGTGTCGCCAAAAATTTGGTCACGTGGTACCAGATTTAGCGACCAAATGACGGGCATACGGGCTAGTTGGTCGCCGAGGCGTGACGGGTCCTAGGACGCCCCCTTAAAGAAGCGGCTGAAATTGTTGGTCCCACGCAACGTCAGTACACTCCCGCGTCTGCCTGAGGGGGGTTATGGACGCAAGCCGGACTCATTCAAAACCCACACCCCTTTCCTAGCTTGTCGCTGTCTTCGCACCACTCCCAGCTCGTGAGTCCGAAAATCAGTGGATTCCTGAAAACCAACTCGTCAATGTAACCTGTTTTTCTAGGAAAGTTGCAATCTGATAATGACGTCCAGTCACCCGGACTAGCTGAACATTTGGAAAGTGTCGCTCTCTTTCCTTCTTGCCCTCTTCCAGAATCCTGTACAAGTCCATATCCGATGCCTAACCCAATTGCTTAACTTGATTTCGCAGGAGGGTCGCATTCTGATCATGACGACCAATCATCTGGACAAGCTGGACCCCGCTTTGACGCGCCCCGGGCGGTGCGACGTACACCTGCGCCTGGGGCTCGCCTCCCGGGCACAAGTTACCACCATGTACCGCCGATTCTACCCGGACGCCCCGGAAGATGACGTCAACGTGAGTCAGCAAAAGCACCGCTTACGTTGCTTGTTTAAGTTGGTCTTCCCTTCATCCTCCCCGTGTTAATCGCTTCGTCTTCTCTACTTCTGGAGTCCGCGAGAGTAGAGGAAGTTGCGATTTTGCACCGCCGCTTCTACCCGGACGCCCCGTGGATGACGTCAGCGTGCAGGGACTTTACTTTCTCCTTCCTTCAGTCCTTTCCGTTATTGTTTCTTCGTCTTTTATATTGTGGAGTCCGTGGGAAGAGAGTAGTCGGGCCCACGCTGATCATCAGTGGGAGGTACGAGAAGCGCCCGAGTTGGGCTCCTTTTAAATGCCAGCTGTCTGGAAGTGTTGAGGGTGATTTTTGGAAGATCGCAGACAAAGAATTGCGCTTTGGCAATTCTCGAGGATGCATAAGCGCCACCCTCCTTGTCCGGATTTCGTGTTTCTTCCATGCGTCGACACGTTTGTAACCCGCTGACTGCCCAGACATGGTTATATGAAGACTGATTGAACCTACGTCTCTGCGCCTCAGTCAATATCTTACTTACCAAAAACCTTGCCATTATCCGTGACCGCTTTTGATCGTACTTCGCATCTGCAGGCCTTTGCCGACCGGGTTCCCGAGAGCACTGTTTCCCCGGCCAAGTTGCAGGGCTTCTTTTTGCTCCATCGAGACGACCGGGAGGCTGCCCTGGCAGACATTCCCGAGCTCACGGAGGTTGCCCTAGGGGGATCCCCCGGGGTCGGGAACGGAAATGGAGCGGAAACGGAACAAAAACCCCCCTGCGACGATGTCCCAGGGGCTCCAGCGGACTCTGGGGCAGAGAATGCGGGAAACGGAAACGGTGAGAGCGATTTAGAGTCGGACGGCGGGTCAGACTCCGGGAGTACTAACCGGTCGGAAAGTGAGAGCTTAGAAAAAGATGAGGATTTTTGCGCGCGGGTAGAGACGGATAGGATGGAGAAGGCAGAGAAGGTAGATGCGGCAGCCGTGTTGCTTAGCGAAGTAGATGCAGGTGCGAAGACCAGGCGGTCGAAAGGGAAGCGCTTGGCGAAGATGTTCTCGTGTATGGGGACCTAACGAAACAATTTGACGCATTCACATTTGGCAAGGATGAGAAAAGTCGTGAACATCTCGAAAGGAGCGCGCGTCAGGTGAATGGAGACATTTGCTTCAGAAGGTCTGTTGTGATTTGATTGTTGTAAAGAGACGCCTAGCTAAGAGATGGAGTCGAGACATATTGCGTATGTCAACCCGAGCAGCATATTGAGAGGGGTCGTTACTGAAGCAGGTTGCCTTCGACCCTTTCGATGAGAAGATGAGCGGATTGTTTGGGGGTAGTTGCAATGTACATTGAGATCAACTAATAATTCAAATGTTCCGACAGAGTTTACGAGCATCTCTTCCAATCATCATGGCCCGCAAACGATCATCAGAGCCATTGCAATGCTATCTCCTCGGTTGCATGGGCATTACAATCGCACCGATTTATCCAAGACACTGAAAGAAACCATGAAAACCATGACGGCCGCCGAGGGTACCGTACTAGCAAGCGGATTGTGACATTCCAATATTGATAGGTAGTACCGTACGGGTGATCATCTCATGGAAAAATAACCATTGCCAAGTTGCGGTGGGCTTTGAACCGTAGCATTGGTTGGGCATGTGGCATCTCCATGCAACCAACCCTGGGCCCTGGCCCGAAAAGCGACTCCGGTAAATAAGCAAATCACCACGCAATCCATGCCGGGCCTCATGGAAGCATGCGCTTGAAGAATTCCGTGCGCGCGTGCGACGCAGGCAAGCCACGTCAGAAAGTCCATGCAGCTTTTCCACGTGTCGTAAGCAGGTCGTTGCCCACTTTGTCTGAACACATTTACTCCCGTCTCTAGTTCTCCAGACCACCCCCCCGCGGAGGTACACCTAGTTGGTTGAACCCAGGGTGAACCGTGACCGGAGTGCATGAACCGGCATGCATAATTGGCAGAATAGGCATGTGAATTGCACAACGTTTTCTCGCATTTCGTCCAGCAATTGCAGCAGCTTCCTTGCGCTATGGGGGCTGGTAAGGCAACAGTGCTTGACAGGCTCATATCCGAAGAAGATGGAGTTGCCGTCCTTGACGGGGGACTCGCTAGTGAGCTTGAAAGCAGGGGTGCTGACTTGACTGATGCATTGTGGAGCGCGAAGTGCCTGATAGAGAATCCTGGATTGATCCGACAAGTCCACTTGGACTACTTTCGGGCTGGGGCGGATATCGTGACGAGCTGCTCATACCAAGTAAGGACATGCTTGACTTTTCTTGAAAAAAGTGCTCAGAATTGTTCCCTGGAATTGTGTTTCTCTCACAGCAGCCTGTCTTGGAGCCATGATAGCTTGGATCAGGAGAATTGGCACTGCATGTCAACTTTGAGGAACCATTGGCCACCCATGACTTGGATCAAAAGAGTGATACGCCTCTATCCAAAAATTCAGTTGAAAAGTCTTTGGGGAAGACTTGGCCTCAGATTGCATCAGTTGAAACACAGAGGGAGGTTGGGACCACAATTGGGATAAAATTCATAATCACCTCCATAGGGCACGCCAATGCTTCATGATGGTATTTAAGTGTATTATTCGAAATTGGAATTGCGCAATTCAATGCTCCAGACTTCAGAAGTTCCTTGGTTTTGCTCTGGAACTCATTATAACTACCACCTTGAATTAGAAGCAGTTCAAATGTCTTAATTGTAGGGTGTCTAGTGGCAATTGGCACATGCGGGATTCAGCTGCCCAGCCTCCATGATCTTTCTTCTACACACAACCCTTGTAATTCATGCTTGTTGCCCATACTGTTGCTGAGAGTCATATTGAGATCAACTTTCTTCTTTTCATTTTCCCTGCTGCATGGTCACTCACATAAATTCCCGTCTTATCGTTTTCCTGGCTCAGAAAGCACAGCGTTATGGAATGGCAATGAGACACCAAGACACTGAGACATCGTGGCCTCTGAAGTACCGCTTCTTGATGAAAACATTGTGTCTCTTCAGGCAACTTTCGAAGGCTTCCAGAAGAAGGGCCTAGGAGAGAAGCAGGCAGAGGAGCTCATGCGCCTGAGCGTCAAGCTGGCATGCGAAGTGAGCCCTAGATTTTCGAGTTACCCCCCCTTTTCTTTGCACATCCTTCTTCTGTCCAGGTTCATGGCACCAGGTTCAATGAACCTGCTTCTTCAAGCTCAGTTGTGCAAGATGCGGTGCTTGTCTTAAGAAATTAAAGGGCCCAGTCATCTTCTGAAGACTTTGTACTGTTTTACTGTTGAAGTGATTGATCTATGTATCCCACCTTTCATTGATCGAGCGGTGCGTTTGTTCGGCAACGGCCAAGTAACGTTGAGACCTGAGTGACCTCCAGCTACATCCCTGAGTCTGAGCCTTAGCAACCTTGCATGGAGAAAGCCTGAAAGGCTGGCGTATCCCTTGAAGCAATTCCGCAGTATGACGAGATCCTTCACTTCTGTAATCACTTGCGACACATAACCATAAACTGGATTTATGTACATATGTACTGCTTCTGTCGTTTCCAGGAGTCCTCGTTCATAATCCGCTTCCTTCCTCATATGGATGTGGAATTGAGCTTTCTCTTGGGGTTAGGAACTCACGACAGACTTTACTTCAGGCAATGCATGTCACACATATCTGTGGCGGAATAAGAAGGACCAGAACCCCAATGCTAAAAATGGGGTAGCGAAAGGGTTGCCTTTTGTTGATTAGTTGTTTTACACTTCGGTCTCAGAAAGGTATTCTTGTACAGCCGTCAAACTGGTAGCTGTGCACCATTCGAAGTTCAGTGGTTGGCCCCACACCTGGCTGTCGAACAATTTTAGCCAAGTTATTCTAATACCACCCCTTTGTCCTCCTCAGGCGCGAGACCAGGCCAACAAAGAATCTCAAAGCAGTGGTTCTCCTGCTCTTCGTCAAAAGAAACGGCTGGTGGCCGCGTCGCTCGGCTGCTATGGGGCGTCCCTGTCAAATGGAGCGGAGTATTCGGGAGATTATGGTGGTGTCAGCACGGAAGATATGATGGAGTTTCACAGGCGCCGGTTGCGGGTGATGTCGCGCTCGGGAGCGGACGTGCTGGCGTTCGAGACAGTGCCCAGGCTGCAGGAAGCGGAGGTGAGGGCAAATTCCGATAGTACAGCGGCAGCCTTTTGGGAAGTTTCTTCTATTTGGTGCGAGGTTTAACACCGAGCTACGCTCAAGACTAGGCTGTTTCTCGAATCCAACCCTCGTTGGACCCCCGCCTGCTGACGTCAGCACCTGACGTCCATACACGGTCGAGTACCAAACTCCTTGGTTTTCGAAACAAGCGGCCTGCTGCGCAGTTTCATCCGGTCTCCCAAGCGGCCTGATCAGCTGACGTGAGCGACACGTCATTCCGCGCACCGCAGGCGATCGCGCGGCTGCTGGACGAGGATAGTGACGAGGACTGCGTCCCGGCGTGGGTCTGCTTCAGCTGCAAAGACGAGCGCCACGTGTCACACGGAGAGACGCTCGCAGATTGCGTCCGCGCGCTGGAGAGCTGCAAGCGTGTGGCGGCTGTGGGGATCAACTGCACCTGGCCGCGGTTCATCCAAGGTCTGGTGACGGAGGCCCGAAAGGTGAGCGGGTAGCCGCTTGCAAAGAGTTGATTGGGCGGGTCCTTTCGTTGAAATCAGAATGCCGCAGAACAACTTTAACACATCCTGAAAGTTCCATTCATCCAAGGTCTGGTGACGGAGGCCCGAAAGGTGAGCGGCCAGCCGCTTGCAAACAGTTGATTGGCGGGTCCTTTCGCTGAAATCAAATTACGCAGAACAATTTTAACAAATTCTGAAAGCTCGATTCATCCAAGGTCTGGTGACGGAGGCCCGAAAGGTGAGCGGGTAGCAGCTGACAAGGGGTTGGATTGCGTGGGTCCTTTTCGCTGGGGACAAAAATGGCGCAGAACAACATTCACAGATTGAAATACCGCGAACTTCAGTTTGCAAGGATTGGGGAGCTCTTCGGATGAAGCCGCGGGGATGGTTCGCAATAAGAGGCGGGTGAATTGACGTCTTTGATCGACTAGAAAATGTCCGGTCGCAATTGTGTACCATCACACTTTACCGCTGCTTTCGCAAGAACGTCACCTGGGCAAATGTCAAAATGGGCTTTAGGACGTGATTTGGACTCTGGCTATTCCATGCATCCACGCTGGACTGTTCCTTCATTTCTCTCGGCCTGCTAACATCATATTGACCCGCCCTTTGCAGGTAACTTCAAAACCGATCGTTGTGTATCCGAACCTTGGCGAGTCCTGGGACGCGGAACGCAAGGAGTGGGTCCTGTCCACCGGTGCCACCGACGACGACTTTGTTTCGATGGTGCCCGTGTGGAAAGATGCGGGGGCAAGGATCATCGGGGGTTGTTGCAGAACGACGCCGCGCACGATCCAGTGCATTGCTCTCGCTTTGAAGCGGAGCGGGCAATGCTTTTCTGCCAGTCATGGCGCGTAGGGACTATGCTTATGGGCCTGATATGTGACATGAGTGTGACTAACCTAGTGAAGACTGTCGAAGAAGTGATGTGCGTGTGATGAGGAGGCCAAGTAGCTGTTGCTCGAGCGGGCAGGTTATGCGCGATGAATGTGTGAGCACAGTTATCGAACATATCAGAATTAGTGTATGTAGATTGAGGATGCGAATATAGATTTCAACAAGACAAATGAGTTATTGCATCAACTAGTTTGTTTCAATTGTCCCGGGCATACCAGTGCTTGTTAAGTTCGTAGTTTTTGAGTTTGGTAAATGTGTATCGTACCAGCCTGGTAGCTACCAACCGTACTGACTCAAGCAGGTGGCCAAACATACCGTCTGGCCCCGCAGCACATGGATTCGCATGTCCCAATACAAATCAAACTGCAAATTAGTCCGACCGTCACGGTGAATAAAATTGACGGTCACCAGTTGACCACATCAGGTTGGGCGGTTGCGTTGGTGACGTACAAGTAGGTGGCCAGATATGAAATTGAATGTTCGTAATGATGCTATTGATTAAGCCAGCGTGGCTGAACAAACCGTTCAATACAGGGCCGCGGGGCAAGTCGAACACATCTCATCCCTTTCAATCCACAGTACGCGGTAAACTAGGTACAACAGTCAAGGCTACAACGATTATGTGACCAGACCTGCATGCAGCTCTACTTGTCCGACTCCGGTCAGTGATCTTCTTGTAACATGCACTTCAGCACTTGTCGTGTAATCGGATGAAGTCCCGCGATTTTCGTTGCACGGAGTAGCAATTAAGCACGGTTCTTTGCGTCATACACGTATACCGACATAGTAATTCCAGAGCACGATTGCTGGTTCTTCATGTGGCCTGCTGTTACAGAGTCTACAATCTTATCTCAGGGAAGGTTGGTTCGCGGATCCTCCCAGATAGTTGCTCATGCAAATACGAACCAGTACGCGGCAGTTGAAACCCCTAGCGGCCCAGTCCGGTCTCAGCTTATTGCAATTTATCAAAGAATTTCAAAGACCCAAAACAAGTCTGTACTTTGCAATCAAGGTGACTGACTGTAGAGCTTGTGGCGCGAGCGTGCGTGCGTCGATCAATTGAGTATTAAGCTACTGTAAAGCAAAAGCTAGAATCTACGTCGCTTGCGGCCAGCCATTGCGTGCATTCCTTCCGGACCGTCTGATAAGCCATTTTCAATTTCCCAACAGTAATAACGGTGTACCCGTCCTCCGTTTCAAGGTTCCGTTCAAGCATCGGATTGATACAACTGCGAATTTCGTGACAAGCCTGCAGGTAACGATGTGACCAGTATAATGTATCAACGGCGAGCGCTCGCTTAGTCAAGAATCGAAGTTTCTGCAAATGGTGACGAAGAGGTGCAGCCACAGCACGGTCCAGCAGACCGAGTCGTCGTCCTTTCAAACGCGTGACAGAGATACCTTATACCCCGTCCGCACGGCCGTTAGCGGACAGTCAGATGGTGAGCGCCTGTCTCTACGAACTCAGAGCTATCCAGCGTGATTTTATGGAACGAGAATCTATTAAAATTGATAACCTGAGAGCAAGTGAGAACGTAACGGGAAGGGGAGTCCTGCTGTGTCGACCGGCTGAGTGCACCAAACGGAAGGAGAACGAGGCTTCGTACCCCGGCACATTCAAAAGGAGGAGGATCGGAATAGGGAAACAAACAGGGCCCGTTTCGAGACGTTGGAAAACAGGGCAGGTTCTTACCCCCGTAGTTAGAAGAACGAGTGCAGCTTCTCCAAGTCCAACAAAACGGTCCGCCCGTGCATGTGCGAGCCCTGAAAGGTGGCAAAATCTCGCCATCTTGAGGCGCGCTCTGAGTATCCAACTGAGATACTGAAAACAAGAGAATTGGTTGAGTGGAACCACATCGAGCTAACAACAATTCGGTTAGAACTGTAGCTTTTGGCCCAGGGATAATCGGAAATATGCAAGGGCGCCGACTAAGACGTTCCTGGTTAAAGCCGGCCCGTACTCACAAACAGCAAGATTGACGTATACAACATCGGGTTGATCTCTGTTCCGCCAACACAATGCAGGTGGCGGCGCCGGCGGATTCGTACCTTCACTTGCGCCGGAATGTTCCGCTCCCCCTCAAAAATGATCCACAACGGAATACGCGGGCTGGAATCCAGATTGCCCCACTCTGTCACAACGGCCGCGGTCGAGTCTTCCGGATCTTGCCACATCACCACCGCTTCCAGTGCGCGCGCGAAGGGCTGCAGCCCCAGGAATAGACTGCAACCGGGCACTGCCGCGAGCAATCTGCGGATGAGAAGAAGTATAGATTGGTCGAGATACAGGCAGGTTGAGATAAATGAAGCCAGTAAAGACAGACCTCGAAGTTCGGGGAACGAGTAGGGCTAGTCGGACGGTAAGGCTGAATGCAAGTGCGAGCGCGTGGGCTTCTACGGACTTTTGTTTCCGTGCTTCTTCCTGGTCCAAGCGTGTGTCTCAGTGTGGTTTTACTCAACCTGACTTTCAGACGCGCACGAGGAGGGTATAAGAGAATGAAGCGTCAGTCATGGTGAGCTTTGTGGTATATTTCGACGTCGTTGAGAACAGTCGTGACAATAAGCCAGTCCTCAGAAGTATTCTGCTCTCTTGATCTGACTTTCCTGATTCAGATTCTAGAGGGGCTTAAACCGGGGCAGGTAAGGCTGACGAGCCACTGTGAAGGAGTGGAGCAATAGGCGGGATCCAAGCTCCGCCTGAGAGATTCAAATAAGACCTGTGTCCAAATAAGACTTGTGTCCAAATCATCGAGTGACTTCGAAGAGTACGCGAAAACAAACTTGCAATGCTGATCGGCCAGACTCCACACATCAAGATTTAGTCAGACGTTCTTGGAAAGGAAGGCGGGTCAGTAAAACGGAGTGGCAATAGAAACGAAGAAGCGCACCGGGACCCGACGAAGGTCATGCAGGAGCGATCCGCCCACGGCTCAAAGCCGTCATGCAAAGCGATGTTGGGCGCGCGCTTCGCGGCCGGCCCGCCGCCGTCGCGAAACGCGGCCGCGGACGTCTCGAAGAACGCGGTCTCGGTAGGGAAGCGGCCGAACATGCCGTGGACGGGCATGCTCCGGAGGACTTCGTTGGCCGCTGGGAATGCGCATTAGAATGGAGGTTTAGATAGATTCTGATTGCTGGGATGAAGTGCGAGAATACCGATCTTCTTTTGATATCAAATTGCGCTTTGTAGACGCGACCAAATTTTTTCTGGATGGGCATGCTCCGGAGGGTTTCGTTTGCGCCTGTGGAAGCATGAGGAACGGGAAACAAGGCAAAGAATCGACCTTAACATTCCTTGGCCAATTTGGAGGTTCATAAGATTCCCTTTAAGTAAAGGTGAGCAAGATAAGAAGTGGCCAAATAAACGGACATGCTCCGAGGGCGTTGTTGGCCGCTCCGCAGAAGCCGTAGTAAACGAAAGATGGATATCGCAAGAGAGATCGTTTCTGAGGTTGCAAACGTGCCAAACCTAGGCACGCAAGCGTGCGGTCATGTCGTCGAACAGCTCGATCGTCTCAACGAATCTTCTTCCGAACCCAGAGATTTGTGAACCTCAAATTGGCGCTTGAATGCTTCCTATTTGTATTTCCAAAGGGTGACGCGGGGTTTGCAGAACAGTGACTGGATTATCGGGCTCCATTTGCGGCTAAATTCAGGACAATTGCGAGGGCTCATATGAAGGTGAGTTTTAAGAGAAGCAAACGCAGAGCTCTTTTCAAATCCGAAGCTTCAATAAATTTCGCTCGACACGTAAAACATCCGAGAAACTGCCAGCCTGCTGATCTCCAGCTTATTCTGAAAGCAAAGTAGGTCTCCTATTGGACACCACTAGCATCCTGAGAGGCTCACGCTTTGAGCTTTTACGTGAATACGCCGCGTTTGCGCAAACTCCAGATTCCAAGCTCGAGTATGTTGTGAGCACCCAATACCTTCTACTTTGAAACCTCATCCTCTCGCCAAACGACTTATCCCCATTTCACCCACTGTTTTGCTTGGTTTAACCAAAGAGGAAGCGGCTGCACTTACCGTCCACTTTCGTGCAACAACTTAGAGACCTCATGTGCAGGGATCGGGGAATCCGAAGGGGCGCCCTCCTTTTGGGGGTGTGAAAGAGATCGCGGCGCCTCGCACCGGGCAGAACGTTTCTACGACATCATTGTTTCAGAACTCGAGGGCAATCAAAACATTCGACGGAAGAACCCACATCGATCGCTCACCGTTTCGGATGCCGCTCTGCAGCACGTGGACAGCCACGTCAGCAATCCTGTGCGTCCGACTGGCCCGGCGCCCCAGGATCGAAACATCCCCCTCATCAAACCACAGCATCATATCCCCATGGTTTTTTGCCGCCCAACTCCGAAAATCGTCGAGCCCCATTCTGATGCCCGTCTGATACGGGCGAGAAAATCGCTCCTCGGAACTGATCAGACGTTCGAACCGCTCGAGCTGCTCTTGGAAAGCGGCATCGTACTCCGCGAACCTGAGAAAGAGATGTTGTTAAGACTGTGGGCGACTTGCCGCTCTTGTTGGAAAAAGACCGGTTTGCCAAGTAAAAAGAGAAGGGTTGCTTGAAAGAATGCTGCAAATTTCCTGATATAAAACAGCACAGAAAATGGTTGATGCAGTGGTCGGATGCCACGTGTCAGACAAACGTCGCCACGAATGAGAAGACGCCAGGTGATGATCGCCACCAGCGTTATACTGTAGCTTTCATCAAGTCTTGTTCAAAAACTCACTCGGAGCTTAGTCGGCGAATCGGACGGGGGGACTCAATCTTCCGAACGGACGACTGACCGCAACTGAACATACAATTGGCCGTATCTATCGAGTCGCTTTTTGATGTAAAGAGCTCAACTTTCTTGCACATTGCCCTCGCGTTTATCTGCGTCTGATTGAAAACGCTGTGTACCGCTTTAGAGCGGATGGTGACTCTACGTGATGAGAAGCAAAGCAAACAATACTCTGAAAATACAAGCTTTTTTGGACTCTACTTTAGAGCAATCTCTACTACAATCTTTAAATCCTCGAGAAAGGCACAGAGAGTTACCTGCGACTTTCTTCACAGCAGCAAATGCAACTACTTACTCAAATTGAAAAGCGCGATCAAATACTCATATTAGTTCATTACAGTCAGGTCAGTGGTCATGAAGGATTCACACCCTTTGTTAGGGACTCGGCGGGCAGCGCATTGCAGGGGGCGACGTCTGAGGCGCCGGAAGCCATTCTACAAGCACACGAGACAAAGATAAGCTCGTCCTTGCGCGAAAACACACCTGAAAAATGCCATAGTGTCAGCAAAAGAGCCCATGAACTGCCCAGAAACGCCTGCTTACTAGGGCAGGTTAATGGAAGAGAAATGTGCAAAACAGCAGCTTGGCACACAGGTTTGAACTTACATTGTCTTCTAGCAGCGCTCTCAACTTTGCCAATTGACAAAGATTGACAAATACTCGATGGCCCTTGGCCTGCTTATACCTGGCAGCTTTGACACAGCATTGTAAAGTGGGACTATTGTTCCTATTTTAAGAATAGGAGAATTTTCCAAAAAGCGTCCCCGAATAGATTCTAGCTGGCTTGCACCATACAAGGCGAAGCGTTTGGAAAGCTGACAACAGCCTCCGGTATCTCAAGATAATCCTACCGTACTATGTTAGGCGAGTTCATTGGGTCGGACTCCGCTTGGGCAGCCCTGAAGTGCTCGCCGCTTGATGGAAACAGGGTTTGTCAGGGGAAAACGCATGCAGCTCGCTGCCGCCATGACGGCCGGGCGTTGATGGTCAAGTGCGCGCACTACAACTGACTAGAAACGTTGCCGGGCATGACAACGTCGCAGCGCCGCGCGCCGGCCCGGCCGCGTGTCGAAATTCCCGGGTGCACACTTGCAGGGTTTCAGAAAGGTTCAACCCGATACAGCATGGTGCGCGGCCGGGCACGGCGGTCACAGGACGCGCCCTCGCGCGCGCGTTGCATGAGCCTGACTCCGGCGCCCAGCCTGCAGGCCCAAGCTGCGCGGGCGACAGTGTTGGCATGTCATGCATGCTCCAGATTCAATTCATTTCATAGCACATGGCGCAGCTGTGAGCTAATTCCAAGGATCCAAGCAGCCGATCAATCATGGCGGCTGCGCTGATTCAGAAGTTGTCCGAGGCTCCTGGGTCCGCGAGCAAACAGGCTGAACAAGAGCTCCCCATCGACATCAACTACTCCAAGCTCGCCGGTAGGTGCTGCAGCATTGTCAATCTGAAAATTGTAGCGTCCGTGTCTAGTTGCAGAAGTCCTGAAAAATGTAGCCCTCGTCTGCAATGCAGTGTCACCTTGATCTGCGTTGTTGCGCTGTTCTGGTCCTCTGTATCATTTGACAGCTGAGCGCTTAGACCACTGTAGAGTCTTTCATTGCCAGAGTTCTATCGAACTCAGCTTTCTGTGGTTTTGTTCGCAAAAATAGCTTGCTAGCCTCTCTATGGCCTTCACCGCCTGGTAGTAATCCCATGTGCCTCTGATTGCATCAAGACCACAACTTGAAGGCGCTGAGGCGCTGGCAGTCTGCTAACACGCAGTTCACCCCCTCAGCCCCACCCTCCCTGCAGACTGGCTGGTCGACCGCAAAAGGGTCCCCTCCGACTGGCGCAAGAAGCTGTCTGCAGTACATCATCTCCGTGACGCCGCTCTGACGGCCCTCCCCAAAACCCTGGACCCCTCGTTCCTTAACCTCTCCTCCGAAACCACGGGTTACCTGGAGGTCAAACACGTGCGTGACACCCTCGCGGAGCTCAACCCTGAAACGCGCGGCCTTTTTGGGCGCCTCTCGGGGGCCGCCGGCCAGTGGGACGCGGTCGTACAAGCGTATGAGAAAGGGGCCCTGTTTCTGGGGGAGGCGGCGCTGGACCTGGTTAGGCTGGTTAACTACGAGGTTCCGTTCCAGAGGAAGCAGATCGCCAGGTGGCAGCAGCAGCTGGCGGACCTCGACAAGAAGGAGGCGGAGTTCCGGAAGAACGCGGGCGTATCCGCGCAGCGGTACAAGCAGGCGTGCGAAGAGCTGGGAATCCAGGTAAGGGTCTCGCGGTTCTGATTCTCAGCATTGTGCCCAGATATTCGGGGGATTTGTGGCAGGTTATGTGATTGCGGCAGGATTCTATGTAGGATGTGTGGTATCTCTTGGTGTTGGGACTTTAAGTGCGCTTTTTGGTGAGTTTGGTCACATGTTGAGCGTCGTGTCGGGCGATGAGTCGCTTATGCATCTTTCAGGGCTTGAGTCTTTGACAACGTCAATCAGTTGTCAGTGCACGACACTCTACGACTGCTCTTTGTTGCCTTTGAAGGACGATCAGATGTGCCGTCTAGGAAGGCTCTTAACAATCATTCTCCTGACAGATGCAGTAACCTCTTTCTACCTTCTGGTGATCGCCTACAATGTACTCAGCTCTTTTTCCTTGACGTCACTTGGGAAAGACAAGAGGTACCTTGTCCTATTTTGCTTCTACAGGAGCAGTCGTTTGCAACCTCGAAATGCTTCTTGGACGCTGTTTGAGGAGGACATCAAAGCTACCCTGTCTTCTTTTTGCCAGGGTACTGACGTTCGATCCGAGCTGCTTGGTCTCGCCCGTCACCTCCCCGGGGTCTTCAACCGGGTGGTCTCTAAGCTGTGCTCCCAGGAGCTAGGGGAGGCCGGGGAATTCTACCAGGCGTTTGTAAAGTATGCACATACTGAATCTGAGGTGCGCTCTCTTCCCTCCCATAAATGATTCCTTCTCTGCATCAGTCTTGCTTAGCAACGACTGTAAGTGAACGCACACCTCTACAGGAAGTTGTTCGGCCAAACTTACAACTGACTAATGCCAACTTTGGAGGCGTTCCTGAGTAGACACGCAATTCCTATCGGGGCAGGTAATAGAAACCTCTTCCAAGCTGCGTCCCAACAGTTGGCTTTTCTAAACAACCTGAGGTTCTCCAAGTTCCAGTGCAGCATGAGGTTTCGCAAACCTTTGGGTTGCCAAGTCAGAGGTGCACTCGGCCTTATTGCCGCTTGAGCTGTCGATGTTACAAGTTATTCGGTCTTCCAATAATGAAGCTTGAGTACTCCATTCGCAGGTGTCAGGGTTTCTGCGGAAATCAGTCTATTTATGCATTCTTACAGCTGGAAAGTTCGAACGTGTTGCTTCCTCCTCCTCGCGTCTTTATATCAGACAAGTCCAAATTTTCCAAGGCAACACGCAGGTATAGGTATGCCTGTCCACTGGAACCTTGACCTAGCGCAGGTCAAATTAGACAATGCACAATAAGTCAACGGGCCTATCAAACATGTCTCCGTTCTTAAGGCCAGAGCTTGTGAAGCGGACAGTCTGCATAGTCCTATGTGCACCCATCTGTTCCTTCCTTCCTTTTTGCACAAAATATCAAAATCTGTTCGACACAGACCACGTGGCGCCAGTCTGACAGCTGTTCCTTTCACTCTCTCAGGAGACCGCCGGGCTCATCCTCCCCACGCTCTCGGGCTTGAGAGCCAGCCCTCCAGAAACGCTCGCAGATGACGTCACCCTTAAGACCGTGCAAGACACGTCAGCCAAGACCGCTGCAAGCCCCAGCGAGTCGCCCGTCCCCCCGACGATCGACTGGGGCATCGACGCCTCCGAGACCACCCTCGCCGAAGCTCCTGCGTCAATCAACTGGGACGTCGACGTTTCAGGGGGTCAGGAACAGCCCGACGCTGCACCCCCAGGGATAAACTGGGACGTAGACTTGGCAGAGGCCAGTGGTGACGCAGAAGGGGGTAGTGAAAACCGGGCAGATGCGCCCCCTGGGATCGACTGGGGGATTGACATATCGGCGCTAGGAATCGAGGAAGCGTCAGGGGCACCACAGATCGATTGGGACGTGCAGGTTCCTGAGCCGTCAGATGGAGCCGATCCGACGGCCGGGAGTGGGCCTACGATCAATTGGGACATCGATTTGACGGAAGCGGCGGAGGCGAATAGCCCAGCGGAAATCGATTGGGACATTGGCGGAGAAAGTAATGCGAATGGGGGGTTGGAAACGCGGGAAGAGAAGGGGGCGGGCGTGGAGCATCCGCTGTCGAAAGCTGACTTCAGGAGGGCTCTGCTGGACGACCTTTTCGAGGTGCGTCAGGACCAAATTTATTTTTAGGATGCCGTTTGGATGCGATCTAATGATTGCTGCAAACTACCGCGTCCTCGGAAGAGCCTTCTCTGGAGAGACGTAAGGAACTTCTCTTGCACAGATCCAGTGCCCAGTGCGACCGCCTTTTTGCTCAGTTTTTAGAGGTTCAGCGCATCCTTTCCTTCAGTTTTCTGCCCCCTCCTTCATCCAATTGCACGCTTCAGAAACCCAGTGCTTGTCTACAATTCCGGACGCGTTGCCCTCTTCCTTACCCTTTACCCCTGCCTTGCAGTTGCGCGCCTTTTTAACCCAGCGGGTTAGCGAAATGGAGTCCCAGGCGGGGCAGCTCGCGGTGTCCGCCGCCACTTCACTCCAGCAAGCAACCGTGGACTCTGTGAGGGCAATGGAGACCCACGTGGCTGAGGCGATCGGGCTGCTGACGAACCGCCGGACGCGGGACCTCATCATGATTACGCACTCACCCAAGTGAGGTCTCCAGCTTTTGCAGTACTAGATCGCAGGTTTCTTCTAGTTTTGAGGGTTTAAGGGTTTGAGGATCCAGTCTCCGCGTGCTCTTCGAGACTCGTGATCGTATCCTGTAGCGCACCGTTATTGTGTTCGGCTAGGAGATGAACATTCACGGGATCATCTAAGTAGAGATTTCTCGGCTGAAATCTGAGGTCTGGTCGAGGTTTTCATGCAGGGGTGTTCGAGAGTCTGGGCTGTTCGTCACACAGGATACCCCCGTGAAAGAGCCGCCGTTGCACCCCCCCTAGTTGTCCCTCAATATCTACCCCCCCTTTCGCAGGCTGTTGGAACGGGTGCAGTCGTCCCTGCACCAGCGGCGCGCCCAGGAGAAGAAGTCCCTGGAAAGCATTGCTGACGTGGACCGGAAACGCCTCGAGGTGAGAAGACGGCTCGCTGTTGTCGGTCCCAATGTTGATATTTTCTTTTACCAACAAAGCTTTTGGGGGCAGCTACTTCGAGCCAAGAGGACGGGAACTGCTACTCCGTTACTAGCGGTTTCCTGCGGACTGCGGCACCCAGAAATGTTGAAAGCGCTCTTGCAATTGCAGATGATTCTTAGTTGGCTCCGATCGCCTGACCTCACAGACCTATCTTTTCGGCCGATGCTTGTCTGGAGATTCCATAAGAAGTAGGTTTGGCACGTCTCGCTTTTGCGGAACTGTGGGTCTTTTGATGAGGCTTCATGGCAAAAGCGATCGTAGTAAGTCAAATAAGAAAATTCAAAACTCGAAAGGCGCGCTTTTGTTCTGGGGGAAGGGGCTTGGAAGGATGCAAAGTCTACACCTCCAATGCTTTCACAGCTAGAAAGCACTCGCTAATAATGATGCAAATTGTGAGCTACTCGACTCCCCGCATTCATAACCCAGATGTGGTCCTTTGCTTACAAGCCCGAAAAGTATTAAAGACAGTCAGAAACGGTCCACTGTTTTCTGATGGTAAGCAACCCTTTCCTTCTTGCAGCTGCGGAGCACTCTAGCAGCCACGTGGCCAGCTGAGAAAGCGCTAGTCTTCCGGGTCAAGCAGATCAAACACGAGTCGGAACAGGTGCTCTCGCAGCAGTATAACGGGCGGCCTGTCAATATCATAGGCGAGATCAACAACGTACTTGGGGCGGCTATACAATGAGACTTGTTTCGAACATGATTCTAGGACTGTGTGTAAAGTACGTAATGAGGTCCTGCTGAACTTGGAATCGGCAGCTGTTTGGAAGGAGGCAAGCTTATTGTGGGCTTTTTTGAGACCAGAATTTGGCGCGACTCTGGCCTTGCGTTGCCCTTGAATTTCGTACGATCCGAGTGATCCTAGCGATTGTCGTACTTCCGCACTTCAGTGCCCGAAGAACTGCTTGATCACGGTTCGATCAAGTGGGTTGTATCTGACCCCGAAGGAAAGACCGCAATCTCCATAGTGGGTCTGCATGCGCACTTATATGTCTCTTTGAGTTATCTATATACTAGGTCTGCATATGTGATTTAATACGACGATGTAGCTCAGCTCAGCTGAATTCAAATTGCGTCTGCCGTTCATTGCTAGCCTAGATGGTGTAATCATTTATAGCACATGTAGGGCCACGACTCCCTAAGTGGCACCAACGCGAAGTCTTCACGACTGGGTTCAATCTTCTTTGGGGATGGACCACGGTCAAGAAAAGATCGAATCAAGATGGATCGAGCGCGCCGCGTATCAGTAATCTCGAGTCGAATGATCACAAGAGGAGCAGGCTTCGATCCGATCGAAAATTTGCCACTTGAACCGGCATACTATGATAATCATGTTGCTCAGCTAGACATTACACTAGTTATCCAGATCAAACTGCACGCAAATGGATGGCGTTGCATGCTTAATTATGGAACGACACAACTGGGTTCCGGCCTAGTACCGGCCTGTACCCCCAAGGCTTCTTGCGCCAGCGTCGTCTCTAGCGCTCTGGCAGCCTCGGCGCTGGCAACGGGAGCCCCTGTCCTCCTCGAGCCGCACGTACAGCTTGTGTTTCTGCTTTTGCATCTTGCTCCAAGGGGATAACTAGGCAATGGCCCTCGTCCCGGCTCTCACTCACGTCCCATGGGCTAAACCCTCGCCATATTGACGTCAGCACGTTCCAAAGTCCCAATGTTTCAACGGCGGGTGAGTCTTTCTGCTCGCGGCGGGAAGCCACAGCATTGGCTGACCGGTTCATCTGCGGACGCAATCAGGCTGCTGATGTCAGAAAGTACGCGGATGGACTCCGTGATATGCGCGGACGGAATGCTCGTTTGCGGAATGGTGCAAGCATCCACGACCGAGTCAATGTCTAGATGACAACGAATGCGGTGTCCCCTAAAGGCCTCATACAAGGGGCCTTTGGATCATCTCGACCAACACATGCAAGATGTGAGAGCAGCTGTCACGTCCGAAACGAGTATGAGGCAGCTTGTCGTGCAATGAGTGCAGACGTTAGTGGAGTTGCGAAGAGATGAACATAAGAAACACTTCTTGCACAGGACCAGACCTTCACAATAACGTGGTCCACAGATCTAGCCCAGAGAGAATCAACGGGTACAACGTTCGAAAGCAGAACCCTTCGGGCGTTGACGTTCCATGCATTTGAATTTCTTTAGAAAGTCACTAGTCACAAGTCACAAGTCACAAGTCGAGTATGGGATCCCTCACCAGGATCTCGCAAGGCTGAGGGCCCGGCACCCGCCGCGTCTTTCTCCAGAATTCTTCTGGACTGCACAGAGCTACCGAAATTGCTAGGTTGCTCCTCAGCACTTCGTTTGTCCGATCTCTAACCGCGTCAACTCAAGCGAGCCTCACACGATGCGTTCCAGAACCTTCCCAGCAACGACAAACGGAGAGCTTCAAAGAAATTCACGGCCAGAGTCCAGTGACTGGAAGTTTCCGGGCTCAAACAACAACCCGCAGTGCTAGGACCTGAAGGGCTTGTCGACCAGGATTTTCACACTCACTCTGGCAAGCTCCTGATCCGTCCGCCCGTTTGTTGGATCTGAATCTTCACACCGTTTGCCGTCTACACGAGCAAACGAGGGGGTTTGCATCTATCTGACCACGGACCTTGTGAGAGAGCCAAAGCGACAGAATGTCAAGTGCAACCTCAAGTGCAACCTCTTTCTGAAACAAGGAGCACCGGGTGCAAGTTGCAAGACCACTCTTCTGATGAACGCCAAGATGAAGCGGTATTTAGTTCGATCACAAGGAAACGGTTCCCGTCCTTTGGAAACAGGGAGATTCTTCTCCTCATGTGGGGATTTTGGTTCTCCGGAAAGAGGGAATGATTCTCGTCATCTGGATACAAACAAATGAGTCTCGTCATTTCAGAAAAGGCCCATGAATGCGTTGCGGCTCACGAGCAGATGCACGATATGCGTAGCATTGGCCAGAGCGAGATGCGGATGTTTCGATCCACGTAAAGGCAGATATCCGGTGCGCTTTCACACTCCCACCAGTGAAAGCGTCGTAAGGCCCTGTCGACCCCTCGGGGATAGCCCTCGTTTTGAGTTTTTGCCTCTTTCATAAGGTCCAGCTCCTGCATCAGAAAGCTAAGCTGAGAAAGATTTCCAAGGAATTTTGACGACCTGATGTCTCTGGTAACTCCAGGTTCGGTTTAGAAGCCTCTCAATTGAGATGGGCGCCCGAGGAACGGGCCACGTTCACTGGATGAGTCTTATGAGAGTCCTTTCGCCTCTTTGTTCGTTCAGTGGTTCATTCCTTTGAGACACCGAGATGAAAGCGGATGAGTCGCATCAGGGAGTGTTCTCGGCCCGTCAATCACATTAGTTGGAACCTGCCCTTCTACGATCGATCCGATCAGAGCCTCATTTTTTGAAGTCCGCGTAACTTTCAGCGGCAAAAACAGGAACATGTGGGGAGGACAGGAAAGAGACCCCACACGCAAAACCGCATCTTGTGTGGGAGGCGTGCGGCCTTGAGACTTCCCAATGACTTTTCCAGCTTCATTTCAGCACTGAATCAGATGATGCATCACGGTGAAGATGCCCACGAACGGGAAAAGAAAAAGACGTGCAGGGCTGAGAATGGTTGTCGTGTACGTCGGTTTTCACGATCGAGCATTAAGCGCTGCGCAAGCTGCCAGAAACTACGTCAGTAGTGGCCAGATCCCTTCCCCGACTTATTGACCGGCTGGCACTGGGGCCCTGATTCTTATAAAGAGTATCTAAAATGAGCATCTAAAATAATCTCAATGCGGTCACATGTACCGGCTAACGTCATTCATGGTGTACTGTTTATGTCATTCAGAAAGCCTGCTTGATGGTCTAAGGGCGCCGCCAGCAAGCGCCGCGCTCGGCGCCTCTTGGGACCGCGTTTTGATTCTTGTCGAGGAAAGTTGCGCTGTCACGGAGCACGACCCTTTGCAGAATGGTCTGCCCCTAAGAACGAGGTCGATAGAAGGACCGACGCCTAGAATCCAACAGGGGTCGATTCTCAGCCGGTGTTCAAAATCGAGAGAAGTGTCCCATTGAAGCGGGTAGGAGGTTCCCGAAGTTCCCCGCAGATGCATATGGCGCGCAGGCGCGCGTTCTTTCTGCGAAACTTGGACCTTGAGGATGAGACTCAGGCGGGAAAACTATTGGACGATAGTGGGCGTCCATACGAAACGGCAAATCAGGCCGCCAGACGCGATTACACAAGATAGTCGACCCGAATGAGTTACATATTAGTCCTAGAGACACGTCCGCGGGACGTCAGAAATTCACTGTGGTAGCCTCGCAAAAGACAGCTCTTTGTGAGCATCCAGTTTTCAGCGTCTAGCACCTACTTTTCAGGCTTGGAATAGTACAATATGCACCCAAATTGACTTGATTGACGCTATCGTAGTAACACAAACACTTTCTTGGCTGCGCCAGTGATTTCTAAAGCTTGCAATCGGCTGAAGTTCATGATGGCATGGAAAGTCGCAATCTCTAATCCACATGACAGCAGTTCTCCATGATATCCATAGCAGGCTCAGGCTAGCCTTGGCAACCGAATTCCTGCGACATTGCAAACGGATGGGCATGAAGTATGGGTCTGCTGATCGCTTAGTTTCAGGCTTATTAAGATGTTGAAGCAGTGACGAAGTTCCAAGAGCTAGGACGTTCCCAAGTACGGTCTGAAGACGTAAACCTGGCCCAAAGTTGATTCAGACAGCCAGGCTGATTGCGCTAGCTGTGGGCGCCTCTTGCTACCCATGGCAGTAAAGCTCGACAATTCCACCATTTTACAGGTTCTGCTCTCAGATGCCGTCTGGAATTTCCATACTTCACGGTTCACAACATGGCGTTGAAGTATAGAATCTGCTAGATTAGACTGGTGGGGTAAACCTGCTCAGAAAGGTGATGTTAGCTTCGAACGGGATTGACCAAGGGGGATACAAAATCACTGACTCGGGCACCTTGGTGCACGGGGCCTTGCTTGGGAGAACGCCCCCGATCGTCGCTGTAACGGTGACGTAAGAAACACTAGCGAGGCTGAGATTCCCAGTGGCCGTCGAGTAACTCTGATTCAAGGATCCATACCCACCTGGCAGAGAAAGGCACATGCATTGATGGTCATTAAGCTTGCTCAAGGACAACGTAGCTGTTTATGCAGGGGTCGAGTCATCTTTTTGATGAGGTGATTTGGCCGGGCATGATAGTGCATGGAAAAAATCTTTGACTGAGAAAGATCTTACGATTACTATTTCCTGCGTCCTGTCAGTTCTACGGGCCTCCGCCGCGAGTCAAGCTGAGATGATTGCTACACAGGTTTATGGTCTCGTTGGGTTGCACAATGATGCTGCCATTTGATACTCAAGAATGGCTCCAAGACCCACCCCTTGACAATTGAATCAAAAGCAGGCCGCTCGTCCAGTTTTGTCCTTACCCAATAAAGACTCGGATTTCGGTCTGTTAAAACCAGCCACTCTGTCACCACCTGAATCAGTCAACAAACGGCCCAGCCCTAGCTCTCACCATCCAGTTGAACATTTGGATTTTGGGCGTAGGAGTTGCCAATGTCCCTGGGACCGACCAGGGCCCTGCTTCCATCTGCCAAATTGAAGACCTGCGAACCGTCGGCCTTCGAGTATGTGCCAGTAGATGCATTCGCCAATGGTGTTGCGTACAGATTGGCGCTGATGGTCATGTTGGAGAACAGGCCGGACGCTGCCAAGATATAGAAAGGTTAATGAGCGACACAACTCCCATATCTCGGCCATTCAGATTGGTACCGGATCAGGTGTGTTATGCCCAAAAAATGTTGAAAAATTAAGTGCTTTCAACCCATATACAATACTTTTACTAGCAACCTCGATCCTGCCAACGGAATCACAGAGGCAAGAGATTTCTTGCTGGAGACCTTCAGTGCAAACCACAATATGGTTTGTGTGTGCTTTAGTCAATCTATTCGAACAAACCAGAATGTAATAGCCTAGGCCGCCAGTAATCACCAAAAAGCTCAGAAGAGCTCCTTGGCAAACCTGGTGATTTTTTGAGAAGGTGCGGCAATCATGTCCAATGGGATACTTATGCATACTGAAGGTTCTGAAACTAGGTTGCATGAGGTTCTTGCTCGGTTTGCGGGCCTGACAGCCGGATCCCTAACTCAAATTTGGCTGGTGACTTTACAGCGGAAATCAGAGACAACCATTCAGTCAACTGGGATTGCACAACCCTCATTGGTTGCTGCCTGACATGCTTAATAGCTTGCCAGCCAGTCAGACTCCAGACAGTGCTGCAAGGTACGCTTATATGTCACGAACTCCTACAAAGCTTTCTTGGCATGACGACTCCTCCCAAAACAAATGCAAAGCATACAGGGCACCCATTGTTCGTTCTTTTGCTTAATACCAAGGATTGCAGCGCTACCAAGGCCTCACCCTTAATGCAGGAATACTGCACAGATCCCACAGCATAAAGTGACATCACCACAACATCGTCCGCCTTTGGGAGCAGAGAGGGGGATGGAGGCAACACCGGGGCCGGAGGCACAGTGGGCAACGTCGGTGGCAGAGTGACCGCTGGAGGTGACCCCACGGTTGCTAGTGGAGCTGTGGTCCCCGTTGTGGCCACGACCGGGCCATTGAAGTACTCGCAAATTACCACCCGATCGCAGTCGAGATCGTAGTTGACAAAAAACATCCTCACTGATCTTTGGCAAGCATCGAATTCAACAGATGATGGGTAGTAGCCGATCTTGCACGCCTCTGTCCTGGTGCCAGAAGGGGCGTTTGCAGTTGTGCAAGCGGGCGCAGCACCCACTCCGCATACTTTCCATCCAGAAGTTGGGGGATCTTTTCTATTTTTGTCGTAGCAGTAGGTGTCCAGGGTCCCATCATAGAAATAGAAGCTCCCAGGCGGCTGCGCAGTATAGTATTCAACGTTTGCCACTGTGCAATTGTCGGTTAAGAGGTGGCTGGGAACCCCAGCAGGGATGGCCAGGCAAGGGCAAGGAAAATTGTAGAAAGTCATCACTGTAATGATCAGGAGCAAAAGGTTAGAAGCTGTGGCTTGCAGTCGCCAGCTCAGTCGCCCCTCCATGGCAACAGCAGAGCCTAGAAAACAGTGAGTACAATTCTCTCGGGCCCCAGCCTAGCAACTTCTGAGCGGAAAATGGCGGGCGCGATATAGCAGCGGCTAAATACTATCGCCCCTGCACTTCTGTAGGCGGCACCTTCAATGTCTTCCCCTCATCTGACGCCAGACTTCCCCTTATGTTGTAGTTGGGTTTTGGTCAAAGTGTTTGACCAGCTGTACAGCAGTGTACGTGTTTAAGATTACATATATGGCTATGCATGAATTCCGTGAGCTGTTGCATGGCTGGCATGCTAGCTTCACAGCTTCATGCTGCCAAGGAAACCCACGTGTAGCACTTGAGATTGAAAGTCAAGTCTATTACCTAGTATAACTCTCTATGAGTCATCAGATACCTGGGTAGGAAAGTAAGATACAACCACCAAACTACCGTAACATTCAAGCCTGCTCACTCTTCGACCACGCGGTCAATACCTAGTAGGTAATATTACCGGTACTTGCATTGGTACTACTATAGTCTATAGTAGTACCAAATAGCCGGGTCCTGACAATCACAGGACTTAAATATCCTGACATCGATTGATCATTGTACACGTCTGTCCAGAAAATACTGACAACACTGACGCACTGAGACGCGGTTTTTGTCGACATTCGGCCGGCACTCAGCACTGAGCAGAGTCAGCACGCCGCACGGCGACCACTGACCAGTGCTGTACGGTCACGAGCGAGTGGCGAGGAGCGCAAGTTACGCGCTGTACGTATGGTACGAACTTGAATTGCCGAACCCGCCAGCGAGTCGCGACCAGTTGAGTCTGGCAAGGCTAGCTTGCACTAAGAGCAGCTTGCACAAAGATAAGCACCCGGGGGACGGGTGGGGTTAGTTTGGGGGTTAGGGTGAGTGCGGGTGCGGAGCGAGTGATTGTTTTGGTTAGGGTTTCTAGTTTGATTGCCCGGGAGCTACCGGTATGTATCTTGGTGCAAGCGAGCGTGGCCAGTGCCAAATTGAACATTCCGCACCGCGACAAGTTACGGGCACTGTCGGGCAGTCACATCTGAAAATTTCGGGGCGCACGGTGCACCATCATTGACCGTACAGTCCGCACGTGACCTTCCGTCCCGGGGCCCGGGGGTTGTGTTTCCGTCAAAAGGAATGGTTTCACTTTGACCGAGACGACCCGACTCCCGAGCCCGATCGGGCTCGGGCAAATGCCCTCCATCTTGGTTACATAGCGCAAATTTGGCAGCTGCCGAGGGTGCCAAAAATCAGTCGGGGTCTTGGGCAAATGTCGGGTCGGGTCGCAACCAAAGGGGCATCGGGTTGTGGGTAACCCACTCAAGTTTTTTTTAATTTCAGCCTGATCGGTGAGCCGGAGGTCCGGCTGATGGCAGCTGATGGGTCTCGGGCCGTTTTTCAATCTCCAGTGTATTACCGGTACATCCCTGTCAAGGACCGGACACGGGCCGTCCCCTTCGGCCATTAACTATAGGCACTAAAATACCGTATCGTAGCTGTACTGTACGGTAGCCTCAGTACCGTAACAGCGTGCACCATCCAAATGATCGGGATCTGGGTCCCGGTGGTCTCGACCAGTGTTCAAGGCCCCTGTGTGCGAAATTGGCCGGTATCTCGTAGTGTGTTCGCACTATAGTTTCTGAATTTGAAGACCCGGACCACCCGAACCTGACCGGGCTCGCGTTTGGCCGGTACCGTTTGAATACTGTCGGCCCTCAGGCTCGGGGCCGAGCACCGTCGACTCGATCATGGTCTTCGGGCCCGAGAATATTGAGCCCGGGCCTGATCGGTTTGGATGTCGACTGGCGAAAATTCGGGGGGTCGGGCCGGCCATCGCCGGAGGCGATAAGGGGTCGGGCCCGCAGGGCCCGACCCCTTCCAGTTCCTC